GCCGCCAAGTATCTAAAATCGCAAAGCGGAGCCTCGTTTGATACGATTCCTTAGCTAACAAAGCAGGACGGAAGTCAGACAACTAACACGAATGAACAAGCAGAGGAATTGCTGCGTTGTTTCTTCCCACCGCTGCCCGAGGATATTGCAGACGAGAGAACGGCGACGGTAAGGGAGCCAGTCAGTATGCCCGTTATCACGCTCGACGAGATTGAACGACAGCTGTTTGCGACGAAACCATGGAAGGCACCTGGCGAAGATGGCTTACCGGCGATCGTCTGGCGACAGACGTGGCCAGTAGTCAAAGACAGGATACTAGCACTTTTCAGACAATCACTAGCCGAGGGTGTGCTGCCTTAACAGTGGCGATATGCCAAGATCGTCCCGCTGAAGAAGCCCGGCAAGGAAGACTACACCATCGCCAAAGCATGGCGACCAATCTCGCTACTGTCCACCCTAGGCAAAGTGTTAGAGTCGGTCGTGGCGGAAAGGATCTCGTACGTCGTGGAAGAGCATGGTCTGTTGCCCACGAACCATTTTGGCGCAAGGAAGCGCAGGTTAGCAGAACAAGCAGTGCTTCTGTTGTAAGAGTACATCTATAAGGCGTGGCGACGACGGCAAGTAGTGAGTCTGATTAGTTTCGACGTCAAAGGCGCCTACAATGGCGTGTGCAAAGAGCGGCTCGTCTAGAGAATGTAAGCCCGAGGTATACCGACAAGTTTGACGAAATGGATTAATGCATTCTGTTCTGATCGCACCGCCACAATCGAGATCAACGGCCGTACGTCTAAGAGCCATGAACTTCCACAAGCAGGGTTGCCACAGGGCTCGCCGCTGTCACCAATTCTTTTCCTGTTCTTCAACGCAGACCTCGTACAGCATCCTATCAACAAGATAGGCGGATCCATCGCATTTGTAGACGACTATATAGCATGGGTGGCAGGACCGACTCCGCAAGCCAACGAGGCAGGAATACGAGCCATCACTAACAGAGCCCTCGACTGGGAGGGTCGCAGTGGCGCCACATTCGAGCTGGAAAAGACCGCCATCATCCATTTCAGCAGAAAGGCGGCTAGAGTCAACAACAACCCTTTCCTGATCAAGGGCGAGAGGGTATATCCGCAAGACAAGGTCAAAATACTGGGAGTTACGATGGACTCTCAGCTACGGTATAGACAGCATATTGCACGAGTGTCGAGCAGGGCACTGGAAGCAGCCATTGAGCTCAAACGGTTGAAGGGCCTGCCTCCGGCGACGGCCCGACAGCTGTTCACCGCCATGGTGGCTCCCATCTTGGACTACGCATCAAACGTGTGGAGATATGCATGCGGCGATCGGCTGATGCATATCGTCAACAGAGTACAGAAGGTGGGCGCACAAGCGATTGTGAGCGCATTTAACAAAGTGGCCACGGCACTCGCCGAAGCCGAAGCACACATCCTGCCAGCGCGAAGTCGCTTCGCTAAGCGGGCGATCAAGCTATGGGTCGACATCCATACACTACCAAGTAGTAACCCTCTTCGGACGGCAGGATTCCGGATGTTCACGCGCTTCATATCGCCGATGTAGCAACTTGCAGAAGACATGAGCGAAGTGCCGATAAGCAGACTGGAGACGATTGACGCGTATGCTGCTAAGCCGTGGAACGAGCGAGTCGAGGTTATTACGGACGAGAGCGAAAGAGCCATTGAGCTAGCTAGCAGGCAACGGGCAATCCGCATCGCTACTAGTAGCTTAGCCAAGAATGACCTGGTCGGGTTTGGAGTGGCCGTACGGCTTCCGGATTTTGGCTGGGCAAAGACCAAATTCATGTTACACTCTGTGACTCTCGGGACAAGAGAAGAGCAGAACCCATACACAGCAGAGTTGGCCGCAATAGTCCAGGGACTGCGGAAGACGCCACACTACGTCCGACAACGTGTGGTTCTAGTGTTCACAAGCAATAAAGGTACTGCTTTGAGTCTTAAACGGCCGTGGCACCAGTCCGGCCAGAAAGAGATTGCAAACTTCTACGCTTGCGTGGCACAGCTTCGAAAACGGAGTAACAAGGTCGTTATTGTCTGGAGGCCACAGGAACGGAAAGAGAACAGCGGCGACGAAAATATTGACAATAGCACCAGTGACAACAACAGCAATGGCAATTCTACTCTAGCACGCTTGGCCAAGGAAGCTGCTCGCAAAGCGACCCTCCCCGGTAGTTCACCGCGCATATCACCATTTCGGGCCAAATCGACGACATTGAACAATGCCAGAAAGACACAAAGCAGACGTCCAGTATTGCCGGACAACGTCGGTGCATTCTCCAAACGGATTGACATAGCTTTACCCGGACGACATACTCGACAGATTTACGATACATTGTCATGGAAAGAAGCTAGCATTCTAGTCCAGTTGCGGACAGGAATGGCGCGGCTTAACCATTATCTAGCTTAAATTGGAGCAACAACATCACCAGATTGCGCCTGCGGATACGGAAGGGAGACTGTAGAACACTTTGTCATGCGCTGCACGAAATGGACCGCATATCGTAAAGATCTGCTTTAGTATACAGAAGACCGAAGAGGAAGTATCTCGTTCTACCTTAGTGGAAAGACCTATAGTGACGACAACAAATGGACACCAGACCTCAAAGCAGTTCGAGCAACAATTGGATTCGCAATCGCCACAGGACGATTACAACAGACGGTGAAGGAAGTCGGGAGTTAGGCTTAGAAGGAGAAAATCATGCATAAAGGACATCCCAAACATATACTAACCCAGCAGGTCGCGCTTCAGTCGCCGAGGATAGGACTCTGAACACTTGGAGAAGTCAACTTCAAGTTGATCTGCCATGCACTAACAAGTAACAGTATCATACAGGGATGTCGAGGACCATAAGTGGTTTTGGATGGTTGATTATAGTCTTGCAGTATGGGCTCGAATCGGAGTCAAGACGGAAACATGAGAAGCGTTTTTGTATCATAGCGTTAGTTGCCCTCTAGGGGAATGACCCGGGCGTAATAAACATGTGTGTGTGTGTGTGTATATGACGCGTTGTCATGGAAGGAGGCTAGCGTTCTGGTCCAACTACGGACAGGAATGGCGAGGCTCAACTATTACCTAGCACAGATTGGCGCGGTCGCTTCACCACAGTGTGATTGTGGACATGCGAAAGAGACGGTAGAGCATTTCGTCCTGCATTGCAGAAAATGGACAAGCCATCGCAAAGACCTACTTAAATACACACAAAACAGAAGTGGGAGCATTTCGTTCCTTGTAGGCGGAAAGACGAACAGCGACGACAAGGACTGGACACCAGACATGGAAGCGGTTCGGGCTACGATCAAATTCGCCATGGCGACGGGTCGTCTACAGTTCACAGTGAAGGGAATGGACAGTTTAGAACAATAGGATAAAAGCGGGCACAATAGTGGAGGTATCTGTAATGTATACTAACCCAGTCAGCAGGTCGCGCTTCAGTCGCCGAGGATAGGACTCTGAACACTTGGAGAAGTCAACTTCAAGCAGATCTGCTATGCACTAACAACTAACAGTATCATACAGGGATGCCATGGAAGAGAAATGGACTGAGACGAAAATCAATTAGTCTGTGATTATGGGCTCAAGTCGGAGCTAGGACGGAAACTTCAGAAGCGATTTTGTACTATAACGTTAGTTGCCCTCTAGGGGAATAACCCGGGCGTAATAAATGTGTGTGTGTGTGTGTGTGTGTGTCCAGATTGCGCTACGTTACAGGATGACATATGTGTGTCCTTTCATGTGGCTGAGACTGAGGCCGCTTCTGCAAGTCGGTGCCCTTCATTCGTTGACAACATGCGCTCACGACAGAGCGAGAAAGAAACAAGACAGGAAATGGCCTTGTGGACGAAGGCTGCCGATGAGGGTCATGAAACGGGTACGTCGTTTTTCAGCACAATGGACTCTCACCGCGACGACTTGTTCACTTCAGGACCTGCCAGCTGGGGACTGGTGCTGGTGTCCAGTCCAATCCATGATCAAGCTCCAGGGCCGACTTTTGTCTCGATCACGAACGTGCTGGTTCCGCACCCTCTGGCCTGATGCAGAATCGATCACCTCGCTAAAAGTAGCCCGGCATGAGTCCTGTTTCTGAGCCTACTTTTATCGTGCTGTACTCACGGAACCACTGCTCATCACTGAGACGCATAGACACGAGATTTTGAGCAAGTCCGGTTTCTCTTTTCCCACTCTTGATCTTTCTTGACTGATTCTGAGCAAGCAAGTTCGTTTTCTTTAGTGCAAACGCAAGCGTGTCAACGACAGCTCAGCCTAACTTGAGCAGCAGAAAGACTACATTTCTAGTAGGTCATTCACGTAAGAGACCTATTGTTTATCCATTATCATTGTATATTTGGTTCATTTGCAGTTTACGTGACGGTATGGATTTCGTCTCTGCATTGGCTCTGCTCAACCTCGACCGAAGATCTCAGTCAAGACGAACAGGTTCGTAGCTAGCACCACCCCGATAATTCCTTCGGGTGCCACAACTGATTCCGTAAGTCTCCATTCGTCCAGTCATCTGTAAAGGTCGACATTCGCTCACCCCAAGTCGTCATGGGCCCGAATAGCTAAGCAGCCCGTTTCTCGCTCCCTGTCACGGGAAAAGCGTTGTATGATTTAGTCTCCTTGTTTGGGTATTGACTCTGCTCAGTCTCGGCCGACAGTTGTCGACCGAGACGAGTAGGTTCGCCGTATCGCACCTTCGCACTTTCGCATTATGGGGTTTCTTTCACTTTCGCACTTTCGCAATTTTGTATCCAACTATTTAGCAACACGGATTATAATCCCTACGATGCCCTTGGCCTTAATTATGGTCAATGCATGGACAAAGCAATCCCTAAAGCCTATCATTGTGCATCGCTCAATGCTACCCAATAGACGGCTAGGCCTCGCAAACACTACACTGACTCCACGCGTGGATATGTAGTCCCCTGGAACAGGCTCCTGGCAGAGTTTTAACTCTGCTGAAGCTTCTCAATTGATTATTTTGTTTTCGCTCCAACAGAACGGTTGTGCACATCTCCATCAGATGACAGTTCTTCCTCCTCAAATCGCTTTTGTAACATTCTCAACTCGCACCGATTCACAAAACCAGTTGCGTTCAAGACGTTCACTACGCCATCTTTCAGACCACCATACCAGCTAGATGGTTCGGAGAAACATTGTCCTCTGTTTTTGACAAACATCTCTTGCGCCACCCATCTTTCTAGAAGACACAGCCCCGCCCAGCAGCCTATAAAGATGTGTGGAGCATACCATACGCCTGAGTCGTGCACGGTTAACAGGCTACCGATGAACATGACAGCTGTATATACGTCTTTGTACGTTGGAAGCACGTTGAGTTTTTTTGCGGCCCAGACCAAGATCCGCGGGTAAGAGGTCGCAGCGTTGATTTTGATGGTTGCGGAGTGCCAGGAGGGGAAGCCAAGGAACACCGAGCAGAAAGAAATAGCTAGACGTAGTAGCGTCTGTGCGTGAAATACTGGTTGTACAATATGCTTGTGACCCGCATAATGGCCTTCTGTGACCAAGTAGTGGCTCGTCCATGAATGGAAAACCATGACAGCAAAGTCAAGGTAAGTTGGGGAAACATGATATCCATATTGCAAATAGTGCGCCCAATACCGCAGAATCTCGAGGTTTGGTATCAGGATGTGAATAAATAGGATTGCGCTCGAAGGCTTTTGAAATCTCTTGGCGGCACGATAGACAACATGTCTCGTGTGCTTCTGAGTCACAACATACGTTACGATCAAGGAAGGGATGTGCTCGTACAAAGTATACATGATGAGCAGTGATTGAAGCGTAGGGCCGTATGATCTTGTGAATATCTTATCCGTGGTTGACAATGTGATGTTTTCTCTCTCTCTTCTTTCTTCTCAAGAGAGATGACTCTGCGAGGTTTATATACATGGCTACGTAGCAACTCATGCTGAGCATGGAAGAACAGAACTTGATCTAGTAGCTCTTGATGCATTCTATTATTGCAAAATATGGTATAGGACGATACTGTCAACCCATTCATTGTCCTCTATGCCACAATTATGTCCATGGCTAGACCAAAGGCTTTCCCTTCTGGTCATATCTTATCTCCAGTCTAGGGCTTGAAATAACTTATTCAGAGCAGCATGAGTACTCTTCTGGTTCAATAACGAGTTTTGAGTTCGAATTTCTATTTTGTGAGACACACCCTGTTCGGGCCAGTGTCAGTAAGGAAATTTATTATTATCTCGTATGTCGAGCAAGAATGGGCACAGCATTTCGGGAAAAATTGAGCGGGTCAACTTTTTAAATACATACAGTCCCACACACTAATGTCCTCTTTTAAGACGGATCATGTTTTGGCACCCGGCCTTAAATCGATGAACGATCACTGCCACAATGCCAGATTAGCCCGAGTATGAAGCGGATCCTAAAGCCGTTGCCTTTGTTTGGAACTGGTGAATTATATATAGGCCACGGAATGTCTCTTGGGCTATCTTGAACTTGACGTAAATTGGCTGTTAGTCGTTGCAACACGTACTGTACTGTACCCCATTACTTTACTGTACAGCAAGTCGGTCCACAAGATTTCCCTAGTCCGTCCTAATGCCATGAACACATTGCACTAAACTCGGCGCTTTTAGTGGGCCCTCGTCCACTGTCTGATTGTTGCATACATGCCATGCGGCTATACTAACGAAGCCATGCATGGTGCGAAAGCCATATCTCGTACTACGTCAACAACCTGAACAAGCAGTCAGCCGCTAGAGCCAAAACTGAAATATTTGTGACCACGGGAAATAAAAGGATGGCATGAGGCTCAGGTGTCCCTGATTTATTCCATCACGTACTCAATTGCGAATGGATGAATATTGACCGTAGTCAATTCTGATGGCGTGGATGTCCTAGGATCAATTTGGGCTCTTGTTCGGACAAGGGTTCGGTTTGGTTCCCGCTTCCAGATGTCGACCAGAACAGCAAGCGGCTCCCACGCTAGCAGGCTTTGAAGTGCACAACCCAAAGTGGATTTTGGCCCCAACAACTAGAAACAGCCAGCCTCATTGAAGTGTGCTGACACACACACGTCATCCTATACCGTAACGTATTGCTATCTGGACAATTGACCATCGAGGGTGCACAACTGGTTGCGAATGGATCAACAATGACCGTGTTTGTCGCGTGGGGCCAGTCTTGTTCCCTCGATAGTATGGATCGAATGAGGACTCTTGTTTAGACAAGGGTGTTCGTTTTGGTTCCCGCCTCCAAATGTCGACCAGGGCAGTAGTAAGTAGTGGGTGGCTCTTTCAGTCTCCACGCTAGCACTGGTCAATTCAGTGCACGACCAAAAAGGTGGTTTTTGACAGGCTGTTCTAAACCGACCATGCCTAATACGGTTTTCTTGCATAGCGTTGCATGTACCTGCATGACAAAGTCACTAGCTTGCAGTAGTTTGCAAGTACCCAGTCATCGCGTCCCGTTTCGGTAGCCACACGGCAACAGAAACCATTACATCGCTTGAGCTAAATTCGGCCACTTACCGCTAGTCATGCGGTTCATATCGGCCATATTGTGCTTCTGCTCCGTACATGCCGCGAGGTCAATGGGTATATACCAGGCCGCTGCTGATCGTTCCAACGGGCTGGCAAGGTAAGATGACCACTGTAACCTTTACGCTGCGATTTGCTTTGTCGCCTCGCCCTCAAGTTATGAATGGGTAGTCAGAGCAAACCAAAAATCAAGCTTGCCAGGTGGCCTACAAAGAGCAATACAAGTCGTGTCTAATGCCCAACTGTCACTCCATGCAGCATTCTACCGGACGTCTTTCTATCAATGTGGGTGCATAATAGTTTCACGCCTGGGGATAGATCTGCTGCGAATACAAATTTGGCCGGCCGAATCAATACACATAGTGACACTTTTCCTGGTGTGGAATAAATCAAAACTTCATGGAGCACGATCAGCGTCGCCGGTTGGATTTTGACGAACTACTGGAGCTAGTGACCTTGGCATGCAGGCACATGCAGGGGCACGCACAGTAATGGATTAGGCATAGTCAGCTCGTGCATCTGCTCACAATTGACCCAACCACTTTAGAGGTGGTGCACTCAATTGGGCCATTGCTGGCGAGGCACTAAATGACGCCCTGGTCGACAATCGGAACCGGGAACGAAACGGTACCGACAACAGCGTCTGCACGAGCACGAATCCCATCCACACCATTGAGGAACGACAGTGGCCCCCGAAGCGACAGAACTGACTGATGTCATTGTTGGTTTACTCGCAACCATTTACGTACCTTCGGTTCTCGAGTCAGGCTGCGTTAAGAGATGACGAATGTATGTCCTATTATATCACTGAGGTCGCTTCTGCAAGTAGGTGCCTGCCCAAAAGGTCGAATGCGGTTTCAGAATATTTTTAAAGCGACATCACCACCTCCGTGTCCTTTGCATGAAGAACGTCACACTGTCACAAGGAACTTGGCACTCACTCTTCAAACACATACGGCAAATGCACCCAGCTCTGGAAATCGTTCCTGGCGGATCTCTGTGCACCGTTGGTCCAAGCTCAAGCGTTGATTTCAGAGGCAATGCGGATCAGAAACAGCTGCTATTGTGTTATTATACCCAACACATGAAACCTCCGTGTTACGGGCTATGGGCCGTGTATCAGTTGTCAGCCAAAGCCTTCAACCATGAGCGCGACCATGAAGCTCAACCCGACTAGCTTACAGGCACGGCCGACGGCGTGCACTTTCCCCAATCACGGACTGGCGAGGTGGCGAACCTGCAACTACAAATTGTGCCATCATATGGATTAAAAATTGTGTTTCTATTCTTTTTCAAGCTTTAGATGCTCGTCAATAGGATAGTCAATTGAAACATACATTGACTGCGCCTCTCACACTCCGCACCGCCGGATGGGCACATCTACACACAAGTCTGTACAATGTCCATTATAGTGCTGCGGTAGATAGCGGCGTACTTCCCCAGTTATCCTTCAAGTTTGGATTCACGTCTTCCCTGGCTAGTAGTAGGTTTATATTCGCTTGTGACCATTTTGTGCGATCCGTTAGTAATGGTGTCCTATCATCGTACAGCCTTCCATTCGAGTCGGGATCAATATTATTAGTTATGAGTGGAATGCCTATTACCGAGTCGTTTCCGGTTTCCCATTCCGGAGGTTAGTAATAGCGGTGCCCCATAATTTGTTGTCGCTTGCATATTGGTTCCTCCTCGTAATAGCCCTGTCGCTGTCACTTTTATCCCACATTGTGAAGCCCAAAATGAAGTTCGAACATTCGACTCGCTTCACATTGTGAGCATAAAGTAAGAATCCGGGGCGAAGTATAGTCGCTAATTCGTTCGACTCAAGACATTTGAGGTCCTTTTCTAGTTATAGGTTTCTGCTATGTATCGTATTAAGTCGGTTGGCAATGAGAAAGAGAAATTCATAGCTGCAATGGTGCGAAGAACTAGTTCGGTGATTGTCTGACGCCATACACAAGGATAACGTAAAAGAGTACTAGTGCTACCATTCTCAGCCTATATGGTGAGCCAAACCTAATGTTATCACGGCCGGGCTACTGTGAAGGACCCGAACTAGTCTTTCATCAGGAACTTCTATAAGGCCGATCGTCAAAATTACGTCTAGTTGCCCTTAATACATGATATAGGGTAGAATATTCATATTGAGTTTGGTGGGGCTAGTAGTGAATCTATTTGAACTTCATAAAAGGAAGCCACTTGATATTAACCAAATACTTTTGGTTAATACGAATACGATATCAACCGAACTAGATCCCTCAACAATATTCCCAGTACAATGGACATCCAACCAAGCAGCTTGAAGGGAGGGTCCGGCGAGGTGCCAATTGGTAGACCCTAGAGTCTTTACACCTTGACTTCTTAGCAGAGCGGCGGTCGCTATCGTATAGCGTCTTTGAGTACTAACAGAGATTTCCGATTTAGGCCGCCGATTCATTATACCAACACGCGGTTGAAGACCTCTGCTGACCTTGTCAAGCGCAATGCTGATTCGGCTATTATAGTTTTGTCGTGGGTCCATCTCCTCTTGGTTGGTAATGACAGGTAGCTCGACAATTAATCACTTTAAAGTACGGAAATACAAAAGCTGCACTCGACCAACTAACCGAAAACCTTGCGACTTTTCGATCCTTCAGGGTATATAAATGGCTTCGGCCAATCGCTCATGGCACTAGTCCTAGTGTCAATATCGAGAAAGTTGCTAGCCTATTTTGGGACAAGTTGTGGGCACATTTCGATCCCATCCGATAATGGTTAGGTTGGAATATTGCAACTCCTCCTCCGTCACTATTGCGAGTACCATAGCGCATTGAGAACCAAACTCAGTAAAGCCTCAGATACGGGTACTTAGCTAAGAACCCAGTCTTCTCCTCGGAGTGATGATTTTCAGGTTGAAGCGCTAATAATCTCGAAAGTACTTGCTGCACATAGAGCTCAGGGGCAAAGAGCGACGTGTGTGCGAAACGAGAGGTGCTTGTCGAGGAGATTGGGACAACCCCCTTCATAGTGTCCGCTCTTCGCTCTCCTTACTGCAACCCCTGCAGACTACAAACGCCATAATCCTTCCAGTCATCGCATCTCGCTTACTGTCACCTTCATAACCTCTGCTTCCTCCGCAATCTCTACCATCATAAATCAGAATCCTTATGCAGCGCTATGTGGTACAGGCTCCACGTTGAACACAGCCCTCAAAAGATCAGACACGATCTGATCCTGGTGCTGAGTTCCGTCGCCTTTAATCTCTTTGATCTTGGCCTCGGCCTCCTTATTCGTTTTGTCTTTGGCCTGCTTGCTGTCAGCGGCGAGTTCCGACTCTAGCTTTTTGAACTCGTCCTCCTTCTGCTTCCTGTAGTCGGCTATCTCCTTCTTGGCCTCATCGCGGGCTTCGCTTACACGCTTTGTGCGGTATTCTCTGGCTTGAATATGAAGAGAAAACGCTCACCGTCTCCTTGTGAGTCCTGGTTTGAGATGAATCATCCAATGGGATCGTGGAACTTGGGTGGGTGGTGATCTGCAGTTCTTCGACACAAATATTTTTACCAGACACCAGCCGCAGAATAAAGACATGCATGGCTGCTACTGTGTCTGAGCGAGAAGTTGCATTATGGTCAGCGTAACACAAGGCAAGAGTACCCGGGTTCCCGTTGTCTTGTCACGCAGTAAACGTCTCGCGAAGCACAGCATCTGCGGCTAAGATGCGCCAAGGTTCTGTCGTGGCTGTTTGGAAGGCCTTAGCACAAGGGCACAGTCAATGTATGTTGTAATTGACTATCCTATTGACGAGCATCTAGAGCTAGAAAATCAATAGAAACACAATCTTTCATCCATATGATGGCACAATTTGTAGTTGCGGATTCGCCACCTCGCCAGTCCGTCGAAACTTTATTGCATGGGGAAAGTGCACGCCGGTAGCCGTGCCTATAAGCTAGTCGGGTTGAGCTTCATGGTCGCGCTCATGGTTGAAGGCTTTGGCTGACAACTGATACACGGCCCACAGCCCGTAGCACGCTCCACTAATAATTCCCTCCAAGCTCCAAAGTGGTGGTTCATCGGCAACAGACCGTGCTTTTGGGTTGCATACGAGGTCCTTTCCGCCACGACATACTTGGTCACTTTGCCAGGAGCAGACAGAAGCAAGATTAGACTATATGCATTAGCTACTGTATAATGCCCTGCCCCGCGCCTTGAGGTGTCTGGCTGCACTCCAGATGTTGCATTTCGGTGCGAGCGTACATGTCTATATGCAACGAAAGGCCGGTGGAACATGGAGAACAGAGCAGTGAACGACGACAGCAGTCAGACAAAATATTCTTCCTCGGAAAATTTCTCCCTTGCTAAGTAAATCGACAGTGACTAGGTCTAGAGACATCTAAACTTTCATGCAGATTCTAGTAGAATCGCCAGTTATTGCTCATCGACTTCCAAGACTTTGAACTTAGTCACTTAAGATTGTCCTATCAAGTCATATTCTTTGGACAAGGAATGGAGTGCCGAATCTTCCTTTTCGCAAGAAGTAAACTTGGCTTGCTTGTTCTGCTCTTCATTAGAACGATTCTATTGCGGATTAGAATTTCATGATCAATGTACCGTCTTAGCCCATTCCACATATGTTGCGTCGATTAGTCGCTGCTGATGATGAACAGCAGCACGGTGATATTGTCCTAATCTGTGTAGCTCATCCAACACAATTTCCGTGAGTCGGTCTTGTGCTTCAGCTATTAGCATGGTGCACAACTCGGAAGCAACGGGATTATCGGTTTTCGCAATGACCATTGTGGCCATAATGCAAAATATAGAAAGTACGTAAGGCGTGCAGCAGTTCCAAGAAAAAATGCCCGAAGTTCATGATAATAAAATGATAAAAATTAAGTCATGCAGCCCTAGCTAGAGAGATATCATGTGGTTCTAGATGCCAAGCATTTTCTGCTTGCAATGGTCTGTTGGCCGCGATCTCGGCCCAAGCCCAGGGAGTGTGAGATTTAGTGCTGCAAGTTGGGGTAACTGGTGGCCCGGAGCCAGCTCCGAAGATTTAAACCAATCACATGCATGAGCAATGTAGGGCGCATTGCGCTTTGCTTTTGAATACCTACAAGCGTTTCTCCCCCAGACTCGTCATTAGGAATCTCGGAAATAATTTGAGATCGTGCATTGTATATTTTGACGGACGAAAAGGATCGGTGTCCTGCTACAAGCAACCGTCCGTCAGCCTCCGAGACATGTGTCACAGGTGATACCGTTGACATCCGTTCATAGAAACGATCAGCACATTTTCGGCAAACAAAGCGTAAGTGGGGAGAAATGTTATGCTAAGGAATAGTGGATCCCGGCTTCGGTCCGACCTACACTGCAGCCACGTAGTCCGTTCCCATTGATCTTGGGTGTCAGTATCTGCGATCTTCGGCGAAGAAGAGACAGTGTCACCAACTATCCTATGAATTAAATAGCTCCTAAATGCAAGTATGGTTCTCTTCTTAAAACCCCCGGTTAAGTTCACTGCCTACCCGATGGGAGGAGTGACGAGATCACGTCATATTTTGAGATACAACGATGACCCCACCCAAGGCGTCAATAATGCCGCGAGGCAGAGCCGGTGTTCAATTTCACGGTGCAAATGGTCATTATATTCATGCTCTAAGGCTATTGGGTTAGGAAACATGACACAATACAACCGTCAGTCTCTGCACTCAGCCTGCTGACCTTCGATTTTACAGAGCCTGAGGCAGCTCCAGCATCAAACATTTTTAAGGTTCGCTTCCAATTGCGATCTCTTTCGCTACTTTCGGCAGTGTGTGATGCCATGCTGCCTAGAGGTCACACAATGTTAGAGATCAATCTGAGGTCATTCAACGTGTCAAGGACTGAAGCCGGGTCAATAGAGCAGTCGAAGCCGTTGAACCGTCTTACAGTACACAGCATCAGTCCATGTGTGATCTCTCTGGAGCAGGCCAGTCAGTCATTCCTTTCAATCTACTACAGACCCAAATGAAATTGATTGGGTTCATGTGAAAATTTTCCGGTACAGTAGGTAGCTGGATAAGGGGTTTATCTCGATACGAAAGACACTGAAATAAATATATTTGGGGGCTGTCAATCGACTAAGCACGTTCCGTCATAATTGACACAAGTCGCAGCCCCGGAATTCAGGGTACCCGCCCGCACATCACCTTTCCACCTCCCTTCAGCCCAGAACCCAGACCATCACGCGGCTTTCGTCTCAAGTATGACCTAATGGTGGCCCAAATGCGCTTTCTGGGAGGGTCATGTAGAGTACCGACATTCGAAACTGCCGTTCATCTGCATCAGATCTGAAGCTTATATGGTTGGCGGACACCAAGTGCAAGACCAGGACTGGGAATAATACCTACACACACGAGACGAACAACGGCGCCTTTGAATTGACACTGCTGCTAGTACATAACGCGACCAAGGACACTACATGCGCAACGGGAAATTCACGCACTGAACGATCAAGCACTAGTTGCCAGTACACAGCATTCATCGTCATTAGCAGCGCCATTCGAACCCCGTTTTTGCTTTGAGGGAATGCATTCATACGGAATGCCAAAACCAGCCCTTGAGTCGCTTCGATCTCCGAATAATTCAGCCTCAACAACATTCGGCCCGAGCGCCAGCCTCCACGCGATCTCCGATCACAATTTGAGAACTCATACCGAAGAAAACTGAGATAATAGTTGCAATGAGTCGGTAGAAGGCATGCTAGATTCTTCAGGGCCACAGTCAACGTCAAGCCATGGCTCTGGCTCGGAAGACAGCGTTACGTCGCTGATGGCTCGCGGCGGTGGCGGCCTCGAAACAGGCGGGAGTACAGATACCCCATCAGTGAAGAAGAGCGCACGGATTCAGGATGTTTTGCGCTCCGAATTGGGTACGGCACAAGACGAGAACAGAAAGAGGAAGGGCGTGAGCATTGGACAAGGCTCACCGGAAATAATAGACTCACTGTTGGTGGTTAATCAGTATAAGGAACGGTTGGCACGCGATATTGCATGTCGGGAACTCGCCGCTCGGCCCCCCCACTCAGCTGCTGGCAAGAAGCGCGTTTCTCCTATCCAGGAGAGATTGCCCCTCTCTCCGTCGTCTGGTTCGGCATCAAGCTCTGACATACCTACGGCATCTATCGAGTCCAACAAGACTGGACGGGGAGGTAGTACTACGGCCTTCACACCGGGATTGGCAGGCAGGACGCCCTCATACTCATTTCTGCGAATGGCAACACCCGGTCACGGGCCTTCGGCATTGCGGGGGACTTTCACTCACGGAACACCAGGTGGCATTTTCAATGCCGCCGGTGCTCAATGCGACAGTGTTATACATGATCAGCTTCGCTCGGACCCTTTCACCCCTGCACCAATCATGACCTTTCAACCTCGTGGCTCTTCTCCTTTGATGGATCGCGACTTTCCCACACCAAATTTATATGAGTTGGTTTTAATGCTTGGCGCTGAACCTGGACTGGATGCTTGGTGGTGCACAGTGGTTCAAATAATGAAGGAGCATTACAGGGCTGAGCGGGTAACGCTTTCAGTATCGGCTGACGCGACGGATCTTGAGAGTGTGCCTTGGGCCCAGAAAGCTACTTACAACCCCACGGAAGAGGATGAATACAGCATGGGATATATGGGGAGGAGTAGCATGTTTCTGAGTAGTATGGATGTGTCGGAGACGGCATCCAATTTGGACGGGTCCCAAAGGAGCGATATGCCGCTGCGACCAGGTACCCAGAGTCACCATTACTTCACGTCTTACGAGAATAAGGAGTCAACAGCAGCCCAATCTACAGAAAGCCCAAGCACCACACCACAGAGACCTACTGCAGTGCCACGGAGTAATAGCAGCTTCCCAGCTGGCGAGAAACGAGTGCCAAGTTCACCTCGGCCTAGTCTTAATAAGCAAGCGCTCGAAGAGCACGATGCCGTTGAACAGCGACAACCCATTCTAAGTTGGGGGGCACCAGTTGGGTCGCGCCCTAAAGCAAAAGGCCGAGTACTCCCTGTGTTGCAGGAACTGGAACTTGAGGCCGATCCTCTCATTGATCATAACGGTATCAAGGGTGTCATCGAACGCGATAGAGTCATTGCCTTGACTCGCAGTTACCCTTATCTTGATCCCGCCTTCGACGAGAAATCCAAAAAGAAGTCAAATAGGCCCAACCCCACACGAATCCATTCAAGCGCGAAGTTATCGTCCTTTCTGGCCACTGCAACAGACGCGCGGCCACCAAGTCAAAGTACAACGGCAACAGGTGGCGACAGGATATCCAAGCGCTCGAATTTACTCACAGTACTCGATGACGAAGAACCTCGTCCTCCAACACGAAAATATGAGGAGTACAAACAAGCGCCACCATCCCCCTGGTCGCAGTTCCCGACACATTCACCTACTGTCCAGGTAGACCCCTCAGAAATTCCTTTTTTCACGGATGCGATGGTGGATGAAGACTCGTTCAACCCGGGTCGCAGTCCTATTGATTACACCAACAGTCAACCTCCCAAAACTATAGGCGTGGACAATTCGTGGACTGTTCTTCATATCCCATTCAAACATATATTACTCTCGAAACCAGCTAGAACGTTCAACCTGAAATCAGCGGCGTTAGCACAGAAGACTGCTTCCCGTGGTCTTGCGGACACGACGGCAGTATGGGGCTTCTCCGAGCCGCCGTCTCGATCCGACTTACTCGAAGATAGTCGTCATTACCCTATAGCGATCTTATCTATTTTGAGTCCTCTCATACCCTATCCGTCAAACTTACGATATTCTCTAGAGCACCTGGCTTCTCATCTTGCAACATCGTTCTCGCTGTCAGCACTACTCCGACTTAGAGACCAAAGTATCTGGGCTGCAACGGAAAAGACCCGCCACAGCTGGTTTCGGTGCACTTGGCCCTGATGGGCGCCCCTTGGCGGGTCCTGTTCTATATGCACAGATGAAATACACGCCATCAGAACATCCATGGCAACAATCTATTGCTGGGAGCATGACAAGCCCCAGTGAGGCATCCGGTGCAACACGCAGTGCTGCCCATTCACCCGGAGGGTCGATCGAGTGGGACCCAAACTCCTTCGGTTTGGCCGTGGAAAACCGGACAAGGAGCAAAAGCCTTGGTATGGTTGGTGGTGACGGCTACTTCGCCGCTGCCGCTCAGTCAGTAGCTACAAGCCAAGATGGCACGCCAGACACCGCTGGCTACCGCCCTGGACGAGGCCCTAAGGAAACTCCGCCGTCGCTCAAAAGACCATGCAGGCAGACGGGCAGTGGACAGAGCATTCAACCAAGTACACCTGCGGTCGTGGACTTCGCCAGCGCTTTGCATATTCCCCACGAAAGAACACTTCATTATCCTGCAAAGGAGCAAGCCGCCCTCAAGGAAATTGGCCAAGCCTAGATCGGATCCAATAATGGGCAAAGCAGTCAGAGACATACGAAGCTGCATTCATACGGTGCTGATTTTGCCACAACCTTCCAGTCCTTACCGTCAGGTACCTGGGTCAATCAAACACCGGCGCGGGAAGACAAAGTCAGCATGTTGCCTCCCTCAGATAGGTTGAAGGGTCTCATGTTGGACTCCTTACCGGCTCATGTCTTTGTGGCCTGGCCAACCACGGGAGAAATAATGTGGGTCAACGGCAGGTACCTGTCATATCGAGGTCAGACTGTTGCTGATCTCATTCTTGATCCTTGGGGGTCTGTCCATCCTGATGACCGAGACGACTATATTCAAAAGTGGTCTCATTCGTTCCGTACAGGCGAACAGTTCGCATACACCGTTCGCCTTCGTCGCTTCGACGGCGTTTATCGATGGCATCAAACCCGTGCTGTTGCATCAAAGGATAGACGGGCAATCATTGTCCACTTCATTGGCTCGTACATGGACATCCATGATCAAAAGGTCGCCGAGTTGGTGGCAGCTCAACAGGAGGAGATAGAAGCATCTGAAGCTAAGCATCGCTTGTTGGCCAACTTGATCCCCCAGATCATCTTTGCTGCTACCGAGGAACATGTAATCACTTTTACAAATGAACAGTGGCTTTCGTATACCGGACAAAGCTTTGAAGATTCGCTTGGGGTGGGCTTCATAGACTTTGTCCACCCTCAAGATCTGGCAATATGCAGGATATCATCAGAGAGGTCGGGCAGTGGCTCAAGCTTCTCCTTGCCCTCTACGGACCTTAGTGAGCTAGTAAAGAAAGGCATTATCAAGGTGGTAACTGATAGCACCGGGCGTCTTTCTTACACGACTGAGATTCGGCTCAAATCTAAGATTGGAGAATATCGCTGGCATCTAATCCGATGTGTGGAGACTAATAATATCAACTTTGGCACCGGCGAGTGCTCCGACTTCGGCTCCGCCACCGATATCAATGATCACAAACTTCTCGAGGACCAGCTCAAAGAAGCGATGGAGTCGAAAGGACGCTTCCTCAGCAGCATGTCACATGAGATCCGGGACACCTCTGATAGGCATTTCGGGCATGGTCAGCTTCCTGCAGGATACCTTTCTCAATGAAGAACAGAGAGATTACACAAATACGATACAGACCAGTGCAAACAGCTTACTTATGATCATCAACGACATTCTAGATCTTTCGAAGGTTGACGCTGGGATGATGAAACTGAACTTCGAATGGTTCCATACTCGATCCCTCATTGAAGATGTCAACGAACTTGTCTTTACGATGGCTACAACTAAGCGACTCGAGCTAAACTATGTTGTCGAGCAAGACGTGCCTTTGTGGGTTAAAGGTGACAAAGCCCGCATTCGTCAAGTGTTACTCAATGTGATTGGCAATGCTATCAAATTTACCAGCCAAGGCGAGGTTTTCAGTCGGTGCATGGTTACCCAACGCCAAGAGCAAGGTGATCACACCATGCTGGAATTTTCCGTCGTTGACACCGGTCGCGGTTTCACGAAAGAGTAATCTGAGCTGATCTTCAAGCCTTTCAGTCAGATCGATGGAAGCAGCACTCGCCAACACGGTGGTAGTGGTCTAGGTCTGGTAATCGCACGACAACTTGTAGAACTCCACGGTGGGGAAATGGATGGGACTGCCGTACCGGGCAAAGGCTCGATATTCACGTCCAAAATCCTCCTGGCTCACGCTGGCGATTGGGCCAAATACGTGGGCAACCAAGCGCGCGTAGTGGTACCCTCCTACGGAGTGGTTATCCACGGTGTACCTACCGTATCCTTCGACCCAGCGCACCAAAAGGAGATGGCCACGCAACTAAAGACCCTGAACGCTGGACTTATCCAGCACGACAAGATCGCCTATATGGGCTGGCTCACTCGGGAGGGAGCTACCAAGACCATCAGTTCCATTATCGTAGAGTTCAATACCCCTGAAGACAAGCTCATCCACGCTGGATGCCTATGGTCCAACGAGACCCACGCTGTGGAGAGATATGACAGGTCTTGTAGGATCAAGCAATACCTCCGCTGTCAAAAATACGACCACATCACGACCCAATGTGCTGCTGAATCAGACATCTGTGGCTACTGCGGGGTCACACCTCCGGCCGCGACCACTCTGTTGGACACCTCCAATATCGACTTCAATTTCTCAGGCCCCAACCGATCCCGTCGACTAAGGACCACCACCCACGCCACGGCGGCCGCCAGGGCCCGTAGAGCCCTCAGAGTGTCGGACTCAGAGCTCGACGATGAACTGGTTATAGCAGCCCCGAGGGTCAACATGGCCGGAGACGGCCCTGTACCGAAGAAAAGGAAAAGAAGGATGGATCCGGACTCTACCATCCACGGACTGACCCCCGGGAAGCCCAGCTCGGCTCCAGGGGTCACTCGGCCCGAGACAACACGGAGGCGCACGTCTTCTACCAGGCTCTCGCAACGCTCCATATCAGCCGCCGGGAGCGTTATGGATGAAGATAGTTTAGTGGTCTTAGACCTCCCAGACCCAAACAACAACAACACCAACAATGATAACACACCTACACTTCGCATCTTACAGTATAATGTACGCAAATCCAAGGACATCGTGATGGCGCCATTATTTAGGGACCCCGAGGATCCTGAAATACGATGTAATCGCCATCCAAGAGCCTTGGATCAACCCACTGGAATATAACAGCCATAACCCGATGGCTTCCACTTTCACCCTTTGGCTGCCAAAGCCGGACACCAAACCCCCGGGCGTAGCCTTCTACGTTAATAAAAGGCTGGACCACTCCTGCGTGGCCGTTACTAGCCATACCAGCAACCTGGCCACATTAGCCATCACTTATAACACGGCCACTACGGCTACCGACACTTCAATCGACAGCGCTGCGACCCTTGATTCAGGGACTTCCAACGCTCCACCAAACCACGCTACAACCCCTAACGCCACAGCCCACACTGCACCCCACGCTACAGCTGTAACTATCAACGCTACAACACCACAACCCAATACACTATACATCCACAATATATATAATCAACCCCCTGATGATAAGCCGGCCAGCATCCTTCAAGACCTGGCAGCTATCTTACAGGGTAAGCGCGGGCGCGAGCAATTAATAGTCGGCGACTTCAATATGGAGGGCCCTGAGTGGGCCGCTGAAGACCTGGGGGACAGGGGCTCAGCTCGCTAAGGACTTTTATACTTTAGGGAGTTCCTAGAGACCGAAGCCCTAGAGGTGGCCCTTCCTCGGGGGACCATCATACGGGAAGAGGGCGATTCTCTCTCCACCATCGACCTATCCACCTACAACGAAGCAGTAGCGACCAAGCTGGCCGAGTGCAGGAGAGCGGATGAGCTGGGCCACGATTCGGACCACTGGCCTATCCAAAGTACCCTAATCTACTGCCCTTCATGGCTCCAGCACGGCCAAAAAATCAACGCGGTAACAGTACAGTCCTTTCGAGGAATGACGAAGCAAATCACAATCTGAATAATGGCTTGATGAGTTCTACAAATGACATCGACAGAGGGCAAAGCGGCATCGACGAATTCTGGTTATCATGGTCTACAAACCTTCCATTCAAGCTCGACCGCTTCCAATAATGCTCCCTATACCTTGCAGACCTCTGCCTGGTTTTCGTTGGGTGTCATGCCGCACCACATAACAATGTCCACTCGTCGGTAACAGACCTCGATGGGCAGATGCTCAGCACGGGCGGGAATGCGGCATCCTATACCGCAAATGGGCAATGATATTCTCATGGATGATCTATGACTTACTGTCACCAATTTGAGACCATGAATGGGTAGGAATAGCCGTTAGGTCAAGATATAAGAGTAAAACCGTTGGAATGGGTAAAGACGACTGTATTAGGTATGCGTTTTTAGTCTGGATGTTATGGGATGAACCCCTAGCTATAAGACTCAGGGGCCACGGCCCCATCGTAGGACCCACAGAACCTACTAGACGCTACTAGAGGTTGTATAGAAGGAGGAACATACATTCATCGATAGCTAAGAGGATCCTTCTCTCCTCAGAGAAGTCGTCTTTTTCATAGAGATGATAGACGTCAGAGTGTAGCATTCGGTCCAGACCCATTACAAACTAACTTGCAAGATTAACGGAAATAATCTGAAACCTAGCTGCTAATGATATATCTTCTTGCCAGATTACCATCATCTGCAGCTTGGTATTGATCCCAGAATGCAGAAATATCGGCACGTGTATTACTAGTAACCCCTTGTTGTCAGTGCTGGTTCACTGAGCAGTCCTGATCATATCACGTGACCTCGTGAGGTGGTTAAACCAATCGTCGTCCTTCCTTGTTCCTTCTTGTGGTTGGTTCTCTTGTCTCCCTTAGTGCTCCACTCGGGCCTTGTTCATGGCCTTCGTTCGTAATAGTCGGTCATTCCCGTCGCTGCCCTGAAAATTCTTCAGCCTGTTCGTCATTTCCCCCGACTGAGCGTCAAATGATCTGGGGCTCGATGTCAAAAGCCTCAGCTCTAAGTACCGGGACTGGTATGGTTATAACCTTTGGTTGATGGGCGTCTGCGGGCCCATATGAGAGTTGAGTCATCAGGGAGACTCAACAGTAGACTTCCGCTCAAAGTACGATGCTTAGGACCCAATCTTTCAGACTCGTGTTTGTTGATAGTGATAGAATTAGGGTCTTGCGAAATATTCGCAGCACTAAGTGGGAAATGCTGCGACATCATCCTCAATGGCATAGAGGTTGGCTTCGACGTGCCGATGTCGATCACATAAATATTTGTCGCCATATTGACAGGTTTAGGAGGTAGCGCTGGTCAAGATGTAGACGCAGTAACGTGCTCCTCATATATTTAAGGATATCACTGCATCACACTACACAAGCTAGTTTAGTTGTGCGACCACGAGGCAAGTTTTCGGTTGCAGGCTTTAGCGCAGAGCTAGTTTAGGCCCCGAGTCATGAAAGATAATTGATGGTCCTCAGTCCTGCTCATAGACAATGTAATATGTAGCTTATTACACCTAGCCGGACTTCAAGGGCGACTGATGTATCATCATTCAGTCCGTCAGAACCCCTTACAGTCCTCACATCAAAATATCCGTCCAACGCTAACTTGTGAGTGGGTTATTTGCAACATCTGCTGTGAACCATCATGGGAATCCAGTAGCAAGGCGACCTTCTTTGAAGCCACAGGGTCTCAGCTAGCGGCTACATGAAGACCGAAGGGTGGTTGGCATGTAGTCACGTTGATAACGTGTCCGCTAGAAATGCGACGTCTAAATTTGAGGTTCTGTTAGGATGGGATCACCTAACCTAGCTACTCATGCATTACCTGTGCCTTTCGGATTCGCTTGCGCTCACTAACTAAAGTTGGTGCTGCACAACTTGAACGGACATACTCATCTTAAACCCATCATTTTTCAAGTGCACATTTCTGCAGCTTTTCTTTTATAAGTTATTTAAGTTTTAAAAAAGTGATGCGTCCGTAAGGTGATGCGTCCGTAGTAATTCGTGATGCATCCTGTCAATTGCCTATATCAATTTTCAATTCTTGATTTTCATAACAATCCACAACCTATTCCTCCCTGATTGATTGATTGATTGATTGATTGATTGATTGTATTTAACGTGGGGAACGTCCCTTATTAGGGCAAACCACGCCTCCCAGAGCCATACATCGCAGGGTTGTGGAGGTGTCAGTGTAACTATGTACATATCAGAGCCGCTCACTTGCCGATCCACGCTATTGCGGTATCGCTGCCAGATGATTTTAGTTCAGTATCCAACCTCGATTCCGTCGAAAACATCCCCGTCCATTGCTATCCGACCCATGAGTCCGCAGTCCTCCGGCTTGAACATTGTCCCAGTAGCCGTTCGATGTCCGTCGAATTGGTGAAGGTGAAAGCAGTGATGTTGCTTCCGCCGGCGGGGAAAATCCACCGGGGTGGGAAAACCCGCCAGTATTGGATTTGTGAGGAAGACTCTTTGGCCATTGGGCTCTGCGATAGAGCCCATCTCACCGTCCTGTGCCTGTTGACGACTGGCACGAGCCGGGTTAAAGGGACCGTCGCAGGATTCGAACCCACTTGCTCTCGTCGCCCACCACAACAACGAGAGCACTGCCAGGCGCACTTAAGTTAACCAATGCGCCATACGGGCGGGTGCCATTCATGCATTGACAACATGCGCTCACGACAGAAAGCGAGAAAGAAACAAGTTTATACTAACGTGATCGTGGCGTAATTCCCATTCACCCTTGTCTCCAAGTGTACAGTAAACACCGCCTCTTACTGTACTACTATAGTAGTCCTGCTGAATAACATTCTGTGAGCTGAACACTGCGAAAAATCGATTTTGGACTACGTTCTACTGCGATATTAGACCGTAGTGTGGTGACACGTGGTTCGAGGACTAGGCTGACGCGGGGTGCGGGATCCAAAATGGCGGACCGTGAAGAACCGTAGATCGTGGTGGGGTTGTCAAACCCTTTCACGACGACGGCCAAACGAGTGACGCGAACGACGACGGCCAGTGTCGCGAGACGAACGACTGCTAGTACTCCGACAAGCACAAGAATCGGTGAACGCCAGCGCGATGGTACTCGCCAGCACGATGCGGAAGTGGCGCCGCACAAAGTGGCCGAGATGATGGGATTGGTCGTTCGCGAAGTCAAAGGCCTGAAGGAGATCATTGTAAACCAATCTGCCACCATCAAAGATATCAACGATCGACATGCGCGAGAGCTTACTGCCCTGAAAGATCAGATGCAGGAGTTTGCAATTGTGTTGACGAATGTGCGGGAAGAACTGGAAGAAATCAAGGCCGGGCAGGTGCTGATCGCAAACACACAAACGAGCCCTCAGGCATCCTATGCAGATGTGGCACGAACACCGCCGACAAGCCAGCCCACGAATGCGCACTCTCAACCCAGCGAATACGACCCCGTCGACCTTCACCGATACCTGTTCTGCACGATTGACACCACTAGAGTAAGCGAGGATGAGACAAACGTATGGAATGCCGGACGACTCGGACAGCCGTGTAGAAGGAAATTCGATCGATGGAAGGTCATAAAGAGTGACGATGCCGTGCCGTAACGACGGACCAAAAAAGCACAGAAAATCAAGATTGTTTGCCGGGACGAGACTGAACACCGGCTTGTACAGATGGCAGCTGAGAAGATTGTGAATGATGGAGCGCGAGTACTCCGTAACGAACTATACCCGATCAAGGTCGACAGTGTCAACCTTACTGCCGTACTGGACGAGAATGGGACGATCCGCCACCGCGCGGCCGAAGCATTTGGACAAGAGAATGAAACGACAGTGGCAAAGATTGCTTGGTTGAGCAAAAAGAGGTGCCAAAGGCATACGGGTGATGGTGGTCTAACTGACCACAGCAGCGGATGCGAGAATGTTGCTGGAAGAAGGCTTCTTCCACGCCGGTGGAGAGTCAGGCTATACAAGTGTTTGAGCGCCAAGAGGGCCACGCTCACAAGGAAAGCACAGAGAGTGTCCTCAAGTGTGTGCTTGTGGTGGCCCTCACCAGTCATTCAGCCGGAACTGCCTGATGCTCTACCCTGTTCGCTATGACTAAGAAGTTCCAGGTATTGCAACTGAATGTGGGGAGGCAAGCAGCAGTACAAGAGAGTCTGATGAATAACACGAAGCTGTGTGAGGCGGCAATCCTAGCGATACAAGAATCACAAGCCAAAAAGAAAGATGGGAGACGATTGACGGTGCCAATGGCACATTCCAAATGACGAAAATGGTACCTACAGAGTCTAGAGAAGGGAGATGGGCGGTCCGAGTATGTTGTGGGTGAACAAGGAGCTAGAAATGGAGCAAGTACCGATCGCGCCACCAGACATGACTGGAGTGATGGTTCCGGTACAGGAGAGAAGGGTGTTTATAGTCTCGGTATATGTACAGCCGACCGATCAGGACGCTCTTCGAGACGCGTGTGTCTACTACGTGGAGTAATAGATCAGGTACGGCGGAGGCATGGGGACATTGTGGTGGTCATGCTGGTGGGTGACTTCAACCAGCACGATCAGCTTTGGGGGGAGGGGAGGAGACGATGTCACGCTAGCGAGATAAGGAGAAGTAGACCCGATTATCGACCTGATGAGTGGCTATTCACTACAAAGCCTTCTGCCGTGAGGGACGAAGACATGTGGAAGGGACCATCGACGACGACAATTGACTTCATATTGGCCAGCAACGAGCTAGCGAGCAGAATGATGCATTGTAAGACTTCTGAGACGGATCATGTGTCTGATCACCGGGCTATCGAGACGACGATAGACATGGATCTGGCCGACTCCTAACAAACAAAGAGACTGCCCCTTCGCAATGCACGATGGAAAGAGATCAGCGCCCGGATTGAAAAAACATGCAGGCGACACCCCTGGAAGAGACAGTGCAGCAGAAGACAGACTACTTGATATCGCAGTGCCCGAGGCAGTTCACGCACTTACGCCCATGGCTGAGACGCCGCTGCATATGAGGCGATGGCGGACAAGTGAATTTACACAGATGCGATCCGTCTATACATATTGGAGGAACAGGGCGAGAGCCGAGCGTCGTAACGGATGCTTCTCTCAGACGCTCGAGGATACGGCAAGGGAAGCAAACAAGCAATATCACACCAGCACGCGAGAGTAGAAGAGAAGACAATGGGACAACTTTCTAGCCGATAAGTCCAACATCTGGAATGCAGCCAGTATCTGAAGGCACAGAGTGGAGCGTCTTTTGACAAGATGCCTCAGCTCGTGAAGCAGAACGGAATCCAGACTTCGGACACTAATGATCGAGCCGAGGAACTGCTTTGCTGTTTCTTTGCACCACCGCCGGAAGATATTGTAGATGAGGAACACGGCCGGTGTGGATCCAATCACCTTGGCCAACATTACGCTTGACGAGATTGAACAGCAGCTCTTTGCGACGAAACCTTGGAAGGCACCTGGTAAGGATGGGTGGCAGCAGTCGTATGGGCCACAAGCACTTTGCCCAGAGTAGATAGTAGCGAGATTGGCATTGGCTTTTCGTGATGTCTGCTAGTTCCGTAATACCATCCTGGTGTGCGCGAACCAAGTCGTGTTCCTACTACCTTGTGAACTTACTAATTACCGTAATTAACCGTATGGGACGCACCAGCTCTACTCGTTTGTTTTTGGCGCGCAAGCATACAAGAGGCCGCGACAGCGGTATAACGACATTAAGCGCATGCACAAGTGCAGTGGAATGGTTGTGAGAAAGCTATGGCACTCCGAGCCACCTGAATGCACATGGCATTCTCCTCTGTTGTTGAACGTGACTTCGCCAATAGGTTAGGATAAAATGTTGGATCAGTTGTCTCATTAGAGATCTTGCATGCCTGGTTCGCTAGCCGGCTAGGGCATCGACAAACGTTTTTACAGTAATGCAAGTGGAACCCGCCAACTTGGTGCGCAAACAAGCCCAACTACTGCCTATCGAGGTTATTTCCTGGTACAGCCATACCCAAATCCGCAGATGTACAATCAACGTCAGTGAAGTCGCGCACTTGTGAAAAGGTATCTTGGAACGATATTAGCGGCGGTCAATCACATACGAAGAGTGACCAACCATCTGCTGAGCAGTGTCAAAGGGCGCAGTCACTGTATGTTCAAGTAACTATCGTACTGACCAGCGTGAAAGCTTTAAATGAATACAAATACAATATTCCGTCGATATGATGCGCAATTTATAGTTGCATATCCGCCACCTTGCCAGTCTCTCCATGGTCATAGTATGTATTTACTATGTAACTCAAACATGAGGCAGCACCTGGACCCAAAACGGAGCCCAGAACACCCCAATAGGCGCACTCCGCAGGCTGATAAACGACTCGATAATGAGAAAAAGCTTCGCCAAAATAATGCACATTGTGATTGCCAAGAGAAAAACCGAACATAGGGCGATCAATCCGACCGTAATGCAAACGTACACGATCCAAATCCGCGTGTAGCTTAGCTAAGGCTTAATCTTCTCCTTGGTCGACGAGATGCATAGCTCAATGAATAAAATGACCCAGAGACACGGGATCCCGCCCACAATGACGAAGCACGCGGCCTTCCAGATATGAAGCTCAACGATGCTAGGAAATGAAGTACCCACAGCCATGAGGTGGGCACCGCCGTACAGAGTCGGGAACGTGAGAGCAAGTAAGATGTTTGTCCAATGGCTAAGTGTAAGCTCGAGGTACGAAACTAGCGCCATCCAAGTCGTATTGAATATCGACTGTTTCTGGCATCCGCTGCTACTGACGAGATCCACTGCATCCTTTTCAATATAGAGATTATGCTTCGGCGCTGCCAATATAGACGCGTCCTCGAAGTAGTCCCCGCCCAGATCGTCTACAATGTCGGATAGGCGGCGGCGCTTAGGGACGGGGCGTATTTGGGAGATGTAGCATGCGATGCGCTCCAGACGGATTGCATCAATGGCGCTAATGTTGACTTCGCCGCTCTTGACGCCAATGCCGCAGGGCAGGGCTTGCCCACCTCGTAGGTTGATGCCTTCGGATGTGTCGCGCTGGATGTACTCAACCGAGTACAAGTGCTTCAAATTCAACGACACAGCAGTCTTGCTATTGCTCTGTGTCCCATTATTGGAGGCGTCGTTATAGAAGTCAGTCAGAGCGCCGTAGAAGGTGAGTCGGTCGAGTTGGCGCCGAAGATTCTTCGACAAGAGAGACATATGTGCCATGACTTCCAGAACTTCGCCGGTCATGTCATCCAGTACTTCTGGCTCCCGGATGTCTAGTGGTTTCTGTAACGAAAGGTTAGGATCTGGCAATCCATCATATTCAATTTGTGGTATACGCACGTTGAACCAAAAGCTGTACATGATCCCGGCAGAAAGGATATGGATCACCGTATGAAGCTCAAGAAGCGAGATGGGTAGCCCATAGATCTTTCGAGTAATGCATTGTGTTGCAAACCAGTAGACCTGGAGAACGACCAGGCCCTTCTCAAACGGGTTGAAATTGCTCTTGCGGTCAATGGTGTCGCTCGTGATGGGTATCCAGTGGCCCATCTGCAGCAACTGGCAAACGCCGGTGGACGAGAGCGTCAATATTGACTTTGGATTTATTAGCAAGGTCTTGACGCTTTCTTGCTGAGTTCCGTTATTTCTCTTCATTTGTTGATGATCCCTTCCCTGCCTTGCGGCATCGGCGACTCTTATTTGCACGGCTCCCATTGTGATGAAGAAGCAGAGACGAAGATCAATTGAGGACTAAGTTCGAGAGACATCAGCCGTTAATCTCAGTGATTTTGACTTATGTGGGTGACGAGGCTCACCTCTACCGGTAACAATTCCAGCGCTTCCCCTGACTTCTCTCTTGACTCCCTCGCCAGTCTCAATAACTGCCTCAACCCCTTCTGCAACCCTCGAGCCTCTAAGAATTGTGTTGCCGAGACATATATCGTGACCTGTGGGACCAGCAGCGCTGTCAAGATCCACTTTCCCTTGCTGCCAAGCAACGACCAGAAGCCCCTCTGTTGCGGCACATTAAGATGCAAAGCACTATAAACACATCCGATGGTGGTCAGGACGCACGACCAGAGTATACTCGACGTACCGCGGGTCTGAGGGTTATCGACCCACTCGGGGGCCAAGATGGTGGTCAGGGCCGTGAGGTTGTTCTGGTTATTGGTGCATTGGCTATAGATATTGGCAGCTTCGGAACTATGACCTCCCGCAGCGACTTGCGTTGCGGCGAGCAAAATATACCATAACAGAAACATAGTGACAAGTCGTCTGAACTATGCAGGCCAAAACGAAGAACAAATATCCCCGGATTGCAAGCAAGACTTCATCATAGCTTTTCAACTAAAATATTCGGTGACGCTGCTATATGTATACTTCCCAGGGCCAGTGCGACAACTGAACAAGTACGCCATAATTACAGGGTCAGTGTTCCGGCATCTAATAGCCTCGCAGACCCCGTCTATGATAACCGCACCCTGCAATAGCCTCGGGTTGAGCCTAGGTCCTTATACATGGTTTGGTCGCGCAGTGGGTTGTGTGTCATTGTCCCAGAGCATTCGAATACGTACGTCATCTTGGGCATCACATCCAGACATGAGAGGAGCGCGCTCCTGTGGCCTGCAGGAAACCCCGGTAGAAGCCCATTCACGGCCCAATCCAGCAATGATCTAAACACTTCATCAGGATAGTAACGGATACCGGCCTCCTCTGAATGCCGAGCAACCCGATTGACAATTGATCCGTTTTCGGTACTTTTCATGTCTAGAGCCAGCTTAGCCACTATCGGCTTTGCAATTGTATCAATCGTTAACGCAGCTTCCGGACCGCTCCAAGAATCACTCACTTTACAATGCGCAGGGCGATCTTGGGGGCGCAACTTTCTTGCCTGTCCAGAGGACTGGTTTAGTGGTTTGAGTCTGATGCGCTTCTGGTTGAACCCAACTTTTGGCGTAGCGAAGATGGCTAGCTGGTTCACGAACCGATGTCCTTGATACTTCTGCTTCGATATGTGGAGACCATTTCGGGTCTGCATAAGCTTGCCATCCTTATAAGTGGTACTGCAAAAGTCTGTGTCTAAATTTATCTTGGCGGAAGACATGGTTGGATAATTCCGAGTGGAATTCGGGTTGAGTAGCGGCCCGAAAGAGAGAAATGGCGTTGTGTCGTTTCGTGCCTAATGACCTTGTCGTGCTCAGAAACGAGTGCAAGCTCCTCAAGTCGACTGTCACATCGTAGGCGCTGGCGGAAAAGCCCCTTGAATGACGTCACTGACGCCAAAATTTATCCCGTGTCAAAACATAGAAGTCTAACTATGGCTCACGAGTAGAGCATTCGACGTCCACGAAGGGTAAGCCTGTGGTCTATAATAACGACTTGCCATTACATTTTAGTTTCAAAAGGCAGAACGAGCTCTTGGAGGAGATGGCAAATCGTATGGCACGGTTGGCGGAAGCATTGGCTTAGATCAGTTGTACGGTGTGGATGACCAGGTCATGAATTAAATGTTACATACACAACGATGTGTTGACAGCTTACCGACTGTTGAAGAGGTCAGGAACTCGAGAGATATTTTTCATATTAGCCATACTAAAGCTAATGTTTGATGGATTTGGAATGGCGCTCAATTTCACACACACATTGACGGCGGTGATTAGTGGACTCCGCCCATCAACTTCAGCAACGTGCTACCCCGTTGAACGCCTCCCTCACGAGATTCTCCAGTGCTCTCAAAATCACAACTTGCGCTTGAACATATATGATCCGTACATACCACCAATCTCCTGCTTAGCCATGGATATCTTTCGCGTACCCCAAAGTGACGTGCCAGGTTTCCACAAACGGTTACTCGAGTCTCTCCGACCGGCATCCACCCATCGCTGTCGCACCAGCCAGCTCGATTGCCACATCTTTCGACGCTCGACGATCTTTCGTCATACTCGAACTATCAGAACTTATCTACGCCATCCAACATTGAGAATTACATCCGCTACATATAGAGCGGTATCAAATGTATCAATCACATAACCTCTAAACCGTTACCATGCTCGTTTGTCTTGACACAGTGTCGAAGTGCCTGGCTCGTTAAAAACACGCCTGCTCGCTCATACATCTTGCTAGTTTTTGATATAGGCCGCTGTATTTCGTATGGACCAGGTAGTAAGAATTGTACTGAGCCTAGCTTTGGCATAGAACTCGCTTCTCGTTTATATGCGGACTTTCATCATCCCGGATGGGAGAATAGTGCGATTGTGTTGGTCGTCGCAAAACCTCCAACGGAGACGATGGGGAGAAGATAGAACAAATGAAATGATCTGCATCATACTCCATAGCGGTTTGAGATGGATGTGGCGTGCCTCCATCGTATTTCAGGGTCGTAGATGGTAGTACCATGATAGTCTTTTTCGCGACATATGTCTCCGGTTTTGGTTTTGGCTTTGCTCTCACTGATTTCCTCCTTGATCTCATGATTTTCATCATGACAGCTCCTTCTCCCGAATCACTATCATCGACATTACTCCTATATTCGTGTTCTCGCTCCTCCTTGTCCACTCCTACACTGGAATCCATCGCGATGCATTGCTCAACACGTTCATCAAATTGGACGCATTTGACTTTCGGTATGTGAGTTTCAATTTCCGAAGTCGATTTTGAAGGCATGCCTAGCGCCCGCTCCCGGGCCACTTGTGTTTGTACAATAAGCCTTGTTACACGACCTCTTCTATCCAGATGTTGTGGTTGAGTATCTTTCGTGGCCTGTTTGAGAACGGACGACAACGAACGAGACTCTAGGCGCAAGGTCTCTGCTATGCTCATTTTTCTCAGGTTGGACTTGTTAACGATGGACACGTTAGTCATGGGCGAAGTGGAGTTTGTCCGTCCCATGCTTCTTGATAACGACGTAGGTCGACACTGCTGTAGTGGACCATACAACCAAGTTACGTCACAGTCTCTCAGCCTATGAAGGAATTAGTATTCTGATGCCATTAAATAGTTGAAAGCATCAAGATGTAGTAATACCAATTAATGGTCTCCGGCGAAACCGTTTTGAGGTTGCATTTTGTCTTCGTCCAAGCCCTCCAAGATGCATTCTCTAACCTCTGTGCATTCTCTAACCTCTGTGCATTCTCTAGCCTCTGTGCATTGGAGCATTCGCCTCGATTCGACACGAGATAGCGCCACGATGACCATATATCTTCTTCTACCCAGTCATGTGACAAGTAATCAACATGGTTGCTAGGGTGGCGCTGCACCAAAGTGTCATCTCCTGCTCGTTTGTTGATTTCGGATATTTCTAGAGTTGAATTGGTAACAAGCGTTACAGGATCAGACGCGGCCACTAAATTGTGGCTATGCTCCGAGGATCGTTCGTACGATAAATTCGGCGGCGGATGTGACTGAGGGGAGGGCAACGGTGAAAATGAGGTATTGTCATCAGGTGAAAGAAAAACAGCCATACCCTGAACTTCAGCCAGCTTCTCATTCGCCATTGATACAATGCCCCTTAGCTTAGACCGTCCACTGCAGGGCTCCTTGGTGTTTGTATGGACGATTTTCGTGGAAGAGACCTGAGGATGCTCTGAATCATGGTTGACAGAATCTTCCAGGCATTCTAACGCCGCGGGAATGCAAATATTTGCTCTTTAGAAAGAGCGGGCGTAATGGCTGAGAACGGGATGCGAGCCAACATCAATAAGAGCTTACATGTGCATCGGCGCAAATAAGGTGACGGCCGGGCTGGCCTAGGAGATTGAAGCACGCAGCGGCATACATATTGTGCTAGGCCGGAGCGCGCAAAGTCGAAAGCCGCTATGGTCGTAATAAAGCAAGGCAGGACACAGCAATTAATTCATTGTACAACGGCGGCGCTGGTGGCTTCTAATCACCCAGGCACTAATAATAAAGGTGAACAATACCGGGCTTCAACATTCAAAAGATAATGAGCAAATGAGAGACCGAAGAGAAGCCACAGCGGGACGGCTTGAAGGTTCAGCCTTTACGGGGGGCTACTTAAAGTGGTGTGGAGATCCGCTGGTAAACAACTGATTTGATAACCTTCTCCGAATCACCCTGCAGTGCATTTGCTTTCTTAAGCTTCATTGGTATTGATTGTCAGTACGCATGGTAGTAATACAGATACTAGCACGGAATGCATTCCAACAGATCATTACCGGACTTGATATTGTTGACATACAGCCCATTGCGAGGCCAGGAACGTACCTTGCTTCTTCAAACTTCTGCTAGTGGATGCGACCGCGGGCATTGCGCCGTCCAGCCATAAGCCCCCGATTGCTCAAGTAGCCCTCTATCTTAGTACTCGGTTAACAAGGGCAAAAATAAGCGGAAGGTGCTCCAACGCCTCGTGGATTTGAGATTAGCACTAGATGCTATGCGCGACAAACAGGTTTCACAATACATGGAATCCTCTGGGTGATGAAGTGGAGTGATGCACCTATTTTGGCTAGGCCAACTTATAAAAAGAAAGAAAGTCCTGACGGACAAATCTTAACTCCATACCACGTCTCGCATGGTATGGAGCGGCCGTGATCCTGAAAGCGTTGCAAGGAATACGCATGCTGTATGAGACTTTTGATGCCCTATGAGTAGGCAAGCAACAAGGTCACACCTGCTAACTCTTGTGGTTTAGTATAAACACGCAGTCGCACATTGCTCTCGATCTAAGTTATTCGCATCTCATATCGAATTGGCTCGACACATATCTCTTGTTTTCCGCTTACGAAGGCAGCCTCGAATGGAGAACAATACCAGCCCACTGAGCGGAGATTTACTTGCATGCATTAGGTGTATTGTCGCATCGCCATACCATAGACAGGTTTCGAGCCGGACTTACCATAGCCTTCACATGAGAATTTCGCAAACAAAAAACGCTGCAACCGATCGATTGACTCGGTATGGCGTAAGATTCTCGGATGCGTCGTTGGGAAAGCGATGCAGAACCGCTAATAAACCAATCGTAAATCGGTAATTTTCGTGCAATCTGGAGTAAACAAAGTAGTGAAGAGGAAAGATAGATAAACGTATATATTTTCTTGTAAATCTGCTTTTGTTTTGTAGTGAATTAGCTAGGAACTAGAACCGCATCCAGCGTTTTGAGAGACACAAACAACAAGAATTTCCCCAATGGAAGGCCTCTAGGATCCGGGCGTGCATATTGAACTAGGTTGTTCTGGTCCCTTGATGCATAGCTCAGGTTGAGGTGACGAGACTCTATGCTTAAACGATTCAAACCGCTTCTGCTACATATGGAGGCTTGGGGAGCCCGTGAGTAACGCTAGACAAGAACTAATTGGTCATTGGAATTGTTTTTCCGAGTCCACAGAGTAAAACCCTGCAAACCCACGGATGAGACCCGCCAGTTCGGTGCGCTAAAAAGGATCATTACTTATTGAAATCCCCACCAACTGCTAGGGTAAATCGCCGACTGGTCTCCGAAGAGACCACAATGTATAGATATGCTGCACTAGTTTTCCCGTCGATAGCGTTGGAGAACATCTGAACCTTAATCCTGGCTATAAGCTGCCGGCCACAGCGATATATCTCGTCGTCCTTGTTCGGCGTGATCCGTTAGTCTCATCTCTTACGTTGTAGTAATACACCTTAGAATTGGTTCATCCGTTCTGATTGTCCATCGCAGTGTGGACAATCGCAGGCCTAGAAAGAGCCGCTGTAATGGTCGTGATCAATCGCGTATTACTATTACATTGATAGCGACGATGATCACATACTAGTTTCATGAACGTACATATCTTATTGCGTTCAAAAATTCAACACGCTAAATGCCACCACGTCTTAGCTCCCGTTCAAACCATCCCGAGGCTGGGAAGGCGGGACATTTCACGTCCCACCTGAAAAAGTGATCATATCTACCTGTAGATCTGCCCCCACTTCCCCACCACTTGGGATTTCCTGATTCCTTGGTGACACATGAACTCAACAAACGGCCATTGCGGTAACCCAAATGACTATAGGCTGAGTTGGGATAGAATTTCAAGTCTATGTTCTCGTAAATCCTCCCATGATCACATAACTTAGCCTTTGCCGTGCCTGCAATCATGGTGACAAAGGGCGGCGCCTTACATTCTCACCGTGATCCTCCAACTCAGAGGAGAAGCTATAGGCAGTCTGAAAAGCCACCGAGAACAGTTGTATTACAAATACTATGTGGAATTTGTCTTTGACAGATTGAGACAGCTATTGAGATATTTTTTGTCCACTGCTCGATCGGGATCATACTTTCATTAGTGAATACGGCAAGTCCCGGGCCCATGAAATACGGTCACTACAGTAACGTTAAGTCGGCGACCTCGATGTAGTACCAAGCAGTCACAAGTCTTCTAACAGGTCACCTAGGCCCCTTTTCTATGACTTGATGACAGACAAGAATAAACGGAAAGGGGTTAGGCGCTTCGCATGATCCTTATTGGTCAAGGAAAGCATTTAACAGATGTGATTACAATTAAAAGATCTGAGAACATTGGCTTCGGCATAACAACGACCCTATAATCTACTCAGAAATGATTTCCGCATTTGGATCGAGATCTTGTAGAAATTTACAGGATACATTGTTGGAGAGGGATCTACATAGTCAGTGGAAATTGCGTTAGCCCTATAGTATTCTATCGTTTGTTGTGCCCTCTAACTTTTGACAACCTCTTAATCAATGCACTGCTCTCATCGAGAGCTAGTAGCCCTGGGTCTGCCTTCAGGTGAGAAGCGACAATGGTCAACCTTACATCTTGTACTCAGCGATATAAGCAGGCCCCTCTCTACTTTGAGTTTAAGCGGTAGTTGCGCCCTACTATTATCTGCATACTAAACTATGTCTTCCTCTCACAACCTCCATTATAAGGTCGAGCCCTTGTCTTCCCGATCACCTTTGGCAACAGCACCCCACTTAGACGATAGGTTGCACCCTCCGTCGGCGCGGCTGGAAAATATCGCTGACTGGTATCCATACTATCAATCTTGTCAGAACCATTTTCTAGCAATTGCACAACACACCAACCATGTGCAAATCCTCGCGGCATCTATAAACATCCGGCTTCCCCTCCAGATTTTGCAACTGTCGAATGCTCGCGACATATTGACCATCTACATCCGCCGATTAGTGGCAACCGGCTTAGATACTTATAGCATCTTAAACCTTTTCTTCGGACACGACTGGCCTATGGGCATAGGCCATATCCATGAAATCGAACGGAGACATTATTTACTTGCTGCAAAAAGCGCGAGTTGGTTAGAGGTCAAGTCATATTACGATATGGGAGACGGGCAGAGCATCCCATACCTTCGACCATTACAGAACGTCACGGAAGAGGAAATCGTTGCCGCCGAATCGGCTTGGAGCGCATGGTTGGCAATGCAGGATTGGATGTTAGGACCCCGGTCGCCCTGGGCAAAGGATGCGATGGCAGCGGGGGAGGTCTACAGCCCTGGTTGCTAATCTTTACGTAGTTTAGATTATATCTCAGAATTTAGACGAGTTATGATTCAGCATCGATTCTTCCGGTCGGAATTGGACGTTTAGCCGGTGCACGCTACTAAAGGTGAAATAAGTGGGAATGCAAGCTATCGTTTGCTGTGTATCTGGGAAGTGCTCTAACACAAGGGCATTTCGTCGAGCTATTGTCGGATTCGGTGTGTTTAGTATATTATCTTTTGTTCTCTTCATGTTTCACATAGTTAGAATAAATTGTTGAGGCAGGGAAGTAGATCATGCCGGCTAGGCTACTTGCCTTGATGTAGTTAATTAAGATAGTAATGCACAGCTATTTGCCTAGTCAAGGTAGATGACTCCAACCATATGGTTGGCTTTTCAACACTTTCCAATCAATCTTCAGCTCGTCGAAGCGTTTTCGGAACTTCCTCTTGCCAGTGGCGGAACAATCACCTTGGTATCTTGTGCTTAATAAGACACACCCGGTGGCGTCTTCTGCTGAACAACAGACTCAAGTTTTCCCTTGAGCGTCGTCTCCCAAAACCTCTCAGGGGTGAGGATGATGTCCTCTTCCGTATCCTCGGCCTTGCCCCCACCATTGACAGTCAACTTCCACTCGATCGCGTACCGGAGACGATCTGGCTGTGCGACCATCATTGCCTTCAACTTCATCAACTTTATTAGCTTCTCCTTCGGCCCGGTCGTCTAGATGTATCATTAACAGCTGGTCTACTTCGTTTTGTCCAGAGCACAATCTATCATGATTTGATTGAGAATCGGAGTAAGCAGAGGCGCCTCTATAGCACTGGGAATCACCATACTCCTGGAACAACGAGTCTAGGGACCGTGCGATGGACTCGGCATCACTTCGACTTGACGAGACATGGTGGGTAAGCGTAAACGATACATGAGTAATGCGTGGTGTTCAAGTTCAACACAATATCAATGCGTATTGCAAGTCATAATAGACGATCGTTACGAATGGGCATTAGCATCAGAGTAAGCTATGGAATGTACGTCTAGGCTCGTCTGGATATTGGATTGTTTGCTCCTAGATTCCATTCTAGAGCAGTATGGGCGAGTGACTAACGTTTGTCAAGAGCACCAATCATTCAGGAAGACAGGCTTTGCGCACACAGTCTATTCCGTACGTTTGATCCAAAACCGTCCTGGAATGTCGGGAAAATTTTTGTAACATTCCTGCCCACGGTTGAGATGAAAATGAAAGAAGACTGCTTGCCGCGTTATCATGTCAGCCAGAAGTGGCCGTCACGTTTCCTTTCCAAGTGTATCGAGCGGGTCCTGAAGTGTGTGCCCATAAAACTGTACTATAGTAAACACGTATGGCATGTGATTTATTGTACAGCCTCTGTGGAACCCAATTTAGTTCCTGAACATTTACCTGACACAGATGACTATTTCGTGGCTGCTCGTCGTCGTGTAGGAACTCAGGAAGGCGACTAGAGATGATTAATGGTGGTTACGGTGTGCCCGACGCTAACCAACGAAAGAAGGTGCCCAATGACAGCGTTGTTAAGGTAGCCAAGGCCGTATAGTGGAACTAGAGTAGAATCTTTGGCTCGTTTTGTGGCCAGAGGGAATGACAGAGGAGCAAAACCAAGAAGGGCGACGATGTTTGCCATTCTTCATCGATAATTTGTTCTGGTATGCTCAGCAAGCTCATGTCCCAAGTGCATCGTGTGCAACCCTATCTCATGCGAACGAGACAACTATAGTGGTCCGGTAACCGCCATGGCCAAGTCGGGGGCCGTGACGATATGGAAAGTGAAGCATGAAGATGCGTACGATGACAAGAGGACAACAAGGGCCAGAGAGTTACGGAGTATGAGCTATGTAGAGAGTTGTCCAGAGAAGCAAGCCAAGAGGGATGTGTGATGTAGAGGACACCAAAGCGAGAGTGAGAAGAGTGAGAAGAGTGAGAAGAGTGAGAAGAGTGAGAAGAGTGAGAAGAGTGAGAAGAGTGAGAAGAGACAGGATGGGAAACGTCCACCACCGAGAGAGCACGTCCAACTTGATGCGAGCTCGTATACGGATCTGACCACAGAACACTTTGCTGTACCTTGCTGGCCCGTTTCGTCAAACAGACCAAAAGTGATGCAGTCCTGTACAGCACAGTATCCCGTCGAGGTCATGGCCAAATATGAACCCATCCACCGAACGTGAAATGGAACAACGGTGGATTTGGTGGCAGAACACGATTTTGTCTAAACGACTGTGCTGTCTTGGCTCTGGAGTGGAGTCGCTGCCGGCTGTTGATGGTCAACCTGTCTGCGATCCATTTCCGTCTCGATGGGGCACGTCACCGACCTCCACCTGGTGGCAAGCGGTCCAAAACTGACACAATAGTAAATAACTTCTGGCCATCTTCTTTCCACAATTGACTGACAGATCCAGATGCGCCTCTGGCACAACACGAAAGATGGAGGCTGGCCAGACGCACCCCATTAATCACATGATTAGGCCCACCCAGATTCTTCTATATAAGCCTATCTTTTCGCAGATTGTCCTGGACTTTTTCTTTCCTTTCTTCTTCATACTCGTGTCCATCTAGCGGTTAACCATGTCCTGCTAGATGTAAAAACATTCCGTTGTGGCAGGTCAGCGTTACCACCCGCTTCCCTCGGACATGATAGCTGAGATGAACTTCCGCTGTGGCAGGTCAGCGTTACTAACCGCTTCCCTCGGACATGATAGCTGAGATAAGGTCGGCGAAGACAGATTCTGCGACCTGTACGTGTGCCGGCTACAAACCTGTTCTATCCGGAGCAGAGCCGATGTAGAGACGCAACCTCCTGGATCTCGATCCAGGGCCTATATAGTATCCACTGTAGATGTAGCATATGTGTAATTGAAACACCTATAATATTTGCCTTCGCAGCCTCCATGCCCTTTTGTTCAACCTCATTATGTATAACTTAAATGAATGCCGTACGTGGCTGACCGAGTTAGTAATGGATGACTGCCGCATTTGTGCTGTCAGAACACGCGAGCAACTAGACATAGTGTCTGCATGCGCTGTGACTGCTCGTTCCTCTCGTTCGCTCGATCCTCCCGTCCGCTCGATTCGCTCGCTCGACCCGCTCGTTGAGCCATGCCGATGGCAGCGCTAGATCTGGACATTAGTGCTCTAGGTCCTCATTTGTCCATGATGGCTTTTCGTCAATCCACTTTTAACACCATTAAGAGGAGAAAGGTATCGTTTCGGCCGGCGCTGCTGGTAGTGGTGAAAAGTGGTCATAGGACTACGCGCATTGGACGCGACCGACAAGTGGCTAACGGCGGTCTCTTCGGAGTGATTTCTCGTTTTTCTCATGGACTCCCAGTTACCGTTTATCTTGTGACTTTGACTTTGGGAACACTCGAGCCATCTCGACACTTATAATCTCATTCTTGTATACAAGTTGTTGTATCCTGCTACCGCCTTTTCATTACAAGACAAGACTACATCCTCGACAGGGTTTGTAATTAATCAATCGAATCAATATATTGATTAATTCAATCCGGCATTTTCCGTAATCAACCACAGACTGTGCAATCGTGGAGGAATGACGGAGAACACCTTCGACCTCGGCTGCGCATGGTGCTGGAAGCCATTCCACGCGAATCGGCAATGTGTGGCAAGGTCGACCAAGCCTAAATAAAAAACCACACGGCGCTTCGGTAACGAGTTTCCATGGCATCTAGCTCGCGCCTAAGGCGTCGCTCAAACTTATCGGTTGAGTTTCTGTTACAATAGATCTTAAAAAGGAGTGACGAGTGTTACATTAGACCGGCTTTGTCACGTATTTAGACTTAGGAAATCCCGTGAATTAGAATGGAACTTACGAGAGGACATCATGGGTTCACACTTATTGGCAGTCCTAGGCAGAGCTGGCAATTGGAATCGAGGAATGGTTCAAGGTGTTACGCGCCCTGTTTTAGCTTCTACACGCAGTAACGCGTTGTATTAAATCGGCTGTCCAGCCAGAATAGCCTTACAAAAGAGCAGCGATAGCGGCCGCAAAAGGTAGGCCACTGTCCAGGCTGGGTTTAGCCTTGCTTAGCCAGCCTGTATCCAGCCAGTTAGCCAGCCTTGTCCGGGGACCCCTTTCTGATTTCACGTTTCGCTTTCTTAGACTTGCTGTCTTATCACGCTTTTATGCATTACAAGTTCTGTTTGCACCTTTTACATACTAAGTTGATTTGAATTGCGGCCATTCTACCCCTTGTTGTCCTTTAAGAGTACTTTGATCTCGATATAATAGACACTAAAAGGTACATCCGCCTAGGATATTTGGGGGCTATCACGTTATAATCGATACAAGTCGCTACCTTCGCCTATATTCAGGAACCCAGCTTGGCTTCTGGAAACTGTAGACGAGTAATCAAGGTGGGGGTAAAGCGGCGCACTACTAACGGCGTGCAGAATTCTGAATATACGCTTGGCGAAATAAGACGAAGTTAGGATTAGTCCGTAAAAGACCACAGATCCTGTCACGATTTCCTAATCGGGGATTTGGTTTGCCACGTAATGCTAATTCATATAAACCCACCTAATTACGAATCCATCCATTTTAGTACAAAATGGATCCATTTGGCTGGCAATTCGGTAGATTCTGGCCCATCCACTACATTCAGGGGTGTAATAAATTGAATGGATTAATTTCGATCCTTGTCGGAGCCGAATTCTAATCCCATATCGGGTTAAATAGCGACTAGGAAACACTTAGAGGGTATAAGGTAGTAGTAAATTGCGATCTCTTCTTTTCTTTAGCTTCTTGATTTTTGAGAACTATCTCCCGAGATCCTCCGTGCCTAACCCCTAACCCTCTAGCGGCTAGATTGGGCGCATCTTGGACGGCCTAGACCAAACCTTTTTGAAAGAGCTCGACTAAGCCTTGTAAACGCTTCGGATACTAGGAACTTGCTCCTCCATAGTGGGAGGCCTCATTTACCGCGGTAGCCACCCGGTTATAGTTATTACGCGTTAAATTAAATGCGTATTCCATGGGAACTTCTACATAAAAGTCCTCATATCTAGCTTGCCTAAACCGAAGGACTAAAGTGGGGTGGCATATTCCTAGAAATCAGTGATGTATAGCATCTCTGATTGGTTCTTGGTTCCGAGCTTGTAAAAGGAACACCAGTGATACGACACGCTACTAAGTCTCGCCCGTTTATAATCGTGCTATTACACTGTAACGCTAGTGTTTCTACTTAGTGAAAAGCTACACCGTCTTATTCTTAATATACTATTATATTGTCAGAGATGATTAATAATAACTGATAATTTAATAACGCCCTGCCCTTTTCATGTCACGCTACTTAAAACCTCCGCACTCTACGAACCTAGGAACTTTAGCCTTGTTACTGATTATTAGAAGCCAAGCCATATACTTAAGGAACTTACCGCAGCCTCGGAGGTCTCAACGCCTTGTTAAAGCAGTATTCTGGCATGTTAAGCGCCCCTAGCGGTTCCTTAGCGACTTCATATCGGCGTATTACCATGACAGTAGGCTTAGTAAGTACATCTCATAGCACTTAAGAAGGACAACAACACTTACTCAATATACCTCATATTATCAGGTTTGAAACGGATGCAGATTACTTGGCCGTATACGGCAAACATACGCCATAGTAACGACGCCTCTCCGGCGCACCTAGTGGGTTTTGACTCGCCTAAAAGTCAACGAGCGTAAAGGTTAAAGAGCTTATAGAGATAATAACGGAATACTAATGTGCATCGCCATTTTTTAAGTTATCGCTAGTGAGGTTAGGTTAACCTTGTAGTCCGGTGCTAGCCTAACCACCTAACTTCTTTACCGAGTTACATCGTGTGTTACCGCCGTAATAAGGCCATGCAAGTCGCTTGGCGAGGCTAATTCGTCATTCGGCTTTAGCGGTCCAGCGACCGGGAACATTTGAGACTTTTACCAGCTATTTCTTTTCTTTTACTAGAGACAATGGTGAGTAACCCGTATTGATGAATGTTGTATGCCAATGAAAGCGAGTCTCCATTATCTCGAGCTACGCAGACTGTCACAAGTGTCTCAGAAAATAGAGCTGAAGACTCGAGACGCCACTAGACTCCAGACTGGATTAGGGGTGGGCGGGTGCTTGCACAACACAGCTTCGGCCCGCAGATCTTCCCTGACAGCCCGAATACCCTACAGCTATAGTGGGTATCATTTCTTAGGCTGTAACCCCGTCTTGCGCTAGTACACTGGGATCCGCTACGACTCCTATCTAATATTAGCATTGCTACCGCCGCGCTCTTGTTCATTTTTGCACTTCGATTTGGCATAAGATATAAGAGGAAAGTCATTTGACAAGACGGCTAGCGGACCTGGTGGACCAGGAAAACTCCCTTCTGTAACACTTTAACTAGGGAAAGGGGCGAAGTCACGTGCATTCAGCAAAAGTGTTAGGACGGACATGTCAGCTAACAAGCATCCGGCGTCTGCTTAACTCGGAGTGGAGGTTGTACTCGAACCGCTCTATAATGGGAACGACGCAATGTGGGCTATAAATTATACATCTGAAGTTGCGCTGACGCACCATCTAAGGGCTCGTCCGCCGCCTCCACTGCCATTAACACGTCCAATACTATTAACGAAGGTAGTGTCGTTTGCGGAACGACGCGTGCGTGTGGCATTATCAACAACGGGAGACCTAGACAGCAGCTTCTTCAGCTAACCGAACCCGGACTACACTTCTTCATCTTCTTCTTCGGCCCTAAGACAGCCCATTGATTCACCTGCTACGCCGAGGAGGAGGTCTTATACGAAAACGTTGCCTCTCGGACCACCTCAACCGGTGCCGGGGCTGGAGGAAGATGGAAGCGTGACTTCGTCCTCGCCGAGTTCTTTCCCTTCGTTAACTCCAACCCTGCCACTTGCGCCGCATGAGTCCTTTCGTACTCACGGGATTGATGTCAAAGGAGAAATCATATCTGTTTTAAACAACGCAGGGGCAGGTTGGAAACGGCACATCCGCGTCTACGGAGGAGGCGTTTGCCTCGCCTGTACGGCATCGGAAGGCAAAGGCGAGTTCTACGGCCATAGAGTGCGGCCCGAGGAGCAAAGATAGCTTTGAGATTACAGTTTGCTATCAGACACGGAAGATAATGATGGACATGACGAACCGATCGAGAAATGTCGTTTATATAACATTGGAGTCTTTGCATTGATTGCGTTCTTGCATTCTGTAGCATTTATCGGTCAGATTTTTTGGTTAAACCTCGCCTGCACAGCTTTAGGGCAACGAGGTACCTGTCATTGGTGGCTGTGTCTGCTCGTCTTAGCATACTGGATAGACGATGCTTTCTAAATCCCCGGGAGTCTAAGCAAAGGCCGAGGCCGTGGATGATGCAAATACTAGATGGTCATAACACTTACCTCACAGCCCGCTTCATGCTTACATCCTCTGGATGAGAATTGCCTTGGTATACGTGCCACCCATACTAGCGAAGCTTTACAGCCCCTTGATAAGATCTGTGTCTCCTCTATCAAACACCACTATTACCAGAAGCCAAGGAAATGGCGAGGTATCTCGGCCACTAGACCCATCAACAAGCAGAGGATGCTCATAGCTTGCACTGCTGCTGCTAGGAAGCCTTCACAGAGAAGATCTTCCAGCGCGGCTGGGAAAAACTAGTATTTTCCTACTTAACACGACCCAAGTGCTACAGGATCAGGAGCTCTTCCCTTCCACCTCGCTCACCACGGCCATCAACACCACAAGAGTCCACAGCAGGCCTCCAATCAATTCAATTGGCCTGTTTTGGAAATCAATTTAATCGTCGTCTCCCAAAATTTTAAATGAATTAATCACGAGGTTCAATTAATTCGTCTGCCATTTTTAGTATCTTCGGCTGGGTCCGCGGTGGTAAGCTCGAAAAGATATTACACTGATTTATATGACTAATGCTCACCAATATATGTTCATATCAATAATTCCTGGGAAAAGCAATTATTCGACTACAGGACACTACGTTTATCAGGATTCCAGACCCGCCATGGTTACGGTCAGGCCTGTACCCGACAGTCGACTTTAAAATTTCATCGACCGTCGAATAGTATGTCGACTGTCGACTTCCGAATGCCAAGAATTTTATAACTTAGGAGACTGTTCGCTCAGCTATGATCCTATCGCCAAATGTAACCCCTAATCGCTGTACACTCTTAAGAAACTTTGCACGTTCAATGGAGGCGGCCCTTAGTGCTGCTCTATCCTATTTACAAGTCCTTCTCCCTCCAGAAAAGACGCGCTTAGCTTCGTTAGAGAGCCCAGGTATAGACAATATTTCGATCGCCATTTGTGATAGGCGTGGCCACTCTTGACGTCTCTCTGGAGAGAGCCACCAGTCAAGTGCACTCATGCCTTCTAAAAGCCTCGTCGGTGCCTGGTCGATAAAGGTATCCACCTCATCGTCGTTGAGATCAAGCCAGATCAACCTAGCAGCACGATCAAAAGCATCGGGCTCCCTTGTGAGGGTCGTCACATAGAGCGATACTAAAAAGGTTGAAACCAGCCGGCTGCTTGTTATCCCTTTTTTCTGCACCTCTACTACTCTTGCACATGATTTTCCTGACCGTAACTCTGCTTTTGAAAACGATGGCAAGTTTTCCTCAATCTTGACACACCTGTAGTAGTCGAAAATCGATGCCTAGTCGTGTCTACATAAAACACAGCTGATAAAGATGACTAAGTACTTCGATGGACCAGCGCTCCTTGCGTAGATATGAATTGCGTACTACATCCATGGCCGACGTGCAGCCGAAAATCCGCTGCAGTGACTACGACGTAGTCGCAAACTAGCGCAGGCCAAAGTCAAACTAATAATCGAAGTCCCCCACCGACCCCGCTAGCCTCACTGTGCAGTACTGTTCATTCATCGCCAACTTATTCTTTTTTTTGGGTTGAGAGTACAACCGGTCCAGATGGCGGGTCTGCCTTCCATAGGGCCTAGTCCCATCTCCTTTAGTTTCTTTCGTGCTGGTGGGGCAGAGTGGCAGCCGGTTGTGAAACTTGACATTCGCCTGATACCGGAGCCGTGGGTGGGCATTCCTCGGAAGGAGCATGATGGTTAAGGCACACCCCAACTACAAATCTTTTCCCCAGTAGACAACTGGGACAGCGATATGACCAAGCCAAGGTCCCTCATCTACGTAAGAATGCACCTCGAAGCCCAGCAGCTCCGGCCATACAAGACCAAAGACGTGACGGGGGTCGAAGTGCGAGGCATCGCTTTTATCGGCGTATACAGGCCAAGCACAGATCCCCAGCAGGTGGACAAGAGCCTTTAGGTGTGGCTGCCCCCTTCTGGGTGCGTTGTAGCGTGGGGTTTCAATGATGGCGACGCCAAAGTGGGGGCGTGGCACAGGTATGGTTTAATTCTAAAAACAGGGCACAAAGTAAGCAAGATAGATCTCCCGTGTCTAGAGTGCTTGGATGGGTAGAAACCACGAACTACATCAAAACATTACGGACAACATAGCCCCTTCAAAACTGGCTATCTCAGTCGTGATACACGTTGCTTGAGCTTAAGCACATGCCACCAAACGAACCTCCTGCTTTCTATGACCAGTCTCCAGCCCGGAAGAACATGCCAATTATCTTTGTCCCCCCACACTTTCGACGGCACCACCCATCCGCGGACCCGAAACCGATCTTGCTATAACCGACAGAAATCGAATAAGCCAATGACATGGGTATGAACAAAATAGTTGCTCATGTTCAGCCTCTTTCTACAGGGTCTGCTTCCTCACCGGATTTGTCCCCAGATTGCTGGCTTGAACACGGAGTTGTGAGCGGTACGACCGACATGGAAGATCGTATTTTCTCTATACGCTCAGTCGTCGATGTTGAGCAGCCCCAGTCCATGTCATATTCGCACGAAACTTGCGAGCATGACCTCCCTGATCTTAACTTTAATGGTGATTACCACCAAGCCGATAACTCGCGGACAGAGTTTCAGAGGGTCAAAGCAACCAATACACTACATACACCGGCATCAGTTCTCCCAAATAACACCAAAGACGAAGGAAAGAATGCCTCGGACGACAGTTTTGATGGAGTTGGATCTAGAATACTTGGCGACTCAAAAGAGCAGGTCTACGCAACGCAATTCATACATACTACAACCGAAGAAGAACATTATCTCATTACCGGTAGAGACGGGGCTCTGCGCCGGTGTGAAGATGAGCCCATTCATATGCCTGGAGCAGTACAGTCCTTCGGTTTACTTGTAGCGCTTAAGGAGGTCAACGGCCGCTTCCCTGTCCACATTGTCAGTGAGAACTCAAGACGCATCATTGGCTATTCCCCGCAGCAGCTCTTCAAGCTCGACAGCTTTATGGACCTCTTCTCCGAGGACCATGTGCGCAACATTCTCGACCACATAGACTTCATCCGGAACGAAAATCCTGACGTCACCAACAACGGACCCGAGGTCCTCAATACGGCACTGCACCCGTTGGGAGAGATAAGCGTTAAGTTATGGTGCGCCATTCATATCAGCTCCGCGAATCCAGACCTGATCATTTGCGAATTTGAGTTGGAGAATGACAATGATTATCCTCTCTGCCCACCAGACGAAATTGCACGACCTGCATCGGAGGGCCCACCTCATCAGGAGTCAACCCGCAAAGAGTTCGATTTGGGTGATAAAACGGGCAGCACACTGCTTAAAGTTCTATCTAGGGTACGGAAGAAGGGAGGAGAGGCGGGTCCTATGCAAATTGTCGATATCATGTCCCAAGCACAAGAACGATTAACATCGGCCCCGGACCTCGACAAATCTCTCGAGGTCCTTGTTAGAATCATCAAGGAATTAACCGGCTTTCACAGAATCATGATACACCGATTTGACTCATCTTACAATGGGAAAGTAATCAGCGAACTAGTTGATTCTGCCAAGACGCAACACTCTTACCGAGGCCTGCATTTCCCAGCTTCTGACATTCCTAGGCAAGCTCGCGAACTGTATAAGATTAACAAGGTCCGCTTACTCTATGACCGTGATTTGGAGCCATCCCGACTAGTATGTCGGACGGGCGCCGACGTTGAGCATCCTCTGGACCTCACTCATTCATACCTCCGCGCGATGTCACCAATGCACCTCAAATACCTCGCCAACATGGGTGTTCGAGCATCTATGTCCGTGTCTGTCAACGCTTTCTCCAATCTTTGGGGATTAATTGCGTGCCACTCGTATGGGCGTGGAGGCATGCGAGTGGCTTTTCCGGTTCGAAAAATGTGTAGACTTATAGGGGATATGGCATCCAGGAACATAGAAAGGCTGTCTTACGCCTCGCGCTTGCGGGCAAAAAAGTTAAGTCACATCGTTCCTGTCAGCAATCACGTGCCGGGTCACTTCATTGCCTCGCCCGAAGATTTACTCGGGCTTCTTGATGCAGATTTCGGCATGCTCTCCATAGGCAGTGAGACCAGGATATTGGGGACGGTGGAGCAGTCCCAAGAAGCCCTTGCTATCCTCGAATACCTACGAATCAAGAAATTCGCCTCGATTGTAGCCATAGAAGATATTCGTGTAGAGCTCCCGGACCTACGGTATCCTCCTGGCTTCACTGTTATTGCTGGTCTGTTATACGTACCATTGAGTGTGGGAGGCCTCGACTTCATTGTCTTCTTCCGAAAAGCTCAGGTCAAAGAAGTGAAATGGGCAGGTAATGCGAACGAAAAAGAAATTAGGGCGGGCACTTCCGACTATCTTGAACCACGAACGAGCTTCCAGGTGTGGAGCCAGACGGTTGTTGGCAAGTGTAGAGAATGGTCAGAAGAACACAAAGAGACTGCAACGGTGCTCTGCTTGGTATATGGTAAGCTGATTTTGATCACATTATATAATTGGCGTTAAAACTAGCCATGTTTCTAACGAGTTCTACAGGCAAATTCGTTGAGGTATGGAGACAAAACGAGGCCGTACTGCAAAACAGTCGTCTTCTGCGACTTTTGCTGGCCGATTCCGTCCATGAAGTCCGCACACCACTCAATGCCATCATCAACTACCTCGAGATCGCCTTGGAAGGGAACCTTGACCCAAAAACTCGGGACAATTTAGCGGAAGCACATTCGGCTTCCAAGTCCTTGATTTACGCCGTAAACGATCTGCTCAATCTGACAAGGATAGAAGAGCGAAAGGAACCTATCGGGGACGGAGTACTTGATTTGTAAGCCATGTCTGAAAGAAGCTATTGAGCCGTTCAATATGGACATGGTCAGGAATGGTGTCACTTGTGTATTGATCGAACACCCCGGCCTAATCAATATGTTGCATTGACTTCAATTGGAGTGTTTCAACTGAGCTCTCTGCGTTATCGTGGTACATGGTTGTATTTCTCGTCGTCTTATAATCGTTGGGGTGCCAGCTCGGTAGCTGGCTTTGGTGATGGTAGTCTGCATCTCGTTGGGTACCATACATCAAGCACCACGGCGGGCGCGGATCTGCCTCAGTGCGGACATGAAAGCCTATAGTGCTTTTCATGGACGGAAAAGCTGAAGTATTGCAGTATCGCACGAACAGAGAGAGATTATCAATCGGTGGGATGCCTGCGTAGGTCTGGCGGGGCACTGACGACCCGCCAGAGCTACCTCGGCAGAACTACATTAGCCTTCTCCTGCTCGCTCAGCCCCATGCAACTACCTTTCCCCACTCCCCCCTCAACCAATGACGCCCCAGAAGTCGTTGCACATACCAAGCCCTACAAGCCAGGCCGAGAGCATGCTGCATGCCTGGACCACGCTGCACCGTAGTATTCCTCAGGGTGTTGCCAATAACGCAGGGGTCGGCGCAACCGGCGCAGAGATCGAAGGCTATATAGGCTGGATGCGCAATTGGATTAGGCGCACATTGTTGGAAACTAGGCCCATTGGATATGCCGATACCTGGACAGCATGGATCTTGCCTGAGAACCGCGGAGTTGCAAATTTGGTGGCTTGGCTTGGTAACAATAGTTTGTCCGTACCTTGAGACGACCAAGCCGAACTCTATTGATCTCGCTGCGGAAAACTTACATGACTGCCGTAGTCCAGACAGAGAGTGTAGCAAGTGGAAAGCCTGTCTGGGTTACCGAGACAGGTTGGCCGCACGGTTAGTAGCTATGTCTAGATTTTTCTTACCCACAAGCTAACACTCTATCTTAGTCAGCCCCGACTCTGGTGCAACTGTTAGAAACGATGGCGCTAATGATCGCACGAGGATGACCAGGGACTGTCTCCACGATGCAGATGAAATGCCTCGACTGCGTCAGGGATGAGGCCTGAGGCGGTGTGTCTTTTCAATTGTTATTTTAGTTGAGAGGAGTCAAGATCCAAGATTTAACGGATATTGAGAAAGAAAGGAAATAATCAATAGTCTCTGTCTATCAACGACCGAACAATTATCCCCGTGTGATGTTGTCACTGGCTGAGGCTGTGGAGCCCACAACGGTATTGACGATTGAGACAATCCAACCAGACGGCCAAGACAGCCAGCTCTGGTCAATGCACGCCAATCCGATGTCGCCTCACGGGGACAGCTTCAAGAGCACGATGTTCTTGGCGGTGTTGGTTGCTCCACTTGGACGGGAATAGGGCCACAATTAAAAGAGGGGGGGGGGATTGTAAAAGCTGAAATCTACTGTAGCGAGAGAATCGGCATACTTCAAATACAAGTGATGGAAGTTCTACATTATCTGTCGCCGATCACTTCTCGAGTGGCTGCCCTCATCTGCTTCAAAGTGTCTCATGGGGCTATTTGCAGCTGCCGTCCTCTTGATAGGGTCCCGCGTTTTCACATGCCTGGGAGCAGCGTATTCCCAAGACACTCCACGGCTGCCAACACGCGCGCTTAATGGTCGCTCCAAATTCTTCTTGCCCAGTCACATGAAGCGATTCGCCATTGTGAAGACGCCAATGTAGATAACCTTTTCCGAGGTATAGTCTAGACACTGGGTCGGCGGGCATGTGGATTCATCCGATGATTGAGGATCAGTGCAACTGTTGTAACAACGTACCCCTGGACGAGATGCAATCAGAACGTTATTTTCGGTGCTGACATGCGCTAGCCTTGCCGTGGCATTACACAGATGGCGGGTGCATCACTTGAGCGCCCGACTCACAGCCGGCGAAAGTGATGCATGACGCGTGAGAGAGCAAATGGAATACTTGTGAGACCACGCTTCGCTCTGCATGAACTACTCAGTCATTCAGTGCTGATAAAAAACTGATACCATCAATCAGCGACAGGGAGCTGAGGCACAAGACAGCATTTGCCACTATACAATACTGTGAGCGTGGAGGAGCGAGAAGACTTGTTGCACTGAGGCAATGGAACTAGTGCCACGATAGCATCAATATGCACGAGTTGTCGTACTAACAGCATCAGGTGCGGCCTACTTGTCATTGCGCCTACCTGTCCATTGCTCCGAATATTATCGTATGGTGATGGGTTCCTCCTTTGTGATTCCAAGCCAATGTGTTGTTGGTACCCGCAGATGAACGAAGCATTTTGCGTGATATAGCCGTTGTTGAACCAGTGATAGCCGACGCGCTTGCCGTCAGGCACTGTCCTCGTCGGTTGCTGTACTATCTGATACAACTTTGTGTATCTTTCATCGTTGTGCTACTCCAATCTCAACAATAACAACGTTGCCGGATGTCATATTCCTCAGACGAATGTTTTGCAGCTTATGCGCAGAAACAACTGAAGGTCTCTATATCCAAGTATGATTCACCATCTTTCAGGCCCGGACGGCAATGCTCTTACTCAAATCCATTTAGAGTCCAAGACCCCTAAGCGACAAGGGCGGACCAGAAAATGTGTGGGGCGCCAAGGAGTCTTAGCAAGCGACTCTTTGCGCTCCTGGTCGGCGAAGAAAGGCAGAGAAATAGTAAATACTTTAGTACACAGGCTAGAAGGAGAAATCTTGCAAAAGGTAAAGAGAAGGAGTCACTGATGGCTATGAGGCATGGATATAGGAAACTGTCATAAAATAATAGTATACGAGAACATTCGAATTATGACGTCCTGTGTGGACGGGGAGAATGTATAGAAACGGGGTTGGCATAAATAAGCGCTGGCGATATATAAGTACTAGGCTATCATGATGCTGGGAGTATCAATCTTGGTGGTTTAGCTCATTAATTTTTGATCATAGGTCTCACTGGCTGCGGTTTACCATACGTCATGCACGAGAAGACCCTGGCAAGGATGGGAGATACTTCACATCAAGGCTATCGTATTTTTAATGGTGATGTAGGTACTTACTGCTGAGATGGTGATGTATCCGTCTCTATCCAGGTTATAAAGATCATCTATTTTCTAGTATGTACATACACTGCATAGGCTCCCTCGCTGGTCTCGGCCGACCTGCCCTACCGCTGCCGTTTCTTGAGGGCTGTGGCCCGTCTGACATGGAACAGCGTGGTCCACTGGGCATCAAAGTCCACATCACTATCCACTGTAAGTATCTTGGCAACCTTTTCTACTAGTAGTGCCTTCTATGGTTCTGCACGGACTGGGTTTGGTCGAACTGGATAATGGCAGACCGCACGACGAGCATGCATGCGACGAGTATGCGGTATTGAAGCTAAATGCTGGTCGGATTGCTTGGCACCTTTTTCTACTCATGCTGCACAGTCATCAAAGAGGAGTCGGAAGCATTCTCTGTTTGTTTGTTTGTATTTAACGTGGGGACCGTGCCTTACCAAGGCAAACCACGCCTCCCAGAGCCAGGGTTTTGGAGGTGTTAGTGTAACTAAGTAATTCAGGTTAGGGGAATTAGTAAATACTAGCGTCTCTTAGGTGCCTTAGCGGAAAGATCTATCTCGCTTATCTGTGCTAACTAACTGCCCAAAATAACTAACACCAAGCAATGATCGTGGTTTTCCGACCTAAACATACCAGATGCACCAAGTACACGCACAAGTCAATTTCCGAGTCGTTCAATGGAATTGATGTACATTCACCAAGCGTTTCAGGTTGATGTAATGGCTTACTCATACATCAATTACATTTGCTGGATCAGATGCTGTAGTGATTTCGAGCCTTGGAGCAACATACTGATACAAGTATGGTTGGCCAATATTTGACTTCCGGGATGACGTACGGCCCGAGGAAGAAATCAGATACTTATTCTGGATACACCAGATGTGAAAGAGTGCAACTGCAAGCACCAGCTTACTTGGAAGCCCATCTTTTGAGAACTACACGATATTGATGATCGGGGTAAGTAGATCGAGCACCGGTTTGCAGTCGGCTCACAGGTTGGGTGCAGAGCTTACTTGTGAATAACTAGAATATTGTGATAGACGCCGTTTGTACATACGAACAGGATAGCTGGATGAAAAATGGCTACACTAATTTTGGTGTAGACTAAAGTATGCGGCCGGTTCTGTCTTCGCCAGCCTGGACGGCAGCACATGCCACTACTGGTACCCGCCGACTCAATGGTCTCAGATGATCAATGTTGATACTGGTTCTACCTACTTCATTTCGATTTGGACATTCCTAGCGAGTGTTCCATATTCCAGTAAGACCGGTAGTAGCATTGTCGATCTTATTACGGAGGCTCCAGGGAGAGTGCCAGGAAGTGGCGCTGTAGTTTTGAGTGTCGCAAATTCTTCCATCACGCCTGACTTGGTTCAGTCCACCAAGATGCGTGATCTAGATGCTCACTTTGTCCGGAACGTCTGCGGCAGCACGGATGATAGCGCAACAGTCAGCTACCAGTTCGCTATATCCACAGGCTACGGCACAAGATCTGTGCGTCTTTCGGCGACTTAAGCTTGGTGCCGCCGATAGCTGATCGGATCATTAATTCGGCCATCGCGAGTGCGCGTCCATGTCGAAGCGGTTCGAACACGTCTTCCGTCTCCTTGCCCAGATCATATGCATCCAGTCCCGCGCTCTCGCTGTCCGGAAGACAGACCAGTACATCCCCTAGCCGGATGTCGCGCGCCGGCCTTCGCGACAGGTCAGGCAGCCCAAACCAGAGATTAGGGAAGCGCAGCCACCGATCCTGTCCCGTACTCTTGGCCTGCCGGTAGCGTCGCTACGATGATGCTGTGCCCGCACATGCTCCCTGCGTGGAACACATAGTCGTCACCTCGGCCCATGGCGAACCGCCGGGATGTCGCTCGTCTAGCATGTGGAGGGCCGCTTGGGCTTCGATCTCGACAGAGGCAATGCAAGCCACCGTGCAGGCTTTCGGGTCGAGGGTGCCTGTCCGTCTCTTGTAGTCTTTCTGTGTTGCGCTCAATTCGCGATCAGGAGTCGTCTCGTATGCGATGGCTCTGAGTGAATAATACTAATACTGGCTTCGGTGGGTCGCGTCGTTCAATCGGGCAGTTCATGTCCTTGTCCTTGTCCTTGTCCTTATCCTTGTCGTCGTCCTCGTCTAGGACACGTCGGGAGCCTCGTGCGGCTGAAGGCGGCGAGTCACCGGTCGCACAGCCCCGCATCAGAAGACTGCGACCTGCAGGCTCCGACGTCCAGTCGTCATCCTATATGCATCACAGGAGGCTACAGACGATTGATAACAAGGCGATAGAGAATAAAATCGAAAAGATACCGGCTCCGAGAATGTCAAGAAAGTCGGCGGCGTCATAGTTGCAAGTACTTCTTTGACTCCGCGATACCATGACCGCCTCTGTTTTTTGTTGTTCCACCGCACAAACAGTATCATTCGTCGTCTTAGTCATTGAACACCATCACAGAACTCTTGGCTACCTAGTCGATCTTCTGACCCATTACGATAAAGTTGTATTCCTCCTCTCAATCTGGCCGACTATGTGGCATGACGTGAGGGGCTTGTAGATGACGAAAACCAAGATGTAATCGGCCATCATGAGTCCGAGAATGCACGATTGTTCTATGCCCCGTCCATCAATGCCCTAATGACCTACTGTTATTTCCAAGTATATCCCTATTGCCTACACGAAACCCTGTGGCTGAAACTGGCGCGCGTCTGCCAGGTTCGACATTGTATGTGATATGTGGAGGGATGATATGGCTTCTTGTAATTTCACAGCCTCGTTCCCGAATCTGCTTCCTTCGTCAATATGTTGGATCGTGGTCGCCGTTGAGGGCTTTACACCTCTTGTCCCTTACTGATCCTAATAGAGCGTATGCATGTCAGAGAAAGTTGCTCGCCATATATACAGTACACAGCCCAAACACTTACATACGTCTCAATCTGCAATACGGGAGTCAGTGACTAGTTCATGTCATCGAGTCTTCCGGGGAGCATTTACTCTTGTACTTGTTGCATCCTGGAGGGTGAGCTAGACGTTAGCTGGAAGCTGTTGAATGGAACAGGGCGGACTTACAGGTACTCGGTTCTGATAAAGTAGGGCAGGTCAGTCATGGGTGTACCTTCTGCTGATCCGAGGTGGTGACTCACCTTCCAGTAGATCATCCACCCGCGTTGCACAGTAACTGAGTTCTATCTGAAAATTGTTTCTCTGCCGCCGCCGGTTTCGTCGTTGCGACTCGGCCAAAGTCAGTGACCAGCTGCCGCTTGTCACACGTCGACGATCGGAGTGTAAACTCACCAAAGTACCCTTTCGGTTCCCAGTCCAATCTTCAAGTGGTCGTGTCCGCGGTGACAGTGTGTAATCCATTTCTACCATATGCGGAATTGACATGGTGAACCCTATGGGGAGGGCGGTCCGCTTTGCCCGCGGTAGCGAATGCTTTCTGGTGAATTGTTTTGTATGTATCACGAGACCGACATACGAGTAGCCTCTGGGATGTGGCCTCGGGAATATAGACTGGTAGAAAGAGACGGATGTGTGCAAGAGTGGATAAGAAGATGGAAGCGATTAGAAGGTATTGTAAAGAAGAGGAGAAGTAAGAAAGTAAGAAAGCGAGCAGAGAAGGAAGGTAAAAGAAATAATAACGGGAAGAGGGGAAGAATAAGGAGAAAGCGGGACAAAATGGAAAGCAGAGGAGTCGGAAAGTAGCGATACAAGAAACAAAGAAGCATTTGATTGTGGAGACTTGAATTCGGAAAACACTTTGTAGAGTAAGGTACAGTACAGATATGTTCAGAAATGGCTTCTTCTTTTCGTCTCTCTCTTCTCTTCTCTTTAAGCACAGAAGATCCAATTTTCGCTCCCACCTGGAAATCTACCAAGAGTACTCTTTCGGACTATGCCAGTTCCGAACTCAGGATCATGAGATGTACTGTAACCAAGCTCTTCTGGAGTAATTTATGATCTAAGTATCACATAATGAGTCTATATCATCAAAAGTGGATGATAAGCGCTGCAAGTATGCTTTTACGCCGGAAAAGATATGTCCTCAGTTATTACGGGACTCTAGAGGTTCGAAACTATACTTCTAGGTGAGAGCCACAAGTGGACTGTCTCTGCATAAAGAGAAATAGAAGAGAGACAAAGAGAGGAAACCAATTTACCAAGTCTATAGCTAAAATTATGCATGTTCAGATGTGGTCCAAGTCCACCACAATAAAATTGTATCTCCATACGAACCGACGCCGGAAGTAGTGCTAATGGCCATGCAACTCCACCATGATCACGTGGGACCATCCTGCCTGAACAAGTATTTAAATCTTTCTTCTGCTTCGACTTTTCACTCCCTTTCTTTCCTTTCTTCTTTACACTCTTCACCGAGCTGTCTGCACCCTGCTGTTGGCGGTCTAACTGTACCCTTCTAGTGGCGGTCCTGCACCCTTCTAGTGGCGGTCTTTCTGTACCCTGCTATGTGGCGGTCCTGCACCCTGTTGTTGGCGGTCTAACTGTACCCTGATATGTGGCGGTCCTGTTCCCTGTGTTGGCGGTCTATCTGTACCCTAGCACATTACCTCGTTGATGTGGAATCCAACGAGTGACCCTTCGGGGTGTCCTGCCGATGTGGAATCCGGCAGGGGTCGCAGATGTGGAACCCTGTGAACCGGTCAGCGAAGACGGCCTCTGCAACCTGTCCGTGGTGCTGGCTACGAACCTGTTTGTCTTGCCAGACTATCTACCCATAGTCTTGACAGCATGAACAGAGCCAATGCAGAGACGCACTAGATAGTCAAATTAGTGAATACAAAAGACATGTCTGTTTATACAGAGATCTCAATCCCAAGATTATACATACCGTATTTTGTATCGTTGTTGCGTAGGACTGCTTGCTGCACATGCCCACTTCGTAAAGTCTCTGTGTTTGTGACAAGAATTGTTCGTGCTAGTCACTGATCACGCCTGCTCCTCAATGTGCTTTCATTCCATCCGGAAGCGCTACAATAATGTGGCAATATGAGTCAAGGGAATAAAGGGAAGCCGTACAGAACTTCTTGGCGCAGTCCCAGAATTTGGCTGCGAACCAAATTCATACTCGGCGTACAGCTGATGGATACTTCCGGCCAATGGATACTACCGGCCAATGGCACACCAACATCCGTGCTGGTGTGGCATCACCAATACAATACTCGTCCGATGAGAACTGGTGACTGTATGGTGAAGAGGACCAAAAATGGCATCTGAGGTCGGCCTTTGGACATGCCAGAGACAAGGGTGAGAATCGTGCCCAGTCATGACATGAAAACCGAGGGGTTGCGCGCCGTTATTGTAGACTCGTCCGATCAGTTGTAATACGCTTCTTCTCGTCCGCTCACATACGGATTGTTGTTCCTAGTATCCAAGAAAAATGGTGACTGTACGCGACTCCGAGCACTGACGTGACCGATAGTGATCGGCACTATACCTGAATAGGACGAGCCGAAAATGTCGCGACAAGCCTCACGCGGCATAAGAATGGCAGTTGTAATAAATAACATCTGCTCAGAACGAAGCTCGAAACGGGCATGGAAATGCAGCGGCTTTCGTCCGCCAACCATATAAGCTTCAGATCTGATGCAGATGAACGGCACTTTCGAATGTCGGTACTCTGTATGACCCTCCCAGAAAGCGCATTTGGGCCACCATTAATTAGGTCATACTTGAGGTCATATACAGTACACGCCCATTATCGGTCCATGCCGTCGACCCCCCAAGAATGAGCACATCGGAGAACCATTGCATACTGTATATCATCTGTTGAACAATGTCCCGTGGCTCGTTTTGGATGCGTTCATTCTGATCCATTGTGTAATGGAAGCAGAAAGCTCCGTATTGGTGCAATAGCGGGCAGCACCGGAGGAGGGTCGAGGACACGATTGGGAGAGGGACGAAATCGGCTTACTCTAGCTGTCTCCACAATCTGACGGGAATTTGAGCACTTAAATGAACCAATCATGGCATGAGTTAGTTGGTGGCCCAGTGTTGTTCCCCAGTGCTGTGGATGCCAGGGGTTTACTTCGGACTCCCGAGGCGATGTGACAACTGCTAATCTGGGCGTTTGCCGTGGATTCGTGCGCTCCTACATGCCAAGAACACTAGCCGTCTATCGGGGTGGCATTGAAGTGATGCACAATGATAGGCTTTACCGATTTCTTTGTCTGTGTATTGACCATGATCAAGGCGAAAGGATGCGAAGGTGCGAAAGTGCGAAAGAGCGAAATAGCGAAGGAATGCGAAGGAGCGAAAGACGGATGGTGCGACAGTGCGAACCTACTCGTCTCGGCATAATTATCGGTCGGGACTGAGTAGGGCCAATACCCAAACAACGAGACTAAATCATACAACGCTTTTCCCGTGACAGGGAGCGAGAAACGGGCTGCTTAGCTATTCAGGCCCATAACAACTCAAGGGGAGCGAATGTCAACCTTTACAGATGACTGGACGAATGGAGGCTAACGGAATCAGTTGTGACACTGAAAGAATTTGTCGGGTGGTTGGGGGATTGGAAACGAAACATGGTTCTAAAGGGTCTTTGTTTCTGTGCCAGGATGCAAAATGATAAGGTGGACCGAAAGTTGGTGCTGTAGTTATCTAAGGTTAGTTTGAGGACGATTGTCAATATTGGTCTTTTCCCTACCAAAAGATGGCAGGTCCAAGAAGAGTGCAGGTGTAGTGGGGTAATGAGCAATCCGCTAGCTTGTGGATCCAGGATGAGGTGACCCACTGGGAAGGAATATAAAAGGAAGTGCCTCATCTCAGCTCGTCTTCTTCTCTTTCTTTCCTTCTTCACGCTTGTCGTCCACCTGGTAAGAAGCTGAGAGCCTATAGGTGTCTGATCCCTGATAGACCGATGTCCAGCCCGGCAGGTGACCTACTCCTGATAGACCGATGTCCAGACCGGCAGGAAAGAGCTTCATCCCTGATAGACCGATGTCCAGCCCGGCAGGTGATCCATCCCTGATAGACCGATGTCCAGACCGGCAGGAAAGAGCTTCATCCCTGATAGACCGATGTCCAGCCCGGCAGGTGATCCATCCCTGATAGACCGACGTCCAGCCCGGCAGGTGACCTACTCCTGATAGACCGACGTCCAGCCCGGCAGGAGTCCCGTCGAGCTTGCACCCTCAAATGGCCGAGGAGACCCTGTCATCCAGCTGGTCTGACTGACTTCCTCACTCTCTCTCTGTCTTTTGTTCTTTCGGATCCCGGGATGGCGCAGCGACACGAGTCTGACGATTGCGAGGCGTGGCTTGTTATCGTTTGCGCCTTCCCGCCCGAACATAACCCAAGCAGAGGGCGTGCTGTCGAGTCGTCCTGACTTCTTGGAGACATGTTGTCTTCCGCTTGAATGTGGCGTGCGTGAGTCTCGACGGGGGTCGCAGATGTCCATCCCTGCGTACCGGCCAGCGAAGACGGCCTCTGCAACCTGTCCGTGGTGCTGGCTACGAACCTGTTCGTCTTGACTGAGATCTTCGGTCAAGACTGAGCAGAGCCAATGCAGAGACGCAATGTATGGAGGGAAGAGCGGATAGGCCAGCTAAAGACGAGCTAGAGACGAGCAGGGACGAGCTTGAAACGAGCTGGACATGTAGATTGATTATCTTTGAATTCGATGACTTTGACCTTGTAATCGTGCTTGAAACTGTCAACTTGTTGTGTAGTTGCTGCTCTTGCCGTTTCGTTAGCTTGCAGTCTGCCACCACTCAATTGCATGTCGCGTAATGTCCTACGAAGGCGTCATCCCAAAACGGTACAGGCGAGTCTCACCTGGTGGTAGATCCTGGTGATAGATCTGCTGTGAATACGAAGTGGACTGACCGAAACCAATACAATACAACACAACACAGGACAAGTCGTTCTGGTGGGGAACGAAGGACACTTGACCAGAGCGCGGTCCGCGTCACGATGACTGGGCTCTTGCAAACTACTGCAAGTTAGCGACCTTGTCATGCAGGTACATGCAACGCTATGCAAGAAAACCCGCATTAGGCATGGTCGGCTTAGGACAGTTTGTCAAAAACTCCCCTTTTTGGTCGTGCACTGAATTGACCTTCAAACGTAGTGCTCGCGTGGGGACTGAAAGAGCCACCCACTAGTGCCCTGGTCGGCATTTGGAGGCGGGAACCAAACGAACACCCTTGTCTAAACAAGAGTCCTCATTCGATCTACACTATCGAGGAACAAGACTGGCCCCAAACGCGACAAACACGACAAACACGACTACTACGGTCATTGATCCATTCGCAACCAGTTGTCCACCCTAGATTGTCAATTGTCCAGATAGCATTACGTTACAGGATGACCTGCGTGTGCCAGCACACTTCAATGAGGCTGGCTGTTTCTAGTTGGTGCCAAAAACCCTTTTGGGTTGTGCACTTCAAAGCCTGCTAAGAGCCGCTTGCTGTTCTGGTCGACATCTGGAGCGGGAACCAAACCGAACCCTTGTCCGAACAGGAGCCCAAATTGATCCTAGGACATCCACGCCATCAGAATTGACTACGGTCAGTATTCATCCATTCGCAACCATTTGTGTGTACTCGATTGTCCAGATTGCGCTACATACGTTACAGGATGACGTATGTGTGTCCTTTCATGTGGCTGAGACTGAAGCCGCTTCTGCAAGTCGGTGCCATTCATTCGTTGACAACATGCGCTCACTCACGACAGAGCGAGAAAGAAACAAGACAGGAAATGGCCTCGTGGAGGAAGGCTGCCGATGAGGGTCATGAAACGGGTACGTCCTTTTTCAGCACAATGGACCTCATCGCGGCGGCTTGTTCACTTCGGGACCAGCCAGCTGGGGACTGGTGCTGGTGTCCAGTCCAATCTATGATCAAGCTCTGGGGTCCACTTTTGTCTCGATCACGAACGTGCTGTTTCCGCACCCTCTTGGCTAGATGCAGGATTGATCAACTCACTAAAAGTAGCCCGGCATGGCATGAGTCCTGTTTCTGAGCCTACTTTTCTAGTGCTGTACCACGAGACCACTGTTCAAGGATCCAAACAACAACCACGTCTCTATTGAGCATGTTTCTCGATCAAACTAACAAACAAACAAACAAACAAACAAGCAGCCAAGCAAAAGACAACAAACAATGGTGCGATCATACAGATCGAGAGCAGACTATTTTAGGGGTCCTTTGCAGCTTGGAGAGGAAATCGAATATGGCTATCAAACTCGTCCCATTTGAGAACAAACAATTCTCGCAAATCGGGATCCTTGAGGAGCTTGCAATCAGCCTTGTGACCATTCTCGTTCCAGCCAGCTACTTGGCAGGCCTTATCACACCCATATTAGCATCAAAGTCAACATAATACGAGGAAGATTTTCAATGGCAATCTTACCCTATTGCAATACCAGAAAGACGAGCACTTGCCGCACCGTTGCAGAGAGGCTGCCTTCTTTCCGCACCCGTGACATATTCTCATACCATTAATCTCTCTTGAAAACTGTTGGACCTGGTCGTTCAACGCCAGCAGCTTATCCAATGAAAGTGGAAGTATCTATACGACGTCCTGTTCGGTTAGCGAACATGAACCAAGCTGTAGATTAGGAGTTTTAAAGTACCTTGATCATCTGGGGATCCTCATGGCGGATACCGGGCTCGCAGAACATAAATACGTGGCGCTCTGCGTAGAGAATGGCGACCGTGTACCCCTTTTAAATCTGTCCTGGTGCCAATTCACTGCCTCGGTTATCGGTTATAAAAGTATAGCGGAATTGTCGTACCGTCAACATCCTTGATCTCCATCTGCAGACGGGGTAGCGAAGCGAAATACACAATCTCACCAAAAAAGCACCAATGGCGTCGCGGTCGGTATGTACCAATACTGCTTCTCTCATAAAACTCCGGGTTGACATCGTTCTCGCCCGGGAGGTCAATAAACCTGGGGAAAGTCGTGCGGCTCCGTAGATCTGCCAGCTGTCCGGGATGGTTTGGCTTCTCCCTCTTCCAATGCCAGTCATCGAAGTCGCCCGGTTCAAGTACTTGCGGGGCTTCATTCAATTTCGTTTTCCATTTCGTTGAGATTCCGAATAGCTCATACTTTGAGGGGTCTCGTGCTAGAGCTCCGTGCTTGATAGCTTGCGTGCTGTCACCGCCAAGGGTCATCTTCCAAACAGATGCCGCCTTCTCCGCGAAGACGCGTCCCCTTGCCAAATCGCTATTGGCGAGAACGAGCTGAGCGGCATTGACAAAGGCCTGCGCAAAACCAACGTCCTCTCGTCCTTGCTCGTTACAGAGACGTACCTGTTGATCAAAGTAGCGGAGGGTCCGGAGTGGGGATACCAAAACCCCCTCTGCGCCGAACTGGTCGATGACACCGTCCAAACGGTGGATCTCCTCCAATCTCCTGTCGCTTTCCTGGCTCTGCTCTGGCGGTAAGGCGCAGAGATGGCACAAACATGTAAAGTCGAACTTTTCCTGAAGAGCCTTCTGCCGGGCTTTGCGGTTCTTGAGAGGGCCTAGGTAGGTTATCGTGATCTCTTCGCCTTTGTTGATGTCTCGTAGAGCATGTACTGTGTGTCGTTTGATCATTTCGTTCCAGTTCTTCTGTGCATTATTATCGCAAGCGTGGTTGATGCGACATGCTTCTAGGAAGATTGCCCCTTTATCTCCAACGACTTCGGCAGGTAGGGAGTTTGTTCGAAAAATCCCGAGATACTGATCAGCAACATTTCTGTATGGGTAGATGTTGTGCATAGATAGGAAGTCTCGCCGATGGTTTTCGGTAAGGGCTTCAACTTGCTGGCCGATGGATGTTCGAAGCCGCTCGCCGCTGACCGATTCACTGACTCTAACGACGGCCTCTTCAGAAAGAATTCGCGTGCCCTTGAAGATCTTCTCCCTTGCAACGAGACCTTTCCCTCTCCCTGGCAAATCCTGTAAGGCGTAAATGGAATCAACCTTTGTACTCTGTACCTTTTCGTCTCCTGCTCCCTCCAAGTTCCCACTATTCTCATTTGCAATGAAAATTGCCGCGGTAAACTCAGACGAAAGTTCTGTTTCGTCCCGTTTATAGTCAATCGTGATCTTGCTAGATATAGCTTGAGGCAACAAGCCGAGTAATCCGAATACCTTGTCGTGGGGGAGAGTGCACTGTGCAGATCCTGCCAAGCGACGTAAGTCGTCCACTGCCGTGCCCCTCAGCCCGTCGTCCTTATCAGACAAGACCCCCGACTTCTGCCACTGCCCAATGGAGTTCAGTAGTTGCAGATATGGCGACATTCTGGCCACCGCGTGAGAGTATATGGTGCCGCCGTCCAGAGTTTTGTTGCAAAAGCTATCAGCAAGCGTCAGAACCACCCTAAGGGGCACGCTTGAATCGCCCCAGTCGACTGTCGAACGGATCGGGCTGACGGCTAGTTCCTGAATTATCCACAGGCGAGTCCAGTACGGATTCTGAGCAAGGCGAAAGAGTGCCACAGCAACAAGATCGCGAAAATGCGGGGGTTCAAATTCACCCTCGTCATCTGAGTCGGCCCACCACTCGTTATCAAAGTATAAGACATCCCCTGAGAAGGGGAAGCCCTCTAGCTCGTCATAATTATGATCGGATTCCCATGCCTTCACGTCGATCCCCAGAGCTGCTTCCAATGTTTGCCTGCCGTTGGCCTCCAAAATTGTGTTGCAAAGGCGAAGCTTATCAAACGAAGTCTCGACCCAAGAGTCCAGGCCTGTGCCACTCATTTCATCTTCTCCGAGCCATATCGTCACTGCTAGCGACTGGCTGAAGATTTCTCTTATCCTTAGGACCTGAGCATTGCGCTCGTCGATGTCGTCCTGATTAATGCAAACGGCGTCGATCCAGACCTTGTCCACGAGGGAAGACCGAAGGCAGTCCAAAGCAGCAGCCAGGTTCTCCCCAACGGTAACGGGCTTCCCGTTAATGATGATTGTCTTTGTATCTTCTGGGCTTCCCCACATGTAACTGATTGCCGTGTAGTCGCCCCATGTGAACCTAGCAATAGTGCGGAACAAGTCTAAGGATGTTGACCCTAGTTCAATGTCAAATTGCTCGCACCAGGCATCGTCAACCCGGCTCCATTGCGCAGAGTGTGCGGTACGAAATGTTGTATACTCTGGCTTGAAGTCGTCCAAAGATACGTGCTCAAGTGTGAGGCGCAAGGGACCGAGACCCAGAATGCGATCTCGGCGACTACTCAAGTCATCGGGTGTCGAGGTAGGCTCGAAGGACAAAACTCGAATCTCGTTGCGGGAAGCATCGAGAGGCTTGTACTGAATGCGACGCCAGGGAGAGCCCGAGGCTGGATCCATATCTATTCGTTGATATCGATGAGGGTTGGGAGTGACCTGATAGAAGTAAACATTTCAATTACCATGGAAATAAATTGAGGTTGGGATGATCAAAGACCACGTCGATTCATGGTGTGCCTGCTGTGCGACACCACCGACCCGAGGATTGGCTGCACCATGCGTTGATACCCAACAAGATGTACAGTACTGTTTCCCATTTAATGCCAAACGACGAATAGAGTTGATCGGTTCGGTAAGGCCATTTGCGGCGTCCTTTCGGATGGATAGCTTGGTAATTAAGCTCTACGGACCACATAAAAGCGGTTAGATGCATAGCTACCGAACAAGTACGTTTATTCTTTCGGGCACGTTGGTTTGGTGCCGCACACATTTTTAATTTATGGATTAAACGCCTTCTTTCTCTAATGCCAACTAGGTTGGTAAGGCTTTTTACGTTTGGTGGTAGAAGAGCTCCGCGTTTCTGATGCAATACGGCGGGCATTGCTTTCGGTCTTCTTGATGGTAGTCATGGAAGATGTCGATGAGGAAATGCAGTGCGATCTCCCTGTGTAGTATCGACACCTACTTGGGTAGAAACTAGTGCATCCCCTCCCCTCTCCCCTCCACAAAACAACAACAACAAAGGTGGAGACGTCGATTGCTGGCCAGGAACCTTATTCTGTGCCTTGATGTTGACCCACCTGAGGGACACAAAGTGGTGTGGTTCAAATGCAGTTTGGAGATGTGTCATTTCAACATTGCTCCTCAGTGACCGTTCTCGAGCACTTAATGTCTAGATTACGGCACAAGAAGAGGATCAGACCTTGCAACCATCTTGGTTTCAGCTTCCACCTAGTTGCTTGAAATCGACGGCCTAGAATTAGAGCATATCCGGAACGATGTTCTCTCATGGGGACCGAATTTGTGTCGACGAACAGTTTTACTAACAACCTGTGCCTCCTTCTTATGGTACAGGCACAATTTCGTGCAATTTGCAGGTGGTAATTACAATCGCAACTGCTATTGAAGTACGATGCAGGCACTTGGTCAATGTTGGAGCTCCCAAATGGTGGCAATGCAACCAACTTGTACGCCAGTGAGCGAGAATCATGCCCTCTTCTTGATCAGCGCTATCGCGCACATTTCTATGCACAACCTTCTCAAATATACCTTTGCCTCAGATGACATTTCCCTTTCCATCTCCTTGTTTCTCCCATTAATTGATATATAAATACGAGGAAATCGCGTTATTGCGGTTGAATGCCCTTACTCATGGTTCGGGCGGTTGGCGACAACGTGTTCCACCCAGTATTTATCTATATCCTGTCAAATCAGCCAGCCCAATCGGCATCATTGGTACAGATCAACATGGCCACGACCGTCTATCTACCCGATCTGGAGGCCGGCTGGCTATGGCCTCGTCGACTCAACATCCACACGGCCGAGATCAAACAGGAATGCCTCAAGTGGGTGGCTAGTTTCGGGGCTTTCACTCCGCAAGCACAACAGACCTTCGACAAATGTAACTTCAGTAAGTGCCACACCGTATATATGACTGAGTGGCAGCCTTGTGCCATGCTGATAGAAGCTTTTTGAAGATTTGCTGGCGGGTCTCATGTACCCACGATTGACGAGAGAGCAGCTGAGGTGCGCGTGTGACGTTATGAACCTCTTCTTCATCTTTGACGAGCATTCCGATCGATCCGAACCGGCCGATGTATGGAATCAAGTCGACCGTCCTGATGGATGCTCTGCGCAATCCCGAAACACCTCGACCGGCCGGAGAATGGGTCGGCGGTGAGATTGCGCGACAGTAAGTCGTCCTTTCCCCGAGTCAGCCACCCTCATCGTAAGAACTAATTAGCTCACGGGAGATACACAACAGGTTTTGGATCCGAGCGACTACCATCTCAACGAACTCATTCCAGCGGCGGTTCCTTGCAAGCTGGGAACACTACCTGAAGGGAACCGCACAACAAGCGGAAGATAGGTCGCGCTCACACATCTGTACCGTTTCCAGCTATCTCGAGGTTCGGCGGCAAACCATCGGAGTGATGCCCTCTCTAGCCTTCTTCCAGATGGGAATGGACTTGACAGATGAGGTGCTGACGCATCGCACTATTAGAGCATTGGAAATGCTCGCGGTGGATCTTACCATCATTGCCAATGTAAGTTCTCTGCCAGCGTAGTCGATCTCGCAGAAGTCGCGGCAGACATAAAACCAGACAGTAAGCTCACGCCACTGGCGCTTTAGGATGTGCTGTCATATGACAAGAAGCAAGCCTCTGGCGACGATGAACATAACCTCATCACTATCGTTATGAAAGAATTCCATTGCAATTTACAGCAAGCGATTGATTGGGCCGCCAAGGCTCACGCAGAGCTGGTGCAGCAATTTAATCAGACGGTTCTGGTAGTGCCTCGATGGGGTGGTCCTGTCGACCTGGATGTCCAAATATATGTGGACGGCATTGCACAATGGGTTGGTGCTAATGTCCAATGGAGTTTCGAAAGCGAGAGATACTTTGGTAAACGCGGTCTCGAAATCAAGAAGACCCGGATCCTACAGCTGCTGACCCCGAAAGTGAAGGCGGAAGCCGAGATCGGACCATTTGCTGTCGACAATCTGTTGTACCAGGAGCTTGACGAAATCCTACCTGGACTGTTGGAGATGGTGCGAAGTTTCTGAGGATTCTTACTCGCGTATCCCGTTACAAAGAATGCTCGGAAACCCTGCGTGTAGTCTAAAATGGAATCTCGATCTTTGATATCAATTACAGTTTTCAATATTGATCAACTCGTTTGCACATTCCAAAACGTCTTTCCGCAATTACTCTACTCGGTCTTGATAAGAAGTTGGCTTAACAGGATGAATTGCACATGATTAGGAACAAAATATCAACGAGATAGGAAGTTAAATGGCGGTTCTCAACAGCTCGGAACGGCTAGTGTGACAGTAACACTATCATTCAGCGGTAGTGGCGTCAGTTAATTGCCGCCGAATCTGTGGCCGATTCGGGGGAGTATCTGGGCCTGATTCCTACGTCTTAGCGACTTGTATCAGATAACCTAGTAACAGTCTACTCAAATGGTTGAATGTCTCTGAACAAAGGTCTTTCAAACAAAGCGACGGTGTAAATGAATGAAAAATTACTAATATCTAAGAGCGTTGCCAAAAGATACAGACGGCAGGGTCTCGGGCACACTCTCTTGGATGAAGGAAATGTCTACGGTATTCTTCACAAGGAAACTTGATAGTATTTCAAGCCCACTACACGCGAGCCCGTACAGCCTAGCCAAATTCCCTACTTTACAATCGGCCTAGTGACAGCTCAAGATTCGAAGTAGCGCAGGCACCCGATCCTTCTCTAGCCTCACCGGTGGTGAGAATATACTGGAAGGTATATTAATTCTACCTTAAACTGCCTCTTGAACATGATATCCCTGGCGCAAGTTTTGTAACGTTTCGTAGGCTAAGACATGCTCTATTTCATGGTCGTTGATGACATATAACAGCCAAAGTCCTTCTGCCACACCAATAACTTCCCATACAACTACAAGGGCATATTAGCACACGTGTGACACTTCCCAACTGTGTCTGCTACACGCCTAGTAATCATTATTAACGATTGCTGCGGATATGACATTCGGCGTCGTGTACCAATACGCCGCTGAAAAGAGCCCAAATAGGTACCTAGGGATCTGGCTTCCATTATTGTTGTCATGTGATATTGTTCCCATGCATATCGAGATCTTTCGAAGGTTGCACCGGTATATATGGGGTGTCCACATGTTGGGTGTTTTGCTGGTGAGCGGCAGATTGGACAATTCGGATCCGTATTTCGTGGCTCATCCCGATCGAGTGACCCTTGCAGCCAAATCTGAATACAGGCCGACCCAAACAGGTGCCCACAATGAAGTGAGACCCAAGACTCGATCCTGCCGTCTGGATCTGGTGACCCAACCATCTCAAGACAGATCGGGCATTTTTCATTGGACATATCAAGCTCCTTTTCCACAGAAGGCTGTTTTATTCCGGACATGCTACAGTGAATGTCTTCTTTTGCTCTATTGATGCGTAGACGCCTTTGTAATCGGGGTATCATTTCCGCAATGTCGCGATACACAGTGGTGTTCATAACAAATGGCTTTCTTGTTATTGCAATTTGCAGGCTATTAGTTCGATCTAAGCAATAGACAAGAGAATAGATCGTGTCATGGTACTGTAGTTGCCAGAGATATATCTTCTGGCATGTCTATAATCGGATATAGCACATACGCCTGTCTAGTCACCCACATTTGACCCCGTCCATCTTCGTGCAGATGCAATTTTTGACTACGGAAGAGTCATCGCTCCTCGTGCAACATGAATATCATCAGTTACTCGGTGAGGGTGCAGTCCCGACCTTGAGGAGCAGTCCAGTTCTTTCCCCTACTACCGGCAAAAAGGGACACTACTGCACCAATCACGTTTTAAGATTCAGCTATAAGTCGACTAATGGCCACGGCCAATAAGTTGAACAACTCAGACCCGTAAATATGTTTTCGAGCCCTTGAGGTACTATAATGAAGTGATACTTCCCTATTCTAACCATAATAAGTATCCTCGCGGCGCTGATGATACATATGGACAACTTTGGAGCTCTATACAGTATATTATTATGCAGAACGTAAGACGCTGGCTCCAATTCAGAAGGCAAACCAGTATCTGTACCTAATGTGTACTTACAGTGAGGGCAAAAAATAGACCGTGAGTGCTTAAAGAAGAGAGAAGGACGAAAGAGACACATAGAGGAAGCCGATTTTAGTTGAATCTATACAGTACTGTACGTACTGTACAGTAGTTTCTAATATTCTTCGTCATTTCAAACTGGAGTCCAGAAAAGGCTCTTTCATGAAAGTGTTTTGTCGCCAAGAATGGAAATCCCTCTTGCGACTCCCTGTATGGCCGTTGTGGCCCATACAACATGTTACGTTGCTTATGGAATTCAAAATGCGATCTCTGAAGGTCTGATTGATGACTACTATATGAGGCCAGAACCATGTTCCTATTAATACATATGTAAGGCCCTTGTGTGCAGTAACCTACTCCGCTGTGAAACATAAACGTCGCTTCATTGAACGAGTACATTCAACTTTACCATGTTTTCATCTGCGCTCATTGCATCATGTATCTCGGCTCTTGCCGTAGCACATATGATAATGAGAGACCCAGTTCCATACGGCCAGTCTACGCTAAACAATAGTCCATTAGACGGAAGTGGTTTGGACTTTCCTTGTAAACAACGGGCAAGAGTCTACGCTTTGGAAGGTGCATCTAATGTTTACACTCTTGGTTCTACAAACCTATTGAAATTCACAGGCCAGACGGTCCATGGTGGTGGATCATGCCAGGTTTCGATCACTTACGACAGAGAGCCAGGAAGCAGATCTGTGTGGAAGGTCATCAAATCAATCGAGGGGGGTTGTCCTGCCCAAGGCCAGGTTGGTAACATGGGAGATAACATTGAGGCTGAGGACCCCTACGAGTACAACTTCACCATTCCGAATGATATACCGAATGGAACCGCAACCATCGCGTGGACATGGTTCAATAAGGTCGGAAATCGTGAAATGTATATGAATTGTGGCCCCATCACCTTAACTGGCGAAGGAGGAGATGTATCTAATTTCAATGCGCTCCCGGACATCTTTCTGGCTCATATCGACAATGGCTGTGGGGTTGCTGAAGGCTATGATGTCGCTTTCCCTAGCCCTGGCAAAGATGTTGAGAGACTAAATGGTGCTACGACTTCTTTTATTGGCCCAACGGGAATGTGTGGCTCGACAGCCGCCTCGGTCCCGCCAACCACAGCTATCACGAATCACACACTAGTGGGGAGCTCTAGGATGGCTAGGATTACCTCTTCCGCTTTAATCATTGTACCCACCTCTACCATTTCCGTAGTCCCTATCTCGAGTATCAGCAGTCCTTCTGCTGGAACACTTTGTACTCCTGAGGGCGACTGGAAATGCGTCAATGGTAGCTCGTACCAGCGATGCGCGAGCGGTTCATGGTCGGCGATCCAGCGATTGCCGGTCGGGGTTTCTTGTAATCCTGGGCCGTCTTCCACGCTTGATATGGTACCCAGTACTTAGAACAGTTCACATTACCTATTGTTCGGCCTCCCATTTCCAATTTGCAAGTTCCAGCAGGAAATACCGATCAGCTAGTGACGGCTGTATTTTATAGTCCGCGCTCTCATATGCGAGGTTCATCGTCATCGTGAACCACTTAGTCGGGAAGTTCATCATCCCGAAAGTTGGTCCCATCTTGATGGTCTCATATCACGCATGTAGTATCGAGTAGAATGTGACGCCGTTCTCTAGCCTGCGCCAGCATGTGCTTTTCGTGTATCTCTTTCGTAAGCCAAGGGATTCCGTGTCTCTTTCTCATACTGTATTCTGCTTCAAGTATCAGTACTGGTGTTTCTTAATAAGACGCTGGGGTGGTAAGTAGTTTCCCTCATGGAAGGGGCATGAAAAAGGTGGATGTTTAGAGAGCGAAACTGTTTCGACATCCCATATTAAGCGCGGAGCCACCATTTGTCACAAGAAACCAAGTTCTATCTCGGCCTAATGTGAATCATACTGCGAGACAATAAGAAGGCGTTTGAAGATTGACCGTCTGTAAAAGCGCCGGAATAGGCTTCGGCCATTTGTGTCCAAACCAAGTCCAGCTCAGTCAGCCGAGGCACTCTATACTTATCCTCACATGCGGAAGGAAGTGTTCTATCGAGTTAATAGGCAGTCCATAGACTGAGCGTCCCTTATCAGCATGTTAGTCAAATAACACATCATAGCAATGCCTATTTTCGACGAGGATCATCAGAGGAAGTCATCTTCTCGGATAAAGGCCCTTTCGTGTAGCACGATAAATCGTGCTTCAGACAGTCACTATATTATGGAGTAAAGTGCGACATAATTTATTTCATTTAGTTGTGCCACTCAATACATTGTATCTTTATCCTATGGTTTCTCAAAATCTGCAAACTCAGCTATCATCTCGGCCCGGTGCAACTGTTCGACCGAGCGACTCAAGGCTAGTTCCGTGCGACTCAAATAAATTCATTAGATCTTACTTCCTTTCTTTCTTAGTCCCTTTTAACTTCCTAATTGCCACGAACACCAGCACCTGCGAGGCTAAGCTTACTATGTCGAAGGATGAATCACAAACTTGTCATGACCTCTGCTTCAGCGGTATTACTGGTCATGATCGCTCTCAGCCTATATTATGGGCAACATTAGGCACGTGCCCAGAAATAACGCACAAGAATCCATCGAGATGGAAACTCTTTCAGTTGGGCCGCAAACCCCCTTTTTCGACCAGCAGAACTCTCTATTAGGATATTGGCAGCATCAGCAATCTATTATGCCAAAAGCCATATGTTCTGAGAATTCAAGCACAAATCAAGAGCTGGGTAAGGACTGTAAGTGTGGGGACGTGCAATAATTGTCCTTTCATTGCTTTGCAAGCTCCGGTGGTTTCATACCATGGCTTAAGTCCTTGACACGTTTGAATGACCTCGGATTGGTTTCTAACATTATGAGATTCAGGAAGCATAGTAACGCACAATGTTGAAAGGAGCGAATGTAATCGTAACGGGAAGCGAACATACGACTTTTTCAGTACTGCCACCGACCCGGACCCTCTCGTCCCAGAACCCCAAAGCAGCAGGCTTCGTTCAGAGACTGACGGTTGTAGCGCTACAACCACCCGTTGGGAGCAAACCCGAGCCTTTACACCTTACGAAATTAGTCGCTACGGGCATTCCGATCTCTGTGCCACATGGGTCCAAACCCTTACATCAAACAATCCCGGCGATTACTATTCGAATACCTACGGAGGTGGCTATCTTGCATATCCAAACAGCCCAGAACTGGCTTTCTCTCCACCACGTGTGTTTGGCCCAGGCTTTGGTAGCACAGACTCTGTTGAGAGCATGGCAAGTCCCCTAGGAAGAGATCAAAAATATAGATACGCGATGTCTACCACAAAAGTCGACGAATCCTTTGTAACCGATTGCTACGACGATTCCTTCACGGGCAAAATCCAAGGCAATGTTCCACAGAAAGGGACTCTTGAAGCTGATACGGTGCCCGGCCCTGGGACCAGGAATTACACAGTACCGGCTCGTGTCGAAACAGAATTAAGTTCTCATTCAAAATGGAATATCGACAGTGTATTGCTCATGGGAAGTGCGCCCAATCACATTCTAAGCCCACCTGTCACCGATCATCTCGCAACTGATCTGGGCACTATGAGCGATGAGTTCCTTGACTGTGCGCCGGCCACAATAGACAGTCCGGCGGCAAAGCAAATTATCCAATGTGCACGAACGACAGTATCTGATATCCCTGTTCAGCGCTTCCAAGTAGGTATGTCTACAGATAGCATCAGTGAGTGGACAGGCAATGAATCGCCACCTGAGATGATACATGCGCTTTATGCGCATCAAGCAATAGCACTCAAGTGGATGCAGGGTGTGGAAGAGGACAAAAGCCGAAAAGGTGGTATTATGGCCGATACCATGGGTCTGGGAAAGACAATCACCGCTTTAGCCCTGATCTTAACTCGTCCCCCCGGGCGATCCTCTACCAGTGTCAGCACGGCGAATGTGAGTTCCCACCAAACCTCTCCATCCTAGCTCCACTAACTCCAGCAGCCTACGCTTGTTGTTGCTCCGGTAGCACTAGTAAATCAATGGGAGCGCGAGGCCGTATCGTGGAGCTCCGGACCCGGCAATCTCCTGCCACTTTGGCACTAGAACAGCGATCTATCCTCGACCCCTCATAAATTAACCTAATGCACTCGCAAGCTGATTGGCATTACCTAAAAGCACCACGCTATGGAGCCTTCAGGCTAGAGAACTGTCAGATTGATATGTAGCACTAGTCTATCATTTATTATGGGGCTTACCACTAAATATGAGTTGCCACGGTCTTCGGTCTACCGGTCCGGCATCTCACGTGAGTCCAGTTCAATGCGGGTGATGATCTTTTAGAGATGAGAATAGCCTGATTGGTGGAGCTCAGAATCTGAGTATTGAATCAATGCTTAAATTTGTGAACACGAACTATGGTTTTCTCACTCTTCTGCCCAGTCCACGCTTCGACCTTTGACGTCAGAAGTTCTACGTGCTTCCTCTCCGAAAGGCATTTGAAAGCTTAAGCTATTTCAATTGAATTAGCACATTATTTCCTGAATGGCATAAACGTACCATGAGCCCGCCAAGGTTGGTAGAGTGTACAATCAATCCATTAAATCAATCCAGACTAAGGTTTCAAGGATGGCACGGATGTACGGTTGCTACGTGCATAAGTGCACGGCTGGGTATTTGGTCTTTTTCCTACTAAAACCTTAGGCTTCATTGATTCGATGGATTGATTGCGCAGCATCGACTATTCGTGATGGACTTCGTTGATAACCATGTGATCATGATCGCTCAAGGTTGATTTCGTCTCTTGACACACTAAGTTGGCGTTCCACGGGACGCTTATCATATCTAGTTCCCCCCAGGCTTGCAAGGAGTCTCGAAGTATTTCGGAGATTGTTGTGCTCGAGTAGTAGACCTGTCGATGTTGTTCGAAAGCTGGTGCGGGATTATGCACGCGTATCAAGTAGGATAGCTCCAGCCGCAGCACTGTCTGCGCGAGTAAGAAATCACACAAGATAAGAGGGCTGAGCATTGACGGATTGTGCGACTTGCGGTGATTTTGGAGAATTCTTTGGATTGTAAGTATCTCCATTGCAGATTGCAGGCATTTCTGTCTGGAGAAGGTGGAGATCGCATCCGACCGGTGTATATTTTCTCCAAGTAATGCCCAGCGATGGGAGACGAGTCGGGCGGCGTGGTACACGATCATGACCATCTGCCTTGTCTGAAAAGTCTCGACAAGATGCCCCATTACATGTTTGAGCTGTTGTTTATAGATTTCCTCTAGCTGGTGATCAAACTCCTGTAGCGCCTCGGCAGTAATGTTTGTCTCCTGGAAGATTCGCAGACCGATGTCAGTAGCCGCTTCCTCGATCTTGTGGATAAGGGCCAGCGTTGAGCGAGGACAAGGTTTGACTGGGCAGTGGATAGGATCCTTTGTCATCCTGTAATGAACAGTCCAGCTTTGATTCCGTTTTGGAAGAACTGTCTGGATTTTGCCGTAGTAGAAACTGACATAATATTGACAATGGCGTAGATATAGCCAGGTTTCCTGACGTCGTCCCGCCTCGCAGACTGGGGCTTCGCTCAAATTTGTGTATCCCAAGGACTCGGCCAGGGCCAGCACCTGCCCTACTGATGCGTAGGCTTTCTGTAGGTTAAATTTTATGTAAAGCTCGGCGGTCAGGCGAACAGCAGCTGCCTCGACTTTGTATCTCCCAGCCTCGTTCAAATTGCTACAGTCCAAGCACATGGAGCAGAGCTCGAGACTTCGAAGTATCAGGCGGTCCTCGGCTGGGATATCGCCGGGGGCTAATACCCCCAGTGATCGACAGTATAACAGGCTGATTGACATGGCTCCGTAGACGATGGCCATGAACGCAAAGGCCTCATCACGATTCATTGATTCGTATGTCTGAGTGAAGTCACGCCACTACAAAGGTTAACGTCGTCCTAAGTATCGTGAAGGATAACAAATGTCTCACCTCTTCCAAAAGGCAAGCTTTACAAAATATTTCTAGTGAATATGAGCAAAGATGATCTCGTGAACATGGGTGATGATTTACTGACCTGAAACGGCATCCCCTGTGTTAAAGAAGTGTTCAATGAATCGCACGGATAGATTTTCTTCATTCTCTAGAGAGAGCAAAGTCAAGTCTCGCACGCAAGAATAGAAGTCGACCACGGCACAACCTTCTAATCCATCGAATTGACCCTGCTCGTTTGAGGGTGAACGATTGCTAGGCGGTTGGGAAGGCACATCGGGATTCCGTAAGCAATGTAAGAACCCGGGCCTATCGATTGGTTCTTTCACACTACCATCAGGGCTCATTAAGGGACATTGGGTTCGATGTGGTTGCTGTTTCCCAAGAGATGCCCTCTGCTCATCACAATCTTCCCTGTTACAGTTGTAAGTATGGTGATAACGTCTTGCTTTGGGAGCACTACCTCACATTGCGGTCCAGAATGTAGCCCGTCGCTTTGCTACGTTTCCTTGGCATCTTCTCAGAGAGGATGGTTGGATATGTAGATTGGTGCCAATGTGCAGTATTCGAAACAGAAGACCAATGGTTTCAACACGATTCATGCGGCTTTTAATCCAACCATTGAGATATGACATCCATGTTTGGTGCTGCATGTTAGTAGTGAATAGAATGTCCACTTTCCCTCCCAACGTCTTACCTCGTTACAATCCATGATCCAGGCTCATCTATGCCTTATTGATAATAGTCTGGCATCTTAGTGAAGGCACAGTCTTGTGTTTCTTTGTTCTCCACTAGTAGATTCTCTGTTATGAACAATGGGTCAACTCAAATCTGACCAGTAACGATACCAATCCTTTCCCTATCCATTGATGTCAACGTCAGAAAATGAGTGCTGTGGAGGATACGTCAAAAGCCATATCCACAATGGGATGGCGGATTAACTCCCGTGAAATAATTCTTGGGTTAGTGTCCCCATGTACTCGCCCAGAACTCGACGCAACAAGAAAACTTAGTAACCTTGTACCTGGTTAGTCTCATGGTCGAATAATGACGCGCATCTTCTAGCAACACGACGGCCGGCCCTTGAAGCTTTGTATGTTTGCCATTGAGCGGCCGTAATATGGAGAGACAATGCTCTAGAGATAATACTCACAGTTGATTATCATTCAATGCTGTTTGTATATAGACTCGAAATCATCTTTTTGGCTTCGCGCATGCATGTGCATATCAGGTAGAGACCAGAGCCGGCACCTCAACGTCCACGCTAGATACCGTTGACTAGCACGGCGCTATGACTTTGGGAAGATTTACAGAGTGTTCAGGTGGATCAAGAAGATCTTTTGCCATTGGCTAGGGTCTAGATGTGATAAATTGATGGATCACTAGATCAACCTGAACCTTGTGATACGTTGCCTATACCAGATGTCTATTGGGAACAGGGGCTTAGTCATGAATAAGTGCTTGCTTTCAAGTGGTTGGCTGTCCCTGCAAGGGCCACAAATGACTCTTTGCAAGGCGAGACAAAGGCAGTACCCGTCCTCCCAGCAGCAGAATTTTATCATTTTATGTGACATGGACATTCCAGTTACCTGATTTGGACTGCCCCACAACCCGAATTGGGTTGTCTCATTAGGAAACAGCCAAGATAGCAGTGTAATGCTAGTCACACAGATGCTCTGATAGTCTAGAAAAGATGATCTGAGGGTATAGAGAAAAGGATTTGACAGTAAAGCCGAAAGACATGAAGTTTGAAGTAACAAAAGCGGGCATGATGGCCAAACGATTGGCACTAGTGATACAGCTTGGACTGAGCGTGGCCTCTGATTGCGTAGCGGCCTCTCCAAACCCACGTCACTTGGGCCGCGCTGGCCTTAATTTGTCATGGCAAGGTATTGTAACAACTCAGTCGCAGCTATAGATGAAGTTTCGCACCGACCCTCTTGGAGTCTGACCAGCAACGACCCTCCCGGTCTCGGGGATGAAAAGGAGGCTGGTTGCTAACAAGGCATTTTCTCATGCGGGTGCTATCATCGGCAGTTCATCATCAATCCTAGTATGCAAAACCTTGGCTCATTTAGTCGCATGACTAGAGATCCTCGGAATCCTCCCAGAGGTCCGCCTGACCAGACCTCAGCAGTATGGGGCCGGAGAGGGTAATCAGAAGTAGCCGGCCGACTACAAGTCAAGTGATCCAGCCAAGATATCGGACTACCTAGGAAAGTTCTATTAGCTAGATTGATGTGCTCCGCTTTCAGGTGTAATGTCGCAAAGTACCATACGCTAATGCCTTGAAGACAACCTGACGTGATAGGAGCACTCCACCTCAGGACTTTGAGGGGTTAGCTGCTGTCCAGGAACAACGAGAGGAGAAAATAAAGAAAATTTGGAAGAGGATTGCAGAACCACTGCATGGCGAGTTCGGAAAGGCGGAACCTCGTTCCGTTCGACAAAGACAGAACTCGGTCCGATATAACGTGGCGAAACCGCCGCGTAACGATACACCCCCGAGGTTGACCCTTGTACCAGTGAGCCTTGCCCCAAACTTCCTTCACAACCACATGACAAAGCTGACTTTGTACGATCCAGAAGAAGAACTAGACCCGTTTCTCAACCACAATCGACCCGATTCGAGTGGGTTCGATTGTAACCGTATGTCGCGCTTCGTAATGTCGGTACAGTGTTGCATTCGAGACCTTCAAGGATCGCTGATCGTCGGTGATTGGTCGAGCTTCGTGACCATTGTGAGTCCCGACAGCTTGGTAAACTACGAAAGACAAAATGTGACAGGGAGCCAGGATGCTTTTATACGGACAAACAGAAGAGCACACGTAAATGAGCGGGGCATTTGGAATTGTAGACAGCCAATTAGTGACGAGTGCCGAACGGGTCTGAGTCATGGTAGTCGCTGCTAAAAATCAATAGTCGGAGGAAGCACCACTTGATCGCTCAGGCCACGCTCCGTTCTTCAAATCGAGTTCTGTTTGGGCTGATCAATGCGCAATTTAGACACGCGATTAGGCTTAACCCAAGTCTCTATTGTTCCTATCCACCTCTTCATGTTGGTGGAAGATGTGCCTCACAAGCACCTCGCCAAAACAAAACAAATCATGTAGCACAAATGTCAGATCTAAGCCAGATGCAGCGACTTATTTCTCTCACATCTTATAAAACGATCTGCCAACATATCGAGACCATCAGATCTGTATGCTGCATACTTCACGTTCCTCGTAACCTTGATTGATGCTGCTGATTAGCGCTGTGCCGTGCCTTCTTACTTTTGAATGATCAATAACACCTGAAAATGCGACGGGTCGTGCCTACCACACTAGCGGGGCCGACATTCTGAGCTAGAACTCTACCACATATTTGCTTGCGAAACAAGCGCACCTGACTTGTTGACCTCAAGCGCGTGACTAAGATGAGGGGATTCTGACCAAGCGTCAACACGTCGTAGTTATTAGTGCAAACGTACACTGCTCACTCCTATGATTCTCGAACCCAATTCTTCCATCGCAGGTAGTCGAATGCAAAACGAATGATTCCCGTACTGCACGTCTCGAACCTCGCCCCATCTGGTCATACCCGTACCACGCCTATGGAAGATAGTCATCGTTGATTGAATCGAAACCTTGGTTCAAAAGATTTCTGATCGAGTTCGTCCACATTTCCAGCTCGAAACTGAGGTTCTGCATCCTGAATTGTGTGATTTGGTTGTTCCGGTGCTGTGGTTGGGGAATGAACTTACACTTCGTTTGTCTGCTGATGGCTGCGCAAAATATGTCTTAGTATAATCGTCTGAAACGTAGCCGTTTGAGGGCACATACTTGTTGTGTATCCTGCACCAATTGATCAACTTCCAGTCGGTACATCATGTAACCAAAATCGACTTACGTCGTTGTCAGTGCCTCAATATGAGCCTGCAGCCCCTCAATTCTTTGGCTGAAGATAGTTTGCATGTCCTCCACTGTCCGAAGAGTCCAATCCAGCCTTAGTCTTACTTAGTGTCTGTGCAGAAAGAAAGATAGGATTCTAACATATCGCTGTCCACCTCGGCGAATTTCTCTCCCCGTGCAGGGACTGCTGGGTCTTGTGGGCGTGGTCCTAAGTGTAAACTCGAGCTTCCCGAAGAACTATCCGGCAAAGCATGTTGCCACCTTTGATCGGCCTGTCGCTGACGACGGGTTAAGCGCTCGCCGGGGAAGGACATTGGTAGATTCAAATATGTATAGCGTGCGATCACAAAAGATTGCACTACAAGGCCTTTTGTGGCAGATGAATGCAAAACATGTCTTACTTAAGTAGTCATTCACAACTGGCGACTGGCCCGGCTTATGACTCCACCATGCCCGGGGTTTGAATGTCGATGCGCTCGGAAAACAAAGCTCGACTTTGCACAATGGTCAGAATGGAAGAGTGGAAGCAGCAAGGCAATTGAAGCCAACTTGCTGATTCAGCTGGTATCCGAATGGACGAGATCGCGTCGCTACATGTTGACGGAAGTTGACCAGAATGGAGTGACGTTGCGTTACGAACCCGACAACCTTTCCCTATTCCGGCTGCCTACTCGCATTGATCGATGGTCACATGACAATGGCCCAAGAGTGACTTGACTTCTATCTACTTCCTCCTATCACTAACCCGGCATCTTTTTGCTTTTTGGTTGGCCTTTATGCAGCTGGCAGCACCTCAATGGGTCAATGAAAATGTGGGTAAAAACATCGGCTCTGTTGCAGCAAGATCTGGCAACTGAGATAGAAGTTGACGCAATCTCCTGTCATTCGTGCACTAAATAGCGATCTATCAACGTCCCTCGGTTAATCCATGCAGTTGAGCCGGCTTGATTCGCACAAGGACTATAGTTTATGGTTACCGTCGAATCCGAATAGTGGCATTTTTTCGAACCGTGTTTGAGGGCATTAAAAATAATATTTTCACGCTTGCTCAGTAAGTACAGCATGAAGCCGTCGGCTCTAACATACCCACACATGCCACGCCCTATTGCTAGTCAACAACGATTTAGCTTACGTTCAAAATTTGCAAACCAGAATTTGATTAGATACTACGAAACACGTAATGATCCACACTTATGTTCGCAGACAAACCAGACACGCATCTTCTGGCCGCAAATGATTTGCACCCACAGTAACGCGCGGCGTACTAAAGTTATTTCCGATAACCATTCTAGGACAAGGCGGCCCGTGGCGATGCAGTCGGAATATGGCCGACCACATCCGGATATGGAGCTGAGTGGATGATGACCCGCATGATATGCAATGCAATGCAATGCAATGCACAAAACCGTACTAGGAATAGTCCAAGGAAGGCCTTGAAAGTAAGTGCAAAGTCCATAACCCAAGAGGTAGAGTGCCAAGGATGCCCCCATGATTGACGTTCTTCCTGCCAATCGTGCTTAGCTCCAATTAATCAACAGGCGCTAACGGGGCAGGATATAACTAGGCATCTTTCTGGTTTGGGTGTACATGAGGTATCAGACAAATTACTACGAAGACTGATCATCGTACTTGTTCATGAAATTTAGGTCCCTGAGCAGGGTCTTGCGCGCCAGGCGGCAGCAAGGGATCATCACCACTACTTAAGTGAGACACATCTACCACAACAGTACTGTCAGATAAGCTTTACAATCTGCGATAGTTGTCCCTTCGCGCAGCTCTTGATAATGTCTTCTAACAGGACACATGGCAGTCATCGCCAGCGACACATCTATTCCGGGAGGCGGTCGTCTTTGCATAGTGGTTCTTCTCTAAGCTCCAGTTTTGCAGCGGTTCCACAGCCTCGAGGTTTGCATCACCATCGACGAGAAGCGCAAGTCGTCGACGTCGAAAATGAAGGGTTGGACAGACGGATCCTCTCCCCCACGCGAAACGCTAATCTGGATTAGGATAGAAATGGTTTTCAGCTCGATGGAAGAACTAGAAGCCCATCTTAGACAGAGGATCGAGGAATTGGAAGCTCGCCTTGGAACTTTGACATCCACGTAAGCTGCTTCCCATAGCCGAAGGGTCGAATAGAATCGTTCGCTAATCAGATGTAACAGGATAGAGAGTCGGTATGTTAGGCGGTCTTATTCGATCGTGTTTGAAACATATGCTAATGTCCGCTTTCTTTAGTCATCAGGAAACGACTCAAGAGTAGGTCAACCACGGGCTTTCTTGCTATGGGCAGAAAATAATTTGCTTTTAGAAATCAGAAACTCCTTGTGAAACTTGACTCATGGACGGGCTCAATCAAGACTCTGTTAGATCAGTGCTTCGCACCAATCAATGACGTTCATCTTCCCTAGACTCGGCAGTGCAAAGATAATGAGGAGTCGGATGTTGAAGGGTTGGCGAGTTGCAAATATCGTGTTAGATAGAGAGGGAGAGGGATCATCCAAGGTAACTTCACTTAGCCCTTGGGATTTGATGGTGCCGGGAAAACAGCTTATGCGACGACGTTGAAATCCTAAGTACCATGCACCAAATTACACATTGGAATATTGCAATAGAAAATGGGATTATTAGGAGTTCTAATTGAGGCTTGACGTACGGCACACCCTGTTTCTATCGCGTGCGTTTCTCGAGCACATTCTTTCCGCGTGGTATTTTCGGTTTTTAGAATTTCTGTAAAAAGAAAAGAACGGCCGACTCGACTGATCTTCTGCTGGATGTTCTCGCTCTGACTACATAAACTTCTCACAGAACCAGACAGCCGTTTCTTAAGTTTGTGGTGCAAACCCTTGCATTACGTGATCCTTATTCCTTCCTCTTTGGCCCCATGGTTGACCAGTGAGCTGCAACCAATGTCATAATCTGCTTCAAGCAAACTGATCCCACAGCTTGAACTCCTCGATCAGCCAAATGAACGAGACTCTCAATGCTGCCTTCGTGAGCATCAAGGGATGGCCGCAGAAATGCCTCAAATAAGTATCGGTGACCCCGCGACTCGGGGAGAAGAGATACAGTATGAAGAAGAGTCTTGTAGATGAGTACAAAGGGATGAGATCCAGTAATGTCCGCAAAAGAGACTCAGTGAGCAAGACAGTCGAAAGAACAGACCAATACATGAGCCATTCTTTGAGTTTCTCAAGGTTTGACGTCTTGAGAGCTTTATAGGTAGAAAGAAGAGGGTAGAGGAGGGAGAGTGATGAGCCAAGAATATTCAGTACAGCATCAAATATGGCACCAAACGACGGATATCAAAGATCTTGAACGATTACAGTACTGTACTACAGAAACTATGTACTGTACGGGATTGGCCAATATATATCGGGATTTAGCCCTCCAACAGTGACACTGATTGGAATGGTAGATCTAAAGATGGATAAATGGACTTGTCCAACATGAGAGTCCAGTGGAGAGATCTTCATGTACTGTACTGTACAGTAGGTACATACAGTACAGTACCATGTAGTCGCTTTTTATGATCCTGTATATTGGGTCATTTTAGGAATCCGCCTTCAGCGTGCGCCGTGTCAGGGAAAGGCTTTCCAGAAATGGATGAAAAAAAGAAATGATGATGCAAAGTCCGCACTACAAAACCCCACGACCGCGACAACTCTGATGTACAAGTATTCCATATTCTTTTACCTATTGAGCAAAGAAAGAACAGAAAAACATCGCCAACTTCTATTGCAGAGCTGTTTGTTAAGTGTCTATATGATGCGAGGCAGCAACCCGTTTCGATCGCCTCGCGCAGTGTCTTCCGACTTGTATAACAACTTTAGAGGTGAGATTGGAACCCAAATCTTGTAATAGTAACTGACAAGATTTCGTTGAGACACCAACGACAGCGACGATATTCACGATTCGGAAGAATCAGAACGCTCTACAGACGGGTCCGATGAAGCAGAAAGCTTAGACGCCTTCATTGATTCTGGTGTGGATGAAGATGACTCGCAATTTACTGCCGACGACCAGGATGAGAACGTTAATGCGCCTGAGGAGAGTGAACTCAGTTCAAGCGCTTCTTCAAGCGGAGAGAGCTTCGACTCGACAAATGACTTGACAGAGATCAGGGCGGCATTTCAAAAACTAGAAGCGGCCTTTACTCTATTGCAGAATGCAATAGAGAGATTGGGGCTTTTGAGACTAGAGTAAAATCGCTGTAATCCAAGATAACTAGGTTTCTAGGTATATATGAGCAAAATGTTCCCGAATGTTGCGGGCTCACATGCACCTGTGGTCTTGCCTTTGATCTCATCTCTTCGTAGCACTTCCCAATGTTCCTGAGAGGTCCCGTAGTATATGTAGCATCCTTTGAGCCACGGTTCGTTTTGTCAAACGAGGGTGGTGTATACCGCCATGGGCAGTTGCCAACCTCGATGCATACGCCGGAGGTCTCTTGCCAATTCGACCTGCACTCGGCAATGATGTTCCTGTCTTCGATGGTGTACCTCGAAGTTCCCTCATCCGATCTAGTGCAGACCATGGCGTGCCGTTTCGTGGTTTGTCTTGCTGTGGTGCTCGGACTGTGCGACCGTCGTGGTAACATTGCAGGTCGTCATATGGTGATGAGCCTAAACAAACTTCGGCCACGTTACTGGAACTGCTGTTTCGCGGTCGATTGTCCCAATGGCCATCTGATGCTGTATCATCTATAAAAGACATCAGTACCGGAGTCATTACTCTCGCAACTTCGAACTTTCGTGCGACTCTATTGTTCTCACCTGCTTCTAGAGTGTCCGATTCTAACAGCTGCAAATGTTGAAGCTGAGATTGAGTATTCGTGGTATCCGCATCATCATCCGGAAAATCATATACAGATAATGGAGGGGCCCGATGATTTGCAGTTTGGCTGCCGTTTGCGCGACCGGTTGACTGGTGCGGGTCGGTTGAGCACGGGGTGCGCCGGCCATCAGACTGTTGAGACTTGTCCTGCATTGCTCTCAGAGCCTACCGCCGATTAGAATTCATCTCGCTGGGAAGGTCAGAAAGGAGAGCCCCACAATCTTGTTCAAGTCCGGCAGCTTTTGGCCTGGAGGGATATGCACTGCCGTTTCCATTCTCCTGTGGGTAGGATTCCAGTACATGACGATGCTGAAGATATTACACTTTTTGCCAAGTATGAGGACCTTACGGCGAACGGAGTCACCACTCCTGCGGATTTTGACCTTCTGCTTTTTGTTATGCATGCTGTGCATCTTCTTTCGGGTTTCAAATGAACTTAGTAGAGCAGTGACACATTTGGAGTATCCATGAGTGTCTGGAGTTTAATAAATATTGAATTTCAGATAACTGTTCAGATTCAAGCCATGTATATCAGGTTCTGCACTTACACTAGTCGACTAAGTGGGTAGAAGCAGTTCTGGCGCTTTGGGGGCCACTGTCGTTCCTCAATGGTGTGGATGGGATTGGTGCTCGTGCCGACGCTGTTGTTGGTGCGGTTTCGTTCCCGGTTCCGGTTGTCGACCAGGGCGTCATTTAGTGCCTCCCCAGCAAAAACCCAATTGAGTGCACCACCTCTAAAGTGGTTGGGTCAATTGTGTGCAGCTGCCCCAGCTGACTACGTGTATGCCTATCCATTACTGTGCATGCCCCTGCGTGTGCCTGCATGCCAAGTCACTAGCTCCCCAGTAGTTCGTCAAAATCCAACCGGCGACGCTGATCGTGCTCCATGGAGTTGTGATTTATTCTCCACCAGGAAGAGTGTCACTATGTGTATTGATTTCGGCCGGTCAAATTTGTATTCGCAGCAGATCTAACACTAGGCGTGAAACATATTATGCACCCACATGGATAGAAAGATGTCTCGGTAGAATGCTGCATGGAATGATAGTTGGGCATTAGACACGACTTGTAAGGAAATGAAAATGGCTAGAACGGCAGCATCCGAACACCACATTGGTATTCTCAAGTGAAATGGCAGTGCCAAAGTCAATCTTATATAAGTATTCGTTCTTTCATCTATAGACTGCTCCTCCGTATTGACTCGACTCATTTTCGACTGGCAATTATCGACCGGATGAGTAGGTCCTATCGCATTATCGCACTATCGCAAACACCAGTCGACAAGCCGGCACGTTCGTGAGGCCTTCAGGAGGCTACAGGCTAGGCCACCGAGGCCTGGGCTCTTTCAATGGGGCCCGGCTTCAGCGATGGTCTTTCGTAACCTGTTTTGATAGTACTTAAAATTTATATCAATTTGTGCTAAGCACCCTGATTCTGTAGGCCACTTGGCAACCTTGGTTCTTGTTTGCTCTAACTGCCCATTCATAACGCAATCGGAGCGTAAAGGCTAGACGATTACTTTATCGCCTACGAATTTCCCCACACTAAGCGATATGGCTGGAGGCCGGGCAGTGCGGCGATACAGACGCCTTGCGCCAAGAGGTCATCAATTTCTTTTCTTCGTAAGTATAAACGGTCCTGTGTTCTTCATGTTTGTGATGCCCATCATACCATTAGCATTCGCCTAATTGCGATCCCGATCATGCCTTGTTCTTCTGAGACTTTATCATCTCGGCACCCTTTGAACCAGATTAGCTAAAGACCTGAGCAATTAATCTTGACTCATCGAGAACAGGATAAGGAGGAATGATCAACCTTTTCAGCCAAAGCGTACACTACAGATTGCAGATGTGCACTGGGTATGAGTGGAATGATGCTGGAATCAATAACGCGGAGGTTTCGAACCCCGTACACCTTCAGGTCAACGTCGACAACCCCACCGTTCTCGCGAGGCAGCATGGCTGCTGTGCCGCAAGGATGGAAACCAGTACCGACCATACATTTGACCAGATGCTCTAGCACCGTATGGTTCTCGGAGATGAGACTCATATCAGGTGCAGGGTTCAAACTCCTCATAGCTGAGGTCCCAACGAGATTTCGATTCCACCGCAAACCCATCACTAGAGCCTCAGAATTGACTACGGTCAGTATTCATCCATTCGCAACCATTTGTGTGTACTCGATTGTCCAGATTGCGCTACATACGTTACAGGATGACGTATGTGTGTCCTTTCATGTGGCTGAGACTGAAGCCGCTTCTGCAAGTCGGTGCCATTCATTCGTTGACAACATGCGCTCACTCACGACAGAGCGAGAGAGAAACAAGACAGGAAATGGCCTCGTGGAGGAAGGCTGCCGATGAGGGTCATGAAACGGGTACGTCCTTTTTCAGCACAATGGACCTCATCGCGGCGGCTTGTTCACTTCAGGACCTGCCAGCTGGGGACTGGTGATGGTGTCCAGTCTAATCCATGATCAAGCTCCAGGGTCGACTTTTGTCTCGATCACGAACGTGCTGTTTCTCCAACCCTCTTGGCCAGATGCAGGATCGATCGCCTCACTCAAAGTAGCCCGGCATGGCATGAGTCCTGTTTCTGAGCCTACTTTTCTCGTGCTGTACTTACGAGACCACTGTTCTTTCATCATGGAGACGCATAGACACGAGATTTTCAGCAAGTCCGGTTTCCCTTTCCCACTCTTGATCTTTCTTGGCTGATTCGGAGCAAGCAAGCACGTTTTCTTAGCGCGAACGCAAGCGTTCAACGACATCTCGGCCTGACTTGAGCAGCCAGAAAGAACTACATTCCTAACAGGTAATTCATGCAAAAAACTATCGTTTATCATTTGTCGCTGTATTTTTGATTTATTTGCAGTTTACGTGACGGTATGGATTTGTTCACGCAATTTATGTCAAGTGATGAATTTGTTCATGCAACTAGATAATGGTCTTTCCGACAGATAAACTAGGTACAGTCGCATCTCTGCATTGGCTCTGCTCAATCTCGACCGAAGATCTCAGTCAGGACGAACAGGTTCGTAGCCAGCACCACGTACAGGTTGCAGAGGCCGTCTTCGCTGGCCGGTACACAGGGATGGACATCTGCGACCCCCGCAGGAACCTAAGGAGATAGGACGGCCTGCGGGAAAGGAGTAATCCATCAGCTGTAGGCTTGAAGTACTTCCAGGTGGCATCGTTTGTAGGCTCGAGGCACTTGTAGACGGCATCATCTCTAGGCTCGAGGCACTTGCAAACGGCTTCCGCTCGCTGGCTGCCCGAGGGGCAGCCACAAGGAACTTCACCGGCTGGCACGAAGGCACTCCCAGGTGGGGTCCATCTGTAGACTCGGAGAACCTCCAGATGACACGTCCGGACTAGTCAAAGTCTCGGACGGCTTCGCTCGCAGGACCCGAAGATGCTGGCGAGGAACATCACCCGCAGGGCACAGATGCCCCTTAGGTGGGGTCATCTGCAAGCCCACGGAGAGCTTGCAAATGGCACGACTGTCCAAGCGGCCGCAAGGCGACCGGACAGAAGGCTTCACCCGCCAGACCGCGAAGGTGCTGGCGAGGAACGTCACGTGTAGTCTCTTGGACTTCCAGGTGGGGGTCGTCTGTCAGCTCAGAGAGCGGTGAGACATTACATCTGGGGCAGGTTGCCTACACGGCCGGAACACGCGATGGCGATGAAAAGAGGAAGAAGGAAGTCAGGCTGTTGTCATGGAAGATGTCCAGAAATGTATGCTGGACAGGTCCGGACACTTCTGGCGCAGGTACTGTTATGATCGTCAGTTGTATGTCGGCACTCTCATAAGGGTAGGGGCATTCGCGATCACCTTTACCCGCTAGTACAGAGACACTTGCCAGTCGGGTCGTCTTCAGGTCCACGGGGAGCCTGCAAACGGTAGGTGGTGTAGTAAGGAGACCCGGGGCGGGGTTTGACTATCAGCTCTGAAAGCGTCGAGACACAACATCTGCAGGCACAAAGCACAGCGAGATGGAACACGCGGAGGTGATGAGGGTGATGAGGGTGGGTGAAGGTGGGTGAAGGTGGGTGAAGGCGGGTGAAGGTGGGTGAAGGTAGTGAAGGTGGGTGAAGGTGGGTGAAGGCGGGTGAAGGTGGGTGAAGGTAGTGAAGGTAGTGAAGGCAGTGAAAGGTAGTGACGGTGGTGAAGCTGGCGAAGTTGATGAGGAGAAAAGAATAAGAAGGAGGTTGAGTTTGTCGAGCAGAACGACGAGTTTATATGTTCATTTCCTATGGGTCTTGCAGAAATGCCGCAGCTCCTAGAAGGTTCCATACGAAAGAAGGTTCTGATTTGGATCGTTTTGCTCTTTGTTTTGCCGTCGTGATACAGTAGATGTCAGGAAGTGTATGTTGGACAAGTGCGGACACTTTTGGCGTAGGTTCTGTTCTGGTTGTTAGCTGTGGGTTAGCACTTTCATATGGGTCATAAGAGCAGAAAAAGTCATGAAGTGCAGAACGGTTCCATAGGGAGGGAGGTTCGGATTGGACCCTTCCTTTCCTTGGTATTTTGCCATGGTAGGCGTCCACAAATGTATGCTGGACAGATGCTGACACATTTGGTGTAGGTCCTGTTCTGGTCGTCAGCTGTGGTTTAACACTTTACTGCCGAAGAGCGGAAAAGGTCGCGAGGTGCACAGTGCTCGCTGAATGAGGTTTATTGCTGGTTGTGCTCTCTAGACTGATCGACCCGAGGAGAACAGTCCCACTTGCTGGAGACCAGAATACTGTCTGAGCAAAACCCGACCATAACAACAATACCCAGCCACCCTATACAAAAGTATACCTGCCGAGGATCGCCTAAAGTCGACACGGTCCGCACAGCTGTTTTGCCATCGCTGCTGCCTGTGACTGTTTGTCCGATCGAGCCAGTCATTCCCCCAGTTTCTTTTGACGTCTCGCCCTGTCTCTCTTCCCTTCGTCTGCGTGCATTTTTCTTGAAACAGACGATGAGCCGATGCTGCTTACTCATTCCTATCTTGGCATCACCCCGTGGCTTGCAGGCACATGCCGCAGGCACTGCAAAGACGTCCTTCTCAGGGAACTCGACCCCTGCCTGTAGTATATCTTCTTCGTAGCTGGCGTCTCCCGGAGCATGACTGTATAATGGCGCCGTAGTCCCTTTCCTTTGCCTATTCCACGATCGCTTGTTAGGCACGATATTGCCCAGCGGCTTCCGTCCTGCCTTGACGACAGAACGCTCAAAGTCAATCAGCATGAGCTCCCCGGTGTCGGTATTGCGTAGCACATTGGTACGACGCACATCCCGATGTACCACGCACGCCCGATGTGTCGCCCGCAGACACCGTTTGACCTCACCAGCACGAACCGCTTCGTCAATCGGACTGCCATGCGAGAGAAGCAACAGATATTCGATGTAGACCCGATGGTCGTAGTAATAGATCCTGTCCATGTCGCGAAGATCTATCACGCCCAGGCAGACCGGCACCTACGACCCCTGAAGTCCTTCGAGGTGTTTGTAGATGGCTGTTTCGTGTTCTAGGTCCCGAATGAACGCAGATACCGTGCCCTTGGCGACGAAAGTGTAGCCGTAGGCCATCAGACCGACTTTGAACAGCACGCCGCGAGATCCGCCCACATCTAGACGACTGATCCCGTGGTCAAGAGACTCCTGCAGCTGCTGAAACAGGAGCCGGAGGAACTCCTCACGGTCGATCAGATGATCAGCAGCTGCAAGGCTAGCCTGCCGGTGCAAGAGAACGTTGGGACACTTTGCGTCAAGGCGACCTTTTCTGACCAGTCCTAGAAGACATCGCCATGTGCAGTACTGTCGCTCTTGTGAAGCTTCCCCGCGCGGCGCTCGGCCCTGAATGCGCTGGCTGCGCCGTGGGCCTTGGCTCTGACTACTCGACCGCGGCTCAGACGGTGTCGGGGTGTCCGGCATCCGAGGCGAGGACTCATCCGACAAAGACTCGTCGTCCCGGTCCTTGAATCTTGGCTGCATATCTGGACGGTCCTCTTCCTGCGCCTAGCGTTTGCGTCCTGTTCGAGGCACGCGCGGTGACCGGCTGATGCCTGCATAAGTCGTCGGCGCATATAGCGAGCCTGAGCTTGAGCCGCTCGGAGCGTATCGCTCGTCTCGGGGAATAGATCGCAATGTCGTCTCAAAGTCCTCTGCCCATCGCCTCAGCCCCAAGATCACACACTGCCGCTCATCCTGCGATCGAACAGTGGGTGGGTTCCCTGGCGGGCCGAGAGCTAGCAGGCTGAATGCCAGGTACTGGCCAACTGCGGTGCAAGCGTGGTGTTCCCCCGATTGCGCTACCACCTCAAAAGCGGGCTCTGCTAAATGGTACAAGATTGTGCCGGGTTCTCGCCAGTCTACTCGCAAGAATACAATGGTTTCGCCGGTAGTCAGCGACCCGTACTCGAGACCCCCCTCGATCATATAGTTGTAGGTCTGCGTGATGGCCGCAGCGGTGAGCCTCTCGGCATGGTACTGGAATCGACCGTCGGGATCGGCCGCGGTAGGTATTGTTTTCCGATTGACCACGTCTTTGAAGATATCCATGGGATGCAGACCGACGCGCAGGTGTGGAGCGGTCAGCTTGTGCGGGGCCTTGTATTCGGACATATACAGCATGGTACGCCGTGTGGAGAGCTCGTCGTCAAACCGGTATACGCATATCTGGTCGGGGCGGATGCGTCCCGGATCTTTCCCTTGATCGGGCGTCTATGGCGGTATCGAGGAGGCCTGCCGGTCGACAACCTCCTCCGCAACATCGCTGATCACATTGGGGTGGTTCTCAAAGACAATGCCGTTACCGATCCCAAACTCGTGCCGCACTTGGTCCACGTTCCGCAATTGATCGAAAATCTCTCGCACTGGATCTTCGACGCTGTTGTGCAGGAAATATTCGAGCGTCTTTTCGCAAGATATCGGTCGCTTGGCAATTCGCTGGCCGAGGCCTGTCAAAAAGCCCCGAGATTCGAAACGCCGATCGGAGACCGGGAAGGTGCCGTAGAGGGCCCCTAGAGTGGTTCGCTGCTGCTCGAGAAAGTCGGGCCATGGGCATAGATTCTTTGGACACAGCTTGTTGCGCGGGTTTGTGATGGGGCCCTTCGAGGTGAGCTCCTTGTCGGTCTCGACGGCAAAGTGGCTGGCTACGAGGTCATGAGTTGCGGCAATGTATTCGTCAAAGTTGTCCGTCGTGTTGATAGTTCAGCCTCTTGTTGTCGTTTCTCGGCCTCTTGTCGTTTCTCCGCTTCATCGGCACGTTGCTTCTCATCGCGTTGTTCACGTTCGGCTTCATCAGCACGTCGCTTCTCATCGCGCTCTCGATTCTCGGCCTCGTCAGCGCGCCGCTCGGCTTCTTCGAGACGTCTCAACAGGTTGTTTGTCTGGGACGTATTCATATCGAGTTGTTTGTACTTGCGAATGCCATGAAGCCACTGAAATGAAACAAAGTCTATCGGGTTTATTCAGTATGTCTTTCTCCGTGATAATCATTTGACGCTAGTTAGTGCAGTTGGGAGAGAGTAAATAAGTGCAGTGACGTTGCTAGGCAGCTACTTTGGGAGTCATGCCGAGCTTCACCCGGCCCTGTCAATCGTTGATCTACGCAACAACAACAACAACAACAACAACAACAACAGAAGATAGTTCTACTCATCATTATGTCGTGAAAGTATCGTCAGATACTAATCGACAGGTACGTGTCCAATCTCCATTTGCAGAATATCCTTGATTCTTCTCTTTAGCTCCTTCCTTCTCTTTAATGCTTCCAAGTATGTCTTTGCTTTTGATGCAAGCCCCCATTCTGGGAGATCTGGATACACCTATTCCCACTGTGCCACGACTCTCTATCTGACACCGTAAATACGGTCCAACCAGGCTATATTTTCTTTCGTCTGGCTCTAATAGGCGGGGAGACGGTAGAGAATTTTCACTTCTGGGCCCTAGATGGCACTAGGCTAAGTGAAAAAACAGTCTACCCGCCGAAGTAGGACCTCGTTGGTCGCTAGAGAGCTGTTAACATCCCTACACACACTAGTATACGAAACTGTAAATCTATTGCTATGTGATCATGCTCGGTTACGAAAATTCGTCTCAAAGACATTAGAGTCGCGAGGGCAGCCCCTTTTCATGGTGAGAAATCGATAGCCATATCTTTCTGATTCTTCGCCGCGCAAAGCCAACCGCATCATGATGACCAAGATCCATACCCAGCGGTCCCGAGCCTTCAAGGTCCTTGTTCTTATCATTCTTGAAGTCCCAATCACGATGAGACATACAGTACAGTTTAGCAATGCGTGATAGTTCCTTTGTGGTGTTCTGAGTAAACTTTACTTTGACCAAGTCTTTTTGGTACAAGCGAGGTGTGCCATCATATAACTCTTCAATGAGTTGATTCATGGTTTTAGGGACGTAATCGCGGCTACACGCATGTACAACACCCCGTGTCCCAAGCTGTATGTGTTGGAGCAAGATATTCGCCACAAGATCGACTGGAATCTCGTCGACGATATTGGCCCCGGTTGCCGACCTATTTGCTGCTGGGAGGACGGCCGTCTGGCCGGGCAGGGAGAATAAGCCGGCAAAGAAGGTATCAAGTGGTATGGACCCCGGCGGTCCGTAAAGTTGGAACGGCTGGTCGATTGCTGGCCCAATGCTGGTAGGACGAACAATGAGTAGTGGAAGTTTCGGGAACGTGGAGCTAAGTAGAACCTCCATAAGATGCTTCGAACGCGCGTATGGCCATGAGTAACCGCCCCAGTCATCGTTTGAGCCTTCGAGGATGGCCTGCAAGATCCCGGATGGATCCTGGATTGGGAACAACGTCTCTTGCACAGGTCCATCTGGGAGAAACGAACAAGCATATGCGCTGGAAATCTGGACAAAGCTAATGAGGTTGGGGAAATGGCCTGCCATACGCCCAAGCTCTAGGGCCGGGACAACATTCTCTAACATAGCTTGACGCAAACTTGATTTCAAGCTGATGTTGGCGGCGGCGTGGATGACAATCGTGACTTCTGCCCTCAGGTCCTCCAATGTTGTAGCATCGAGACCAAAGTCCGGTAGCTTCATATCACCTATAATGAAGGTGATGCATCCGCTTATCAACATTTCCTCAAGCTGTTGCGGCATACTTGTTCGCCACTTTGATATGGCACTGGCTACTTCATCCCGTACCAGGACGAAGATTCTGCGAGCCTGAAGCACGGTGGCAAGTTTGAAGAGAACACATCCTCCAAGGCTTCCCGTAGCGCCCGTAAGGAGAATAGTCTGACTGCTGTAGAATATATTTTTCGACATTGAAAGTTTGCTTATCTTGATTTCAAGATGTACTGGAACGCCTGAAGATATGGATGGATAGCTTACGGGTGGCATACAGATATTTATACGCTTGTTGATTCTCAACAGAATCCCGTAATCATTGTAAACGCACTAGTGTATAACACTCTTACACTCGTACTGTAGCTCATGTGAGACTATGAGGCAGAAAGAAATTATGCAAGTTGTACGAAGGAGCATCGTTAGGTGAGGATGATTTAGTACAAACTATAGCTCAGAAGTGTGAGCTTGATGTGCCTGAACCATAATTAAACAGCTCTAGCCTCCAACCACTGAAGCCGGTCGATGCTTGAACACTGATTCCAACCCTGCAGACGGAAATTATTGCTTCAGTACTGTACCATTCCTGCGACTATTCAACACTTCTGTTAGCTGAAACACCTAGAGCTGAAAGATGTTCTGAATTTCCAAGTCAGCGAAATACTCTCTGCATAGGCAGGTTCAAAATTGGTTTCCTCTTTTCGCCTCTCTTCTGACTTTGAGCACGGACAGACCACTTTTTGTTCTGATCCGGAAGTAGCTTCTTGAGTGAAACCTATTCCAGACTCATAAAATCCAGTTTACGTTCTAGAACAACATTGATCACTTATAGACGGAATAAATCGAGAAAGAACCGTTCGGCCTGATGAATCTCAGGTAGCCGTCAACTCCGATCCTGCTTCCAAGTAGTAGGAAACTTGAGGCCAGCGGGCATTTGCGTCATGATTGTTTCGTCCGCAGTACAGTAGCATACCAATTATCTTACTTTATTGAGCGATTTGTACCTACGTTTATTCTCGCCACTTTGGCCACGGAGCCACTATGACACTTATCACCCAACATATGACAAAAGTTGTTGCCTCATTCAAAATCGTCTGCGGATAGAACTGTCGATCTAAACTAGCTGAGCGATACAGTCTCGTAGATCGCAATGAACCCTAACTACGATTATGGGCTTTTGAGCCCGAAGAACGCCAACCCGAGCTACTGCAAATCTACCACCTTACATTATTTTCCCTTTTTCCCTCCTCTTATTATCTTATTACATTTGTTCTCGTCCCGACTGCATCATTATGCATGGAAGACTGGAAAGCGGAACCGTACCTCTGGTGATGAACACCTGCTTGTTGTTTGAGCCCCAACGGCACCGATCACTGGTGCTCTTGGGCCATGTATCACTCCTGACACATGCCAGAGTCTTGTGCTCCGGGAATAGCAGAGATCCGAGCCCTCGAAAGTATTAATCTACCAGCGAGTGATTTCAAATCTTCCCCATCGATGCAAGACTCTTTCGCAGCATCCAAATCATTGATGACAACAAGTATGAAAGGAGGAGTCTTTCTAAGTTCATTGATCCAATGGCGGTCAATTTCTTCGACAGAACTGAGAAGCGCACGGGACTTCACTGTATAGGCTATAAATTCTTCCCGCGGGCCATGGCAGTAATCGACAGAAATGATATCTGGAGACATGGTAATACCGGCGTCAACAAGCTCATTAACTTTCTGTGCAAGTCGATTTTCGATCGTTGCCTAGAATATATCAGTTGATGTGAAATTATAACTTTTTATGGTGTGCTTACTGTTGGATGTGTAGGGTAGTCGCAGTCGAGAATCGTTTGCAGGTTACTCGCATCAGAAAAATACGTATAGATCTTTCCGGGAGCTAAAGAGCGAGAGTGGGATGAAGTCAACACTTTCATCAGTCTTTGGATCCAGCCGAGGATCATTGTTGCTATCAAATGAAGATGAAAGATTTGGAGGTAAGTCGTTTCGAATGGATGTGTCGTCATGAACTGATCTGTGTGACGTGACTTCTCCAGACTTCGACGTGTCGGTATGGCAAGTCAGACACAAGGAATGCAGGAACAGGGAAAGGATATATTGAGAATTGAAAACAGGAAGAAGACTGGAGATGGGAGAAAACGATCAGCCTTATATACTTAGCGGCTTCACGCAAAACCATGTACCCCCCCCTGATGATTCACAATAATCGAGAAACAGTTGTGCCGAAGTCCGTGTCGTCAAGCTTCTACATGACGTGGTCATCCTTACTATGACTTCTTGTGTTTCCCATATTGTAACGATGACAATCAGAACGAATAATGCTTCGCAAAGATTCCTTACTGGTCACGAGATTTTGGCTACAATTTGCTTCCTATGTAGCGACCATTCTCACGAGACTTCGCTCTGATGGACTGACGGTTTCCTTCATCTTTGAAGAGTTGATTCACCTTGCAGTTATAATTGGGAACTACATTAGAGCAACTGTAAATGATGTGCTCTACTTGAGCCACAAGACTGATCTGGCATTTGCAGCAAGACAAGGACGCAGTAGCTATCGGAGTGGCCGGATAGAAAATCTATCCGAGTACTGACAGCGCCTGGCTATAAAAGAGGCCCCATCGTCCCACTGTCACAGTTGTTTCCCCATACCAGTTCTACAAAGCCCATCAAACCATTCTTTTTTCTTTTCTCCGCTCATCCATTTATGACCACTCCCCAAGACAGAGAAAGGTGTACAACAATCGCAGCCATGGAGCACTACTCCTTGGCTGTCCTTTCTAATACAGCCGCAAGACATTTGGCAAGGGACCGCGGCGACATATACTCCATGACCGTCATGTCGTATAGGGAAAGCGAAAGCTGCTTTTGGCTTATGCCTGTGTGGCCATCGGCTGGGGCCGCCGAGGAAAATACTACTGAGAGTTCCTGTACGGACGAGCAGGCAGCACAACTTCTCTTGGAACTTAGGTACTCTGATTCGATTGATGGAAGGCGTGACTCTACTCTACCCTTGGAGGCTCAGGTGGAGAAGGTTCAACAGCAACATGAACGCCCGCAGTCTCCCTCTAGTACCGGCTGGTCATCTACGGGCGCAGTTGGTTCGACTGAGAGCATGATTGAAAAACCTAGTCTCAGCTCGCCCATCTCTTTACGGCCACTGCTGAACGCACATGTCACTCCTTTAGACGAATGCGCAAACAAATACACATCAGACCACTTGATGTGGTGTCACAACGCGTCATCACGATTAGCGGATGTAGTAGGGGTTGCGGCACAGCCTTCTCATTTGCGCCAGTACTCGAATGCAAGTGCTCAACATGTCAACGGCATAACGGAATTGATTGATCAACTTCAACGAGCATTTTAGGAACCGGGCTCGGCTTCACCGACAGTCTCATGATTGGACTTCAGGATTCAAATGCGGCTACTGTGTGCAGGATAATCTGTAGGAATGGGCAATGATGGGTCACTGTAAACTCACGGAGTTTTTCCGGGTTGCGGTAGAGTACAGTGATATCACCACTATCCGAATGTCGTTTTTTTTCTTTTGGTACTTGTGTGATGGGAACAGATAATGACAAAGATCTTGTTTATGACGATTAAGACTTTGCGAGTTAAGGATGCTCTTCTTCTCTGATTCTCTGGCCTTGGTTCAAGATATGACCAGATTCGAAGACCGGGTCGTTTCAAATTCTGTGTCATTATGTACATGCCTAGGAATCTTTATCGTTAAGTCTCGTTGCCATCAAAGTACGCATAACGACCTGCGCAGGACCTCGCAGAGCTGCCGGCCCTCGTGACTTGGATAAGAACGGGTGCTATTGCAGGTTAGTCTTTATTCGATATTGCCTCCGCCCGGAAGACTCACGCTGGAAGGAGGCAACTCCCTGGCGTAGAGAATGTCAAGAAACTCGGCGGCGTCATATGTCCAGACATGTGCGCGAGGGCTCGACACCTTCATCATTTGTTCCACATAGGACACCATGAATCGGTACATATTCTTTCTATAGATAATATCGGTTGTCGGTCGATGGTGAAAGTCGAGAACTAGATTGCATCAGTAAGAAAAGGGGCCCGTGTTTGCCATTGCAACAAATATAAGGCAGAGCAACACCCACTTAACTTGACAAGACCGAACATGGAGACACGAATGCTCGAGATACGAACGTCTACGGCCAATGAGCGAAGATACATGATTGCGGACAGCACCTAAGGTAATACCAATCGTTAGTATTGTTATGTTTGAATGGCAAACTGGGGACGAATCAAACCTGCGCAATCACGCTCGCAACTTCCGCCTCGGAAGCGAGTGGGCAGATATCAAGGAGGTCCAGATCAGTGTGCTCATAGACAATATCAGTCGAGTTTCTGTTAAAGTACAGCCCCAGAAAGCGTGCGATATTCAGATGACGTATACCAACGAGGCCTCCAAAGTCGGTGATAGTCATCTGAGGAGCATGTTCCACGCGTACTATGCGGTCGCGGTCTTCAAAGGATATCCCAATCCATCCTCCAGAGGCCAAGCGCAAGAAGCGGTAGTGTGACTCAGGATAACCGTTGATCGTGACAGGTGGGAAGGCGCGAACAGGAAGCAGATCCCAATCACGACAAAAGCCTGGCTTCCGAGTTAGGGCCATCCTAGACGGTGAGTGGGATGCTTCTCGTGATGAAGAGGCTGTCGAGGAAGAGACTATTGTACTACAAAGCGTGAGACTGTATAAGAAAGTGCTTGATGATTCAATGCTTTGTGATGATAGTAAGTATTTAAACATAGCTCCCAGTATGTTTGCTACATAGACAACACCACCGATTTAGGATCTACCGTAATGAAATCCCAAAAAATTCAACGCTACTGTGTACGGGACTGTGCTGAGTCTTTGAAAGTGCATCATGGTCAATTCGAGTTTCCTTGCAAATCAATGGTATTGGTTCTGGCGCAAGACTGAGATCCAGTAGTGGAGCAGTAGGTGATCATGCGTGCACAGGTCATCTTCGAACTCCCAGGTGGGGCAGTTGTACCCGCTCCATTTTACCGCGTAGAACAATCGTCCATTATCGAACTCATAGTGGCCGATTATGTTTTCAATCTCGTACCCTACAAACCCCTCGGCAGCATTGGGACGTTGTTGACTTTCTTGCCAAACCGACACCGTTGCCCCAGTATCGTAGATCCACAAAAGTTCATCACTCACTTGCCAGTGCTCGAACGACCGGTCAGAATTTTGGCCAAGGATGCCGTAGAAGGTGAACTGCGATGACTGAAACGTGCAAATAATGGAAGAGACGACCACATTCGAGGACCACATTGTTTCAACTTTTGTGCCTTGCTGTACAATGCCAATAGACTGTGGAGCCGCCATCGTCGAGGTATATCTTTTGGTGGGGAGAAGACCAGTATTGACAATCGTCCCCAAGCTAGATACCAGTACCAACTTCGGGTCCATCTAATTATCTTCGATCCTGGCACACAACTAGACACTTTCTAGGACCATCTTCCGGCCAAAATCCCCCAACCAACCGACAGATAACTTTGGTAACATGACTGGTTTCAGTCATTTACAAAGGACCACTCGCTCATCGAGCCATCATTAACCCAGATTAGCTAAATAGGCCTTTTCCCGGACAGATTCGTAGTATCTCTGTTTATTAGTTCACTCTTTCAAGATGTCGTACTACATAAAACCATAGACTTTCGACTTCACCTCCATCGAACCGTACTTCTGCCCAATATACCTCTTCTACAACTGCATTGACATGTACAACTGTGGCAATATGGATGACTATAGATGTCCACAGTGTACGGAGAGCACTCCGTACACTAAGGCGACGAGCTCGTGGATCACCGAACTTGGGAAGTGGTGATCACGTGACTAGGCTAGTGGGTATATGCCCACTCTCTGTACACCGATATTCTCTTTTGTACTCTTAGACTTCTATATACTACTTGACAGCACCTATACTATCATTTCACGCTTAGAGCGTTACACCTGCGATCCCATGCTTAGGCGAGCACCGTATTCGCTATCCTATGCTCTAGTAGATTGAGGCTCTTCCTTTCAGTGCATCACACCAGACCTTCACTACAACAGTCCTCTGTATTAATTGTAGAAACTGTCATAACAACCTATACTCTCCTCTGCAAACTATCCGTTTCCTGTTGCCGCTATACTGAAATAGCATTCACTTTCGCGTCTCGCTACATTCGTCCCTCATGAATCCCCCTCCTAGTCGCCGATCACAGCGCTTGGCTCGGCGTAATGCGCAAAATGCAGCCGATTCCTCATCCCGACCACTCCATATATCCAAGGCTAACCGAACGACGCTGGGCATTCGTAAAAAGGCTACCCGACGCACGCATCAACCAGAGCCCGTCACAAGTGATAATCCGACAGTTCTCCAACCCATTATCAAATTCGAACCAATTGATCCCCCTCAGCGACCTGTTGCGAACAGAACAGAAGACCATCATGATGGCGTACAAGAAACCAGTAGTACTGCGCCGCTGCCAAACGTCAAGGTCAACCACCACCAAATGGCTGAATACCTGATTCACAGCACATATCAACAAGGCTCCAAGCACACAAACACACAAAGCAACGGCTCAGAAATTGCTTTGCAATCAACCACCGTCCCTGGTGGAGGAATGTCACGTGCACCTGTTCCAACAACTTCACGACATGGTCACGCCTTGTCACTTGCTAGGTTCATGTCTCGACTTCAGCAGGTCAAAAGGCACGTCCCATCGAACAGTCCATTGCCATCAACGCTGCAAGGCCAAGCCAGCGTCCCAGGGTCTTTCCGCCCGCTCCTCGCACAGTAATCGGTGGTCGTCGGGCCGCTGCTCGCATGTCCATGCAACTAGCGCCAAGAGAGTCAAGAGCTTCATTCGACTTAATAACACCGCCCGCACCATCATTCCCTCAGATGCCAGCTCCTGAAACAAATCAGCGACGCTTTGAGCCCAACTTCACTCGCGTCGATCTTGCAACGCCACATGGCCAGCTGAAAGTCAAATACCCCAGGGTCCTGACCCAGCAGGTCTTCCAGAACACGCGAATGTGGATGGACGTCTACCAAAACTGCGGGTACAGATTTCAGGTGGAGGCGTTTGTCGATCGGGCTGGCCAGATCCCGATAGTGATCAAGTGTGGGACTTTCGCCACTCTGTATCAGGCCAACCGTGTGGTCCTCCAGGTCTTCTCAGAAGACAGCAAGTCGCTCATGGCCGAGCGATATGAGAAGATGGTCTTTCGAGAGACGAACGAAGTACCTAGTAGTGGTCATTGGACAGGGTATTGTTTCGCGGTCTACCATCCTGTTCTCCGGCTGTGGGCAAAGCAGGAGCAGCTATGGAGCTTTCGCGTCGAGGCTACGATTTCACCAAGGGATGTGTCAGTGTAGTTTGTGATATGTTAGATCTCAATTTGATTATAAGGCATGAGCTGCTGGCGGTAAACGCTATCCTCCAAGTAAGAAATCCGATACGTCCATGTTCATAAGTATAAGATCAAGCACAGCCTCTTGTTCTTCCATGACGTGCTCTCCCATAAACTGTCTAAGTCTCGAGACCCAGTCTTCCAGCTTCATATCGAAGCACTCGAAACTGCAGTCGGATATCAATGAGATTGTTCTGCCAGACTCGTGCCTGAGTACTCACCCTTTGTCGACTGTCTGGGTACTGAAGAGATCCGACAAGTTACACAACAGCCAATGTATAGTCTAAGTTTAGTTGCACTTACAGCATATCGATACTGAACAGTTTTAGTCAATCATATGGTTCTGAATACCTATATGATGAAATCAAGTCTCTTACTCTTGTTGTAGTTGTATTATTTGAGTTTCCTGCTTGTCCACCTTGGTCTGTACCTGAGATACAACCTCGTCTGGGACTTTGGTGTTTGAAACCTTCGGCAGCGCCTGTGCTGCACCGGTCTTTGGACATTCGTTGTTTAGTTGTCGTGGACTGTACCCGGGCACAGGCCCTGTCGTTTCCGGTTTATATGGGGGTATGATGGGCATATTTTGCCAGCGACGTCGCCGTGGACTGGGCCTATGAACAGAGTATCCACCGAAATCCATTAGTATGGTGTCGAATCTTTTGTTCCATTGAGCGACAGCCATGATGGGTTGCGGGTGATGAATAAAAGAATATAGAAAGAAAGAGAAGATGATAGCAAGTCTTCCGATATGCTTTGATCTTTTTGAGGTTAGATACACCTAGTCCATAATGGGATCATTGTAATAGCTTCTCAAATCGGACAAGTCTATTTACAGGTCCGACTTAAGCATCCTTTTGTGCCTTTGCGGATGCTCGCATTCCCAATGCTGATTTATGCTACTCTTAGAAGTCCAGAAATAGCCATCGATACAGGATAGATCCTCGTATATGAAGCCTATTTCTATAATAAGTCTCTCTGGGCCTCAAATGTAGACACATGATAGCTTAAGCTCTCCATAGTCTCAAGGCCAGATAACTCATATAGTAGCCTCCCGTGTTATCCAAGTCTCTAATTGTTTCATATCATTAGAAAAAGACACACTATCTTGATAGAACACAATGGCCGTCTAGTAGAAGGCTCAATCGTCCCAGGTGCCGATCATGCCTACACTCGTCGATATCGAGATCCATAGTCTTGGCGGCATGACTACTGCTTATGACACATCCCCAGACTATGTACGATCTACAAAAGCTCCGATCAGTCTAGAGTATCGCGCTGTGGAACTTCAACGAGAAATTGGGAGACTACGACAGGAAACTGCCTATTTCAGAGGACTTATCAAACAGATCACGCCAATGTTGTCTATGTTGCATTATCATGTGGAAGGCCTCATGGCCACGGTCAGACACTGTAGTGACCATATAAACACAGCTAATGCTGCTTGGGAGAAAGAGGCCATTTCATGAATTGTCTATAGGAGGTTTTATTTTCTATTTTATATGAACTATATCGGTAAAGATCGAGAAATCTTTGGAGCAGACGTTGACATAATGGGAATGTTGACAATAGGGCACCGCTTCTTTAACCTACATCTAAAACTCTTAATTATCCTCTCCTTGCAGGTGTTCGCTGTTGATGCCCTTTATGCGCCTCTCCTGTTCGGCCAAGTCTGCCAGTAGCATCAATGAACTGGCAGCCTCTTTTTCCCGGTGTACAGGCGGTATCGAGTTGCCCTCGGACCGTAGCCCTGTCCTCTTCTTCGAAGAACGCACATTCCACTTCTCTGACCTGAGCCTTCGGCTTTCCCAGATGTTAATGAGTTTCTGTTGTATGGGCACGACCTGAGCCTGCAACATACAGGATTTTGTTGCAAATTGGAGATCTTTCGACAGATGGTCAACTTGTTTTTGTAGCCGATCGTTTTCTTGGACGACTGCTGTCGCGAAAGCTTCTAGCTGTTCTATGTAGGACTGACAGCCTTTTATGACGGCGTAAGAGGTTTTTGTATGGGCGGCAGGAAGACCCTGGTTAGCGACGACATCCTCGGCGTGATTCATTTCTAGAGTCTTAGAGTAAGTCAATGTTTAGAGGCAAGCCATACCTGGAGGACGTTGTGTTCCAAAGTTGACAATCGTGTGAACTGGCTCAATTGATAAGTATATGTTCCAGAGCAGCCGACAACATCGAGTGATTAAATTTCTTTTGACCAAATGGCAGAACGATTAGATGGAGTATGAATGAAGCAGAATGACTCTTCTCACAGACATCCACCAGGCTATCCATGTCAGAATAAAACCTGAAGTGTATTTCTGATCTCCGTACAGTCTACAAACGGTCAGAAGAATTGCTCCCACCCCCACTTGACGGTAGAGCCACAGAAGCTGCTTCGGGACTTCTCCATCACAAAGAGTTAGACTAGTGCGAAATGGTGCCCCATGAACCGATCGAAAGCATGCAAGATTCGACGCATCGATGCGCAATGTGACATCCAGATTGTGACTAATCCATCCAGCTCTGAGACCTTGATTAAGCGCAAGACGGCGCGCAATTTCGACACTGCACCCAAAAGCTGCGTGTGGCATACTCGCCCAGTTGTTCCCAAATCGGATATTGCGATTACATTTCGTACTCACAAATGGAGGAGCTTAGGCCACTAACAGCAAATCCATCAGTCCAGCTAGCACCTGATGATTACAAAACTACGAGAAATGGAACCACGCACCAAGTCATCAAACGGTGCTTAATTGAAACGCTCCAAGTCGGGCAAGGTTGATGTCAAAAGGATATGTCTGTGTCTTTTATTCAAACTGCATGTAGAGGGCTGTCAATGGCGACAATTGCGTTTCGATATCTGACCCCCGCATCGACGGCGGCGATTAGTGGTGCTGAAAAGCTGGAAGACCTGGTCTACAGCAGCACTAGACGTCAGTGTCGTTGTGCTTGGCCTGTCACTCATTTCATGCTAGGAAGTACAATTAGCACCAATAATCTCTCTCCGCCAAAAAGGTCTATGTGAAGCATATCCAGCGCAATACTGGCAAATGTAGGTCGGCCAATAAAGGCGTACTGTCTTTGCTGTAAGCGCCATTTGGAACTGTTCATTGCCGCTGTGGCGCCACCAATGAAGGAAACAGTATCCCGCCCAAATGGGTTTTGTGATTAGGACCTTTTGGGTCGCTAGAGACACTTAAAGCACTATACTGTGCCCATTAATTGAGGTCTCCGGGCTTGGTGGTCACGTGGATATGTTAATTCTAAAAAGAAATAAAAGGTTCAGTATATCAGGACAGCGTCTAGCAATGTTTTAGTCAGTTTCATTTCCTATCTTCCCATCTTCCTTCAATTTTTAAGCTAGAGAGGCATCATTTTTCCATGCAGTTCAATATTGTGTAGTTGTCTAGATCAGACTTAGATCATCAATGAATCGAAGAATACGGTTTATAGCTCTCGGGTACGTTGGTATGTGTGTACTTACCAGCTTCTAGGCGTCACGATGATTGGTAGCCAAGGCACGTCTTGGAAGAGGAACATGACGGATGACGTATCCGCGCGGCCCGAAACTCCCAATCAGACAACGAGAGAGAAGTTGGATCGCCAAATCCAGGCAGTTCGCCCAGAAGAAGCACGTTCAGAATGCTCATCCTTTGACGCTGTCGACAGAAGTAAGTGGTGTTCGTCTGGCGTCATGCAACAGTGCTGCTTGCTAACAGTGGACAAGACCTATCAGACCATACTCGTTCAAACGCTCAGAGCAAGATCACTCCGCTTTTCTTTTTCGAATGGATTCTTCCAAAAGACGACGAAAATAGTGCTACCAGCTCCCAGAGCAATCAAAAAGCCTCTCCTAATGAAGATACGATCAGCATAGCAACAAGTACTCGTGACGAATCGCCAGCATCGGCCAGCCATATCTCTGAGATACACGAGCCCAGATCGCCTCGTCGTCAAGACTTTGCTGATACCGATTGCCGATCATCGGGGAACATGTCAGAAATGTCGCACCCTGCAGGCTCGAGATGAAACTAGTGGCTTCGCGACGGGCTGGGAAAGCCTGAGGGATGGCACACTTCGCAATGACTCCAAAACACATCGCAATCGGTTACCGTTCGATTCAAGCCCATATGGCTCAACAAACCAAACAATTGGCCCTGAGCATGAGGTTGGCGCTTCACGCCGCTCAAGCTTGGCCCGCAATCCAGGATCGACACCATTCCCGTCAGGATGCTGTTCGGTCTGCAATTTCGACAAGAGAACATTGCTGCAGCACATTGAAAAGGCATTGCAGTTTTCTTGCCAGGACGAAATTCCATGGGAGTCTCTCCTGAGTGGTCATGCTATCTCATCCAGCCGTCAGAAAACCGCAGCCATGTTGAAAATAGGTCTTTGGGCCCTCTGAGACTATGCTATGGGCATGAAGATTTCGGAAGATGGAGAAATGGTGACAGAGGCTTCAGGAGTCACAGGACGATCAGTGGATTCTTGGAACGTCAGACCGACAACTGACGGTATCTCTGTCTTCAGTTATGGGTCCTGTCACCTGAACGAACAGAGCCCTCTAAGCCGCAAGGTGGGACACAATCGTATACGTGCCTCAATACGGGACTCAACTGGACACGGCGCGCATCGCCGGCCCCGGAAGGCTTGGACTAGCTATGAAGAACAGCGTCTGAAAGCTTGTGTCCGGGCAAAGCAGGACTGGTCTGAGATCGCGACACGCTTGAACCGGACCTCAGGCGCCGTTGAGCAACATTGGCGGTTGATGATCATCCACGAGCGCAAGGCGAGCCCTAGGAAGTACAGATTTAGAAGGGCTTCGGATTGACTTCATGCAGAATATTGGATTAGTTCAAAGAGTATATAGTTGTGAAACCCCGTGGTCAACTGCACGGCAGCCTAATGTACACATTATCCGGGTACTTGGATGAGAAATGTCCATATCGGAGGTTTTACTACATAATGCACAAGCGCCGTGATCTTCTTGGCCGTAGGACCATATCGCGATGCAGGAACAATCCCAACTGCTCCACAACTGTACAAACGTAGAATGGGATTGTGGTTTAATGTAAGCGTCGGGACCGCGCTTTTGGGGAGACAACATTCTCGAATACATGCGGTATATCTTTTTAGGTCCGTCGCCTAGAAGAAACAATCTGGATTCTTCCACATGTTGCTGTGTTGGCTACCGATCCTTGGCTTCGTTTAGCCGTCTAATGGGGTGGCATTGAAGCGATGCACAATCATGCGCTTCACGAATATCTTCGCCTTATATTGACCATAATCGAGTCCAGGCGCATCGAAGAAACTTACAATGCATGTTGCTAAATAGGTAGGCGCGAAAGTTGCGAAAGCGCGAAGTTGCGAAAGAAGTTACAAAATGCGAAGGTGTGAAGGTACGAAGGTGCGATCCTGCGAAGGTGCGATACTGCGATAGTGCAAACCTACTCGTCTCGGTCCATAGTTGTCGGCCGAAACTGAGCAGAGCCATTACAGAGAGCATCTATAATTGAAAGAACGAATGAATACACTCTATCAGACTGGCTTTAACGTTGAGATTAGAGCTTCACTGTTGGCTTTGTTGTTGGGGCCCAAGCTTATTCTTTCTGGCCGAGTCATATTATGCCAGATCATCACCATACTATCACCCTAGAGGAGCTAAATGAGCAACCCCAGGGCGCGCCCACCGATGTAGAGCAGCAGCTATCAGCTGTCCAGCCCAAGAGACACCACTGGTTCTCCTCAGGCCTAAAAGAATCACGACTCCTCGACTCGATCCTTCGTTTGCCTCATGGGTCACTAGACAATACCAAAGCTTAATCAACAGGGTTAATCTCGCCATCTGGGATGTCATCCTTCCTATCATCCATCTCGTCGTCTGAAGACAAAATTAAACCCCACTCGACTATGGTCTTAGCTTCACGCACCAATTTAGCAATGCTGATGTCGAGGCCCTTCTTCCTGGCCAATTTAGCCAAGTTAGGAGCATCCGACGAGGACTTGAAACATATAAGTGGTTGCTGGATCCTAGCCGAGTATACAGCGTTGACAATTCTCACCGACTCCAGCAAATCATCGATGCGCTTGGCAACAGAGAAGCATGCATCTGAATAGCTCATCGCGTCCCCACGAGCGAAAATATGGGCTGGCCCAGTCAGGGTGGGCGCTGGATAAACCACGGATGGCTGAACACCTGCTGTACCGCCAGCTTTGTCGCGGTCAATAGAATGACCACAGGCAATCGCTGCTTGCTTCCTCATGGCTCCCGTACTCGTTTTTGTGTGCTATGCGGCACTGGTTGATGAAGCCTTGAGTACTCGAAAAGTCCTCCCTGTGACATATAACGCAAACTAACTTGATCATCTTGCCATCGGAAGCACGTTTCAAGATTCAGGGCCCAGCCTTGCCCCTGGGTTGCGAGTAGCCATAAGGTAGCGCTTGGAGTTTCTGGCCAGCTAACCCACGACTCCTTCAGCCCATGTTCCGAGCAACTCCTGCCTTTTCGGTACTGTTCCTGCCGAAACGAGCATTAACGGAATTCCAGGTTCGCGTATTTTCAGGTTGTACTAGAGTCGGTGCCCGGATACCGTCAAACTTGGGGTTAGAAATGAGCCACTTGGCGAGATGTCGAGCATACGGCCCATCGACGACACCAAAAGCTGGCGCCCACTGAGGTACTTGGACACCCATATTCGCTTGGAGCGCTGGCCCTTGCCCGTTAGTGACATTCAACATTCGTTCTGGCGTTGGGACGTTAACGAGGTATGGGATCAAGTGGCGTATCCATTTTACTTCAGATGATGTCTTCATGGAATCCAAGCCCTTTTGTAAACGTGGCATGTCTACACCAGACCCGATTGATTAGCGTGTATGAAGATGAGGCTCGATATGACTGCTTAACATCCGAATCATCGCAGGACCTGTGGAAAGAATTGATGCCGAGTATTCCACCTCGAATTAGAGATCGCGTTGAAAGTCCTCAACAGCAGATTGTCATGCGAACTCCTTGCTGAAAGCAAAGGGGCGGCGCGGATACTCTTACAACGTGAACGCCAGAGCATCATGCATAAGACACTTGCGCAAATCTCAAAGTACCTCGGTATTGACGGTGTGGTTTGTTTGATCTTGTGTACTGAGAGCCTCCCTGTCCGCGACTTTGCTTTCAGTTTCGACTTGGGGAAAGTTTGTAGTGGTTGGCAGCGTGATAGTCTTTACTTTCTCTCTTCTCTCTCGATTGATTTCACAGTCTATATACCTATTTGCCCAACAAACCATGTTGATGACAAAGAACAGAACTTGATTCGGTGACCTTTGATACGTTGCAGATTTGTGAATCAAAGTGTAAAATGCTGTTACAGTATAAAATTGTTGGGGAGTAACGCCCATTGGGTAGGCCGTGCCATTTTCCATGATGGAACGGCCGCCGGGTTGGTATTGGATTGTACTGGAAACATTGCTGATGGATCCATTTCAGTGGGAACCGTGTTTGTATAGAAATCGTTATACGATGTGAAACTCTCTGGATAGTCTGGCTGCACGTTCTGGCTGCTCATCACTGTGTTCCGATAGTCTTGCCCGGAATCAGAATGATCAAGCTCAGACGAGCTTGCTCTCTCTGTGCGACTACATGCAAAATCTGTCTCCAACTTAATCGGTACCATGTTCGAATCCTGTTGAGGTAGTTCCAACTCTGCGGCCAATTTGGCTAAGCCTCCTTCATCTTCCGGAAACACTGTGTGCGGAGGCAAGTCTGCGTCCGCGTTGGATCGAATGGACCCGAGCAACGTCGCGATGTTATGAATAATGGGCTGACCTCGGTCATTGAGCTCAGGTTCGGCGAGATCCCATTGTTGCCCATTACGCACCATAGCATAGAGCTTGTGGACAGTAGCAATAAGCGCAAGCTGGGTACTTTCTAAAACTTCGGCGTAACTTTAGGCAATGTTAGCAGCTGTTGTTTATTTGGTGGGATATATGGTCACAACTCACCCCATAGGTATTCGTTTATATTCGGTCTTCTTTATTATACCTGCTGTACATACGAGACCTTCATTCTTACACCTCTTACATGGAAATTCTCCATCGCATTTTGTCTTCTTTTGCCTGCACCTCTGACATGCTCTCCAAGCTCTTTTGCGCCTGTCCATACCGTTGCCGTGCGGTGATAATGCTGCATGTTTATGGACCGGAGAATGCGATGTCTGACTCGCTCGTTTCCAGTTTCGGTGCACTGGTTTTACAGATTTCGTACGCGATGTCCTGTTCGTCCTTGCACCAGTAGACAATTTGATGTTACCCTCCAATAGAGGAGTAGGTATACTTTTCTCCATTCGGTAAATGTATATATATACATAAAGTGTTGATAGCGAACTAAGGCTGGACGCTTGTTGGTGGGTTCATTGAATTCGAGCTTCAGGCAAGTATAACAATATACGCGAAGGAAACAGTGAAGATGCGTTTTCAGGACTAAGACTCTCTTTGCGGAGAAGTGTAAGCAAGAAAAAATTAAGAATTGAGGCAGTGGGAGGGTAGATGTAAAACTGGAATGTGTCTACTACCTCATGCTTGCGTCACAAGAACGTTGGGACAATATAGGCTTTCGGGTTAACGTTAAAACGCGAGTGCCAAGATTTCGCTACATCAAGATATAAGCAGACTCGAGCTTTGCGAATTGACCGATGAGGCCGAAATCAACAGTAAGCCCTGCACGCTGTCACTCGAGAGACTCTACGGGCAACAAATCAAGCTATACTAGAGCATAGCTGCTTTCAAACATTGTGCTAACGCAACCACATAATACTAGTTGTGCTGTTTTCCCATGTGCCGAGTGCCAATCCAGATATCGACTTTCCATCCAATGAAATAGAAGGCCATGTATGCTCCGCTGGAATCATTTTTGCATCACTAATGCGGACGTGACGTCGTCCCACTCCGCAATGAACAAGGATGTATTGTTCAGTCCATGATTACCAGACCAATATGCAATAAGTACCAATATAATAGGAATTCTTTTGTTTGCAAATGCCTTCTGTGACGAAATTCCGCTCCATAATGAGTGTTCGACATGCTACTCATCACTGTTGAAGTGTGTGGGGCTCACTCGGGAGTATTAAGCGGCCGCATGAGGCAGGGCGCTGAGCATCGAGAACTGAGGAGCCTAACCTGACAAGGGGAATGCTCTGATCATCATGATCTTTGATTGACTATTGCCAGTGCCATCGATTTGTACAGATATTCATATGTGTCTGTGGGATAGTTCCTTGGCCAAATAACCCAATGATTGCTTCACTGAGCCAGTTGGCCCGGTACAAGCCACAATGATCCTGCAAATTGCATGAAGCTGTGGTCTGATTAGGCGCAACGCTAACAAGGCTTCGCAAGTATATTCTTGCTTGAGGTTCGCCTTGCTGCCAATCATTTGAAACTAAAATTTGGCTCAATATTTTATTTGTGGTTGATCATGCGGTTCGGTTCTCTGACTTCTGCCACCAGGATGCATTCTCACTATTCTCTATGGCGGGAGAGTACTTAATCAGCGGCTTGCACTTGAATTCCGATCACTTGTAAGTTACCGCACCAGAACCATTCGGCACATTCATTTCTTGTAGATCTATTACTACTAGCTATAGTACCCTACTCCTAAGCCCGACACAAAACTACACCATGACATATTCTCATATGATCAACTTCTACAAAGCCACCTTGAAACGCTCAAAGGTTTTCTTTTTGTGCGCAATGCTCCAGGTGTTGAGACCATGCTTAATTGGTATAGGCTTTGCCGATGCCGGTAGATGCCAATAACGCCTAAATGATTGAGAGAGAGATTCATGACATCTACGATTTCTTGTACCAAGCTTAACTATTTTTGAAGCCTCGGCAAGTGGATGATCCCCCAACTACACTAGCGTCGAATGCTGGCTCAGTGAAAAAACGACCCAGAATTGCATTGAACAGATTTAGATTTATTCTAGTCACGTCAAGTGCTATTTCCAACCGCAAACGAGTCCCCATGAATTCATCTCAGACCGATGACCTGCTGAGACATCTCCGAGAGGCTGACAGACACGCCGATGATACCGAACGCGATCGAGGCGACGCGAAGCGACGTGCTGATGAAGCCGAGGAATGACAGCAAGAGGCTGAATTGTTGAACCGACGGACAACTCTAGACGAGACATTGCCGCAACTAATGAGCTCGTAGCCAGCCACTTCACCGTCGAGACCGACAAGGATCTCACCTTCAAGGGCTCCACGGCAAAACCCGCCCAACAAGCTGTGTCCGAAGAATCTACGCCCATGGTCCGACTTTCTCGACAGCTGAGCACTACTCTAGGGGGCCTCTACCGACATCTTCCCAGTCTCCAATCGATGTTTTGACAGCGAATCGTCAAGCGACCGATATCTTGCGGAAAGACTCGAGTATGTCCTGCTCAACAGCGCCGAAGGTCCAATGCAAGAGATTTTTCGATCATTTGCGGGATGTGGACCCAGTGCGGCACGACTTTGGGATCGGCAACGGCATTGTCTTTGAGAACCCCCCAATGTCATCAGCGATGTTGCTGACGAGGTTGCCGACCGGCAGGCCTCATCGATACCGCCACAGACGCCCGATCAAGGGAAAGATCTGGGACGTATTCGCCCAGACCAGGTATGCGTATACGGTATAACGACGAGCTCTCAACACTATGTGCTATGTTTTATGTGTCCAAATACAGGGCCTCAAACAAGCTGACCCACCGCACCTGCGTGTCGGTCTACATTTCATGGATATCTTCAATGTTATCATCGAAAAACCGCTGTGGCCATCACACAGACCTACAACTACATGATTGAGGGCGGTTTCGAATACGGGTTGCTGACTACCGGCGAGACCATTGCATTCTTTAGAGTAGGCTGGCGACACTTCCGAGGTCGCAGCGCATTCGAGGGAACATCATGCCTGTACGGGCAGTTGGTCAATACATGGCATTCAGCCTCTTGGCTCTCGGTCCGTCAGGGAGCTCTTGAACGAGACATGCGCATTCAGCAGGCAAAGATAAAAATGTTCCAGGATTGTGCAATTCCAATTGATCAAGTCCTCCTGAAAGCGGGCACCGAGCTTTACCCATATGCAACAGCATTCCGCTCCTTCTTTGCCAGCCGCCTTGATGAATGGCTTACAGAACATAGGTCGGCACGGCGGAAGACCGCTGCTGCAGCGCCTACAGGAGAACATTTCAAACCATCCTACGCCCAAGAAGCTGCCTCGAGGAACACTTCGGCTCCATTGCATGGAACTCAGCAAAACGGAGCAGCTGATGAAAGAAGCGAGGACTGTACGGACCATACGGACCGGCCACGCCGCAAGGAACAAGACGACAACCGCATATTTGTGCGCATGGATAACTCCCGACTCGAACCATATCGCGTCAAGTCCACCCTTGTGCGAAGACTCGGCCTTGACTATCAGGAACTCCGCGAGGTTACCCGGTGTGCTTCCGGTTTTACGCTGCACCCACGGGATAAGGCAACCCAGGCAAAACTCCTGGCCCTACAGGGCGAGATGATCGACATTCTCAAAGCACGGAAAACCGAGGAACATGTCGTGTGGCACCACTACAAGCTGCGGGGCTGTCCACGAAAAGTCATGACAGCGGAGGGGCTTACAGTCGAGATTGACGAAACGGCCGTCGCCAACGAGGCAGAACTTCAGACAGGCGTGAGGCCCGTGAGGTGCGTCTTGTCTAAGCACACATCTGACGGCGACGCAGAGACAGACTGGCTTGTCTCCTTTACGAAGGAAATCAATCGGCCATTCTGTAATGGGTCTAGACAGAATGCTACACTCTGACGTCTATTATCTCTATGAACAAGAAGACTTATCTGAGGAGAGAAGTCTTTCTTAGCATCTGCATTCTTGTATACTCTTTCTTATATACTTGTTCTTCCTTCCTAACCTCTAGCGCGTCTAGTAGGTTCTGTGGGTCCTACGATGGGGCCGTGGCCCCTGAGTCTATCGCTAGGGGTTCATCCCAAAATACATTCAGGCTCTTTGCACACTCCATAACGTCGTACCGTATACGCTGTGAACCCCGAGTTCCTCAGTGCGATGACTGCTTCTCCTTCCATGGCAGAAATTACCGGTGTGAAAAGAAAATTTGCGGTATCTGTGCCCGGCCAGTGCACGAAGGTACCTGTGACAAGCCAATTCCCAAATGCGTCAATTGCCACGGCCCACATGCTGCGACTTTTGAGAAGTGCCCGGCACGGCCTAAAGTGATGAAGGGGATTATCCGCAGATTATCGGCGGAGCAATTACGCGAGATACGGCGAGCGGGTGATCGTGCGAGGTCGCAAGCATTTAGCACTGCAAAAGACAGTACTGTCGTCCGGGAAGCGGCAGGACCGAAGCCAGTGATGACAGGCAGAGCACTGATGCGATGCAAGTTGAAGACGAAATGTGCACGGCTCACGAGAGCCAGCAGGACAACATTAATAAAAACGATTATCGTATGTCCGTAAATGCAACTAGGGACCAGACACAGACACGACGTGGACACCTTGTCGTCCACTGCGTGAATGCGGCAGGGGGCAGAAGAGTATCGATCCGACCGAACTAGCTCTTAACCTTGCCAACTACGAAGGAGAGAGGGCGGACATTATCCTGATGCAGGAGCCGTGGGTTGGCGTTCCACCAGGCAGGAGGATGATGGTCAAGGCGCACCCCAACTACAACGTGTTTTCCCCGGTAGATAACTGGGACAGTGATATAACGCGGCCGAGGTCGCTGGTCTATGTGAGGAAGCACCTTCAAGCCCAACAGCTCCGACCATACCAGACCAGGGACGTGACGTGAGTCAAGGTGCGAGGTATTACTTTTGTTAGCGTATACAGATCAACCACAGACCCGCAGCAAGTCGACAGGATTTTGGAAGAGTGGATTCCACCGTCTGGATGTGTCGTTGCGGGCGACTTTAATGCCGGCGACGCCTCCTGGGAATCGGGTAACCATAACTACCATGGAGGGGAGATGCTGGGCAACATCATGTCTGCACATGGCCTAGACTTGATCTCCGAGCCCGATGTGCCGACGCACGACGATGGCCATGTATTGGACCTGGTGTTCTCCGACATTCCAATGGCAGAGGCGGCAGTCAGCGAGGCACTC